TTTTGCTATGATTATGATGTCACACAATCGATGAAGAAAACAGTAAAAAATCAGTTAGGAAAACAAAAGCAGTATGTTTTTATTTTCACAATTTTTTTTCCACGCAATCAATTATCTTCTCGCGTAATGGCCCAGGTGTGTGCTACACACATCTCCTGCTCCGTGATGTAGGTAAAACTGTTACACCCCTGTCGCACCTGGTCTGTGTGTCTCAAGGGTACGCTGGATCCCCGGGACACCGGAAATCAGTGTTTCTTTCAGACTATTTATCTCCGGGGGGGGGGGGGGGGGGGGCACTTGATATTTTCGGGGGGGGGGCGGTCTAAATTTTCCGGGGCGGACAGGGCGGACACTGGTAAAAGTATATATTTTCTATATAAATTCACTTTCGTTAGTGGGGGGGGGGGGGGGCGGTAGACTTTCTTTGGGGGAGCTCCGAAATGGAATTTATACATAAAATATATACTTTTAACAGTGTCCGCCCCCCTCCGAAAATTTTAGTCCGCCCCTTGAAAATTTCAAGTGTCCCCCTCCGGAGAAAAAAGTCTGGAAGAAACACTGCTGAGAGGGGGGGGGCGGTAGAAGTGCTCCTGGGGTGGAGCGGTGGGGGCACTCAAAGAGATAGCTGACAGAAACTCTGGTTTTGACCCAGCCACCCCCCCCCCCCCCCCCCCCGTCTCACCTAGGTCCGCTTACAACAATCTGGCAGCTCGTTAGCTGGTATGTGTTGACAACGATAGCTAAATGATCGTGTACCAATGGGGTACGTGTGTGACTGCTGACAGGGCATATCGGGGCAGTTGTTGTTGGGTTGCTGGTATCGCTAGCGCCTAACCACGTTAATCAAGAACCGAGTTTTAACCCCACGGCCATAATGGCAACAACGATACATGTTATTTTTAAAATTCTATAAGAAAATTATGAAATATCATTGCTTTTCTTACTGACTTGGTTTTGAAAGGAGTAGTAAGTATTTGTATTCAGTCTTAAGTTTCCTGCTTCATCTGTGTATTCATCGCTATAATTTTTTTATTCAAATAGGAGGGGGGGGGGTAATAGGCCGCACTTAGGGGTGATCCATAAATGACGTCACGCTTTTGGGGCGATTTTTAACTTCTCCCCTCTCCATCACTCCACATCGTCGAGAAAAAAGGCCAGACTCCCCCCTTCCCCCCCCCCCCCCTATCTCAAAACACACTCCCCCGCAGTTTTCTTCCAGGCATCTCTTCCCCCCACCCCCCACGAATGAAATGGAATTTATATAGAAAATATAAACATTTAGTAGTGTCTGCCCCCCGGAAATTTTAGTCCGCCCCCCCCCCCCCCCGAAAATTTCAAGTGCCCCCCCCCCCTCCCCTGGAGAAAAAAGTCTGGAAGAAACACTGCTCCCCCAGACGACGTCACGCTTCAACCTACCATTGCTTTTTTAGTTTCAGTTGTTTTTTTTTAAACATTGATTTTTTTTTTTCAAAAATATTTACTTGACTTGGTCGCCATAGGATATTAATCAATCTCTATTCTAATTTAGAAAAACGTCCTTTTAAAAGCTGCTAAAATTCAGTTTCAAACATGAATTTTTAATGCAAGTGTGTCGTCACACTTTCTGAACCACCAGTCTCCACGTCACACATTGTCCCAAAAATTCGCAACTCCCTACCCCCTAAATCGTAACGTCGTTTATGGGCGACTCCTTATGCCTATATAGCAGTGGCGTAGCGAGGTCGGGTGTCACCCGGTGCGGCACTTAATGGTGTCACCCCCAGAGGCATAGCGACCCTTCCCTGGGACAAACTTTCAAATTTTCGATTTGCGCCCCCCACCCCCTCAAACTTTTGATTTGCACCCCCTCAAGTTTTTCTCTATTTTTTTCTCTATTTTTTGCCTTGGTGTCACCCCCCCCCAAATGGTGTCACCCGGTGCGGTCCGCACCCCCCCCCCTCGCTGCGCCTCTGCTATATAGTATATTATAGTATATCACTATCCGCTTTGTTGAGTTCTCCCAAGGTTAACTCTGTTCTCCTACAAAAAAAAAACACACCAAAAAAAAACTAATTTGCCTATAGTGGGGTACACCCGTCATTAAAATCAACCCGCAAAGGTCTAACACTATTTTTTAATGAAGGTGCGCCATATTTTTCCCACTGCTTTTTTTTTTTTTTTACCCGTGTCAAAGATAAAAGATATCCCCTATTGTTCATACGACTTCGTCCCCGTCCGCCTTCCACCATTAGCTAGGCCACAAAGAGGCTAATCATGGCGGTGGATGCGCCATACACGGATGGGTAGGGTCCATGATTGACACATGACAGACAGCATATGACTGGAATAGTGTTTGGTGAATCACGCATTTGATTGGATTAAAATAATGAACCAATAACACTATTAAAAAAATATGGAGCGGCGTGGTCGGGTGGTAGAGCTCACGAATGCTAATCCGAAAGTCTAGTGTTCGGATTCTGGGCTCAGGTGTCCCTGAGTCCACTCGGCTCTAATGGGTACCTGACTCACGGTAGGGAAAATTATTCCCCTGTATGCTGAGGGCGTTTGAAACAGATGACCTACCTGTGTGTCTTGGGTACAGTGTTTTTTTTTCAGACATTTTTCTTCTTCGGTGGGGTGGGGGGGGGGGGGTGGGGGGGGGCCACTTGAAACTTTGGGGGTGTGGTGTGGGTGGGAATCGGGCGGATTTAAATTTCCCGGGGGGGGGAGTGGACACTGGATATATATATATATATATATATATATATATATATATATATATATATATATATATATATATATATATATATATATATATATATATATATATATATATATATATATATATATATATACATATATTCTATTTTGTTCTGTATTAATTTGCAAAAAAGTCATTAAAAAACAATAATGCAGTTTCTAACATTGCATCTTAAGATGCTTAAATTTTAAATAACAAGCAACAATTGAGCTTGGCCATTGGCCTACTTTCATAAAGACCGACGATTCTGGTGAGCATTCCGCAAATAAATATACCCCCTCCCCTCACCTTACCAAGAGCAGAGGCGTAGCGACCCTTCCCGGCGCCCGGGGACAAACTTTTCGATTTGCACCCCCCCCCCTCGAGATTTTGATTTGCACCCCCCCCCCAAACTTTCGATTTGCACCCCCCCCCCCCTTGAGATTTTGATTTGCACCCCCCCCCCTCAAACTTTCGATTTGTACCCCCCTCAACCTTTCTATTTACTTTTCCAACCCATTTTGGCGCCCCCTAAGGTCGGCGCCCGGGGACATATGTCCCCCCCCCCGCTACGCTACTGACCAAGAGATAAGGGTCATCCATAAATGACATCACGCTTTTTTTGACGATTATTACCTCCCCCTCCCCTCCGTCACACATCGTCACAAAAAACGAGACCCCCCCCCCCGCCCTAAAATGACGTCACACCTCAGCCGACTGGCCCCCTCAAAATTGCAGTTGAATTCTTCTTAATACATCGATATTTTTCCAAAAACTGTCAACATAGAGTATTTTAATCAATTCCTATTACAATTTTTTTAAACCGTTTTCTAAAACGCGAAATAACGGCTAAAACTCGTTTTCTATCATTGCTTTTTTATAATTCAAAAGTGTGACGTCATACCATCTGAACACCCCCCCCCCCCTCCCCCTCATCTCACACCGTCACAAAATTACGGACAACCCCCCCCCCCCCCCCGCGCCACGAGTGTGACGTCATTTATGGACGACCCCCATATTACAATGTCACTAAAGGTGGAAGTGCTAGTTTGCTTCAGTGTTAGAATGTCAAGGGAGACAAATCATTTAACTATTCGACTGGTACAAAAACAGCATAACTACCCCTCTTCACCGACGAGTCTAAATCTACGGAAGAAATCGAGCGTTGAACGCAATTTTTTTTTTTTACAAATAGTGAAGGCTAATTTTATTTTTAAATAGCCTACTTTTATTTTTAAATAAATATATTGAAAATAAGATACAAAAACCGTTTGCGTTCATATATAATATATACAAAAATTTACATTTAGGCAATTACTGAGTCATTTCTGGGTTAATTCAATTAAATTTATATTTTGATCTATAAGCCTATAATTTAGTATCACTTAAAATCTTTATTTATATTTTTTTTCAATAGACAATATAGAATCAAGGCTATCAGAAGGCGTTATAATTTTGACATATAGGCTCTTCATCTAATTGCATTTAAAATTTAAAACCAAAGTAATAATTACCGTACATCCATATGTAAGTAAATTGTAAGATTATGTGTGAAATTTAATGTTGTCTTGTCTTTTGTTTTGCTTCTTTACCTCTTTTTAGTAGGTCATATTTAGCGTTTCTTTCAGACATTTTTCCCTCCGAGGGGCGGGGGCACTTCGAGGGGGGGGGGGGGCACTTGTTGAAGTATACATATTCATTCGAAGAGATGCCTAAAAGTAAATTTGTTGAAGCTTTAGCATTAGATCTAGACCTAGGGCGGAGCCCCCTCCTCCCCCCCCCCCCGCCCCCCCCCCCCCCCCCCCAAGAGATGCCTGGAAGAAACTCTGTTTTCAGGCATTAACAAACATTTCTTATTTTTTTATTTTGATTAAAATGTACATCTATAATCAAGTAAGAAATATACTCAGATTTTGTTTTTGCCGACGAGTAGATTTAGGCCTAATTATTCTGATTAAGATTTTGATATTTAAAGTTTGCTTAAAGAGTTTCGACTCAATAGTATTAAATTTACAACATGATTATATAGTCCAGATATAGATCTCTAAAAATCTAAACAATGTGTAAACTAAATAAACACTAATTTGGTACGGCCTATATGTTAAATTTTAATGGAAAATGTTATTAAACATATCTTAAAAAAACAAATAGGCTTACTTCTTTTAGTCATATTTGTTTTAAAATTGTTTTTCTTATAATGACATTATATTTGGTTCAATTTTTATTGGCCATAATCGAAGGAAAACGTCCCACTTTTTCTCATCTCATGTGCCCTTTCCATAATTTTCTGCTGCCTCCTTTCGAAATCGTAGACAGTTTGATCACAAACAGATCTAAATTCAGGTAGGCCCACATATCTAATTCTGGTGTTTATGGTTTTTAATTGTTCATTTTTCCCTATTCAAGAGGCGCTATACTATTAGAAAACCTTAAATTAATCGTTGGAACCTTTTTAAAATAACATTTAATTAGAATTGTCATCCCACACCACAACACCTGTGACAACAGCAGACATGAGACAGACACAGCCAAGCAAGAAAGACAGAGTGATTGCCTTGTTGCGTCCAATTTAGATCTAGATCTAGAGTTTTTAAAGATTATGTATTTTACTAGATATCTAGATCAATTATCAGCTTTATTATCATTTTTAAGCCTAAAGAAAGGCTCCCTAGCTAGTAGAGGCAGAAGATTGAGCCAATTGAATAGGCCTAGAATCTACAAATAATTTACTAAAAAAAATTCTCATCATTACCACTCCAGTCACTCATGCTCATGGCATGCACATGGCCATGGTGTCATGATCAGTATTTATTTCTCATAATCAGTATTCAATTCATTCCCATCTTATTCTTAGTTGGTACAGGACAGGTGTAGATAATAATTTAATTAGGCCTACTTTGAACTACTTTGAATAACTTAATGTTTTTGTCCAGAAAACTAATTGAACTGTAGTGTAGCTGTGTGACATACAAAAATACTTCAAAATAGGCTACTTGTACTAGATCTAGTATACTACTAAATCTACTACTACTTAGTCTACTACACTAATGGATTGGGCTAAATATAGTCTAGTGACTCTAGTATGTTAAAGTTAATATACTATATACACTGGGCCTAGTTTTTGGTAGCAGTAGTGTGTAGATGTCCAGACCCAACTGATGGAACAGATGCCATCATGTAGTAATATTGTAGTTAAGTTAGTTATGGGCTGTCAATGTCTATCACAGATGCATCCTAAATTTCCTTCTCTCTCCCCTTTACATATAATGTTTATTCTTTCTGCGATTTTTAAAATTACAAAAAATGTTCTCCCCCACTTCTGCACACCACTAATCAGTACTTAGATCTAGGTACTTTTTCATTTCTTTAAGCTCAGTAGTAGCCTAAATATTGTACTTTTCCAGTTAGATTGAGACAGAATGGCTGTAGTTATTTATAGCGCTTGAATAGTCAAAGTACTAACATTTAATCAACTGCAATTAAAACAGAGCACTAAAATTAATGCGTTGAAGTATTTATTAGAAATAGGCCCTAATAAAATATAAAAATAAAGTAGTGTTGGAAAAACATTTTTCTCTACCATGTCTGTAATTATTAAGTCAAAGTACTAACATTTAATCAACTGCAATTAAAACAGAGCACTAAAATTAATGCGTTGAAGTATTTATTAGAAATAGGCCCTAATAAAATATAAAAATAAAGTAGTGTTGGAAAGGTTTACTGATGCCAAGCTATCCATTTTGCCTTTGTAAATAACATGAATAATCTTTTATGTTTTGTAATATATGAATTATTCATTAACTTCATCATGATTTGTAAATGTATGGAAATGTGTTACCCTTTATTTTATTGTATTTTTTCTGGTTGTTGATCATTGGTGAAACTGGTATTATGCTATATATTGTGCCATTTTGTCATACAACTAATTTACTTTGTATCTTTGCAGTTCATTGCTGGTTATTAAGGCAATCACTGGGCATAATTTTAATTCACAGCTTGTTAACCTACGTTCAAAACTTTATATTTACACTCATTCTAGTGTAATTAATATATTTGTGAATAATTAAGTGGTGTAATTACTTTAAAGAGATTCTTTTAATTAGACGTTTTTCCTTACAGAAATGAATGGAAGTATTGGAAGTCTCGTTAATGGAAATGGCTTTCCTCATGAAAAGGTTGTTATACTTGATGCAGGTGCCCAGTATGGGAAGGTAAGTCTATCCACTTAATACCAGTTCATTTAAAAAGGTTATCTTTTAAAATATTACTCTTTATCTTTATGCTCCATAGAAAGGAATGCATGTGTTTCTTTGACATTAGTATTGAGGGATATTTGGTCATCAGAGTGCCCCAGTTTTACTTTTCCCAAGCCAAGTCAGACAACCTTCATAGACATGAGCTCTGCTACTTGATACTTGTGGATTAGCATTCATGCGTTCTACTATTCAACTCATACTATCCTAGCAGCTCCTCTTATAACTCAAAATTTTCTATTCTTGTTTTTCATTATTCTAAAGCAGGGGTCTCCAAACTACGGCCCGCGGGCCGAATGCGGCCCTTGAGGTCCTCTCATCCGGCCCGCGGAGATCTTTTTGTGCACGGAAAAAATGTTTGTTAGAGTTGGGTGAGGAACTTTGCTCGGAAAATTCAAAACAATTTGAAAATGTTGCTTTGGGTGCAAATACCATTGCCCTCCGTGTTGCAGACATTGATGAAAACATTGTGACTCAAATAGTGAAAACTGCTAACAAATTTCGCAATTTTCAATTGCAATGGATGGGTCGCTGGACAGCTGTTCAATGTTTTTGGAACAATACAGGGCAACAACTTGACGAGCTTTCAGCAGTGCAAGGTCTTCATGGCTGAAGTAATAGCTGAGTTCCCCACATCGTTTCCATGCGAGATTATCATAGACCTCTAGCTGCAGTTTTAGTAGCGGTTTCCTGAATAGGAATCAAAGGCAGAAGAAGTGAGACTGTTTCAAAACTCATTTGAAGCAAATGTAACCCGTTGCCCAGATGAACTGCAGATGGAGGTCATTGAATTGCAAGCAAATGACTTCCTTAGAGACAAGTTCAAAAAATGGCGGGTGGGTTTTTGTGTTTGCCCAAGGAGAACAAACTTGGACCTCGAGTGTCTTGTCGGCCCCCGGCAGTGTTTCTTTCAGACTTTTTCTCCTGGGGGGGGGGGGGCATTTAAAATGTATATATATATTTCTATGTAATTATATTTCGTTGGGGGTGGGGGGGGCACTGGGGCACCACCACTCAAAAGTGATGCATGGAAGAAACTCTGGCCCCCGAACTGATATTTGATAGTTAATGCGGCCCTCGGGCTGAAAAGTTTGGAGACCCCTGTTCTAAAGTATTACAATTTATTTTATATTTTTACTTGTACAGGTAATAGACAGAAAGGTCAGAGAACTATCAGTGGACTGTGAAATTTTGCCATTAGATAGTCCAGCATTTGTGATTAAAGAAAAAGGTTTTAAGTGAGTGCTGCACTTATCGAGTCTTTGAAAATTATCATTAATGCTCATTTTTGTGATAATTACTTCTGAATTTCATGTTGGATAATAATTGCGACATTTTAAAAGAACACAGTACATGATTACATTTTTTAAAGACTGATCTTTTTCTTTTAGGGCAATTATAATATCTGGTGGTCCAAGCTCAGTAAATGACCCCAATGCTCCACAATATGACCCAGATATATTCAAATGTGGTCTTCCAGTTTTGGGTATCTGCTATGGGATGCAGGTGTGTATAATATCTTACAGATACAAATATACAGAGCACTAAAAACATTTTTCTCTATCATGCCTGTAATTATTAAGTTGAATTAACAAGAATAATAATGCATTTGTATGTTGTTTATTTTTTTTTAATAGATGTTGAATAAAGAGTTTAATGGGAAAGTTATGAAAACTGGTACAAGAGAAGATGGACAATTTGAGATCACAGTAGACACTAGTTGCACACTTTTTAAGTAAGTGAAAATAATTCTAATCAAATCTACATAAATGTCTAAGCAGAGGTGGAATTTTTAATAGTGAAATTGTAACTATGTAATCCTTACTTTTTTTTAACCTTCTAATGATTCATAATCATATTTTATTTTTACTGTAAGATTTTTGTGAGCTAAACAAGGTTTTTTTTTTTTTTGTGCCAGATAAAAGTCAAATGTAATATAACTTTGAGTGCTTTAAACTCATTAACATAATACTGAAAACTATTAAGATAATATTTTTTTCCCCTTTATTTATTTATTGTGACCTTCTACTTTGAAGGATAATGTGTACTATACTTAGTTTTTGTTAATCAATGTGTGAACATTTAACCACAGATGTCTATTCTGAGTTTTAACTGTCTATAGCTGATGGTTAAAATAACTAGTCTAACTGTAAGGCCTGGAGGAATGAAGGTTTTTGTTTTATTTTCTTGTCTTGTTTAGAAAACTAAGTGAGAAGCAGCAGGTGTTGCTGACACATGGTGACAGTATAACACAGGTAGCTGATGGCTTCAAAGCTGTTGCTCACTCCGGTAGCTGTGTAGCAGGTATGATGTGTGTTTGTCTTTAATTTTAAACAGTTCTTTAATTGATTGGTCACATGTTTTTTTTTTAAACTTTTGAGAAGTGTTGTATTAATTTGTAAGGTTTTCTGTAAGTATTAGTTGATGTGGTTAAAAAAAATATACAGAATAAGTAAGATTCTCTATTAAGAATGAATACAGCTTTTTCAAGTTCTTTATATGCACAAATAAAAATTCAGCAGGACCTATCATATGTTTTTGTAAAACAAGCTTTAACACTAACAGCTAGTTGAGTAGAAAAATAACCTTTATGAAATAGTGTTTGTCTTAGTGGCATAACAAATTTCTTTCTACACCTGGCCCTAGTGATAATTATCAACCCTTTTTAAAAAAAAGCTTCTGGCATGCTATGTTCACCAACTGGTATGGCCTGGTGGTTATTATTGCAGATGAAGTAGAGTTAATCCTCTTTGTGACCTTGCTATATCAGCATTAGAAGAATGAAATTAATTTTTTTAACGATATATTAATTAATTAGTTAATTTCATTAATCTGTTTCAGCGATTGCCAATGAAAAGACCAAACTGTATGGAGTCCAGTTCCACCCTGAGGTTGACCTCTCTGAAAATGGCAAACAGATGCTGAGAAATTTCCTGTTTGACGTGGCACAGTGTAGTGGTGACTACACCATGTCATGTAGAGAAGAAGCTTGCATTAAGTACATCAAGGAAACAGTGAAGGATCATAAAGTCTTGGTGAGTACTAATAGTTGCTCATTCAGATAAATATATGCATTTAACGAAACAATGACTAATTCCACAAGCAAATAGTCCATTTGAACCATATATGTGTATAAGAATTTGCTCTTACGCAGATTTAAAAAATTACAGTTTACCGTAGTTGTGTTCCCTAGGTACAGCTGAGACTGCCTGTCTTTAAGAAGTTACTTAATGCAATGGCACAGCAAAAGTCTGTGGTACAAAATATTTTTTAATCTAGCATAAAGAAAATTTATTTTAATATCCAGAGGTTAAAAGCAACTTAGTTTTGTGTGTTTTTTTTCTTATTCATAAAAGATATTCTATCATTTAATATCAGTGATCATCTAAGTCTTTTAAGCTGTGTCTCAATATTCTGACAGTAAAACATCCTCTGCATTATTAACCAATGAAACTTGTCCCTTACCTTTGCTGCAGATGCTGTTGAGTGGGGGTGTGGACTCTACTGTCTGTGCTGCACTGCTACACAAGGCCCTGAATGAAGACCAGGTGATTGCTGTACATATTGACAATGGTTTCATGAGGAAAAATGAGAGTGAACAGGTAGAACAATCCTTGAACAAAATTGGACTCAAGGTTAGGGGTGAGTAGTCTCTGTCTGTTACATTTATGAGTGATGCTTATATTAGTTTAAAATACTTTGCTCATTTGATTAATGTTGTGAGTCATTTTTTTTTAAATTTCAAACACTAGTTTAGGAACAGAAGAATCAAACTACTCATACCATTTTTGTCTAGACAAACAAGCTGTATTATATAACTACTCACAAATTCTTTTTAAACTAGTTTCCCTTGCATTAAGCATTATAATTGAATTTGCAATACTTAACCCTTTAGACCTTAAAATACAAACACCTTATATAGTCAATTTACCTTCAATATTCAGCGTCACAAAGCTTTAAACCAGCATTGAACGCTGAACTTCTGATACACCTCCACCATAAAAACAAGCTGATTAGTGGAGAGAAGTTAATTTAGAAAGGTGATAGTTTATTTTTAGGATGAATGTGAAATCTTTGATGTATTTTTAATATTTGTTGCATTTTTTTGTTGCAGTTGTGAAAGCTTCACATACTTTCTATAACTCCACAACATCAGTGCCAATGGATACACATGATATTAACTCTCGCAAACGAAAAACAAACACCTTAAACACAACAACTAACCCAGAGGACAAGCGCAAGATTATTGGTGACACATTTATGAAGGTAGGGAATTACATCTTGCCTTTGTAATTTGCTTGTTTTATACATTTTTTGTTTATGTGATGAGATGAAGTGAAAAAAATAAATACTTATTTATTTCACAGGTGGCTAATGAGTGCATTGAAGAACTTAACTTAAAACCTGAAGAAATTTATTTGGGTCAAGGTTAGTCTCAAATTATGCAAATAGTTATTTCTTGAATTATTTTTAATTTAAATTGTTCCCTTAAATAAAAACAAATATTCAATCTTTTAACCCTTCAGCCAATAAAACATAATTTTCCAATTCCTTTCCTGTATTAGCGGTCACATGTATTTCATTTTTTTTAATTCTGTTTGGCTGTGCAAAGCATTTGACCTTTCACAGTAGTACCATGCTGAATGTCTGATTTTTAAATTGTAGCAGTTGAGATATTCTTTAGCTTTTTGTGTGTGCCAATCTCTGTAGTTTGTTGACAATGGTTTTGACCTAGGCAGGTCACTGCCAGGTAATGCTGGCTGAATCATATCATAAATTTTCTGCACTTTCATTTAGTTCTGTTTGATGTTTCTTTACATTTCTTTAACAATAGCTACAAAATGTCCTATTTTCTTTAACCTTGTGTAATAACAGGGGCTGAGGGAATTGAGAACAAAAAGTTGGTTGGGTCTGTAAGGATTGATGTTACAAAAAAAATCACTTGGTTAATTTAGGTACTCTTAGGCCTGACTTAATAGAAAGTGCATCTGCCTTGGCAAGTGGGAATGCAGATGCTATCAAAACACATCACAATGACACAGATCTGGTTAGGGAGCTGAGAAAGCAAGTAAGTTGTAATGAGAGAAAAAAGTAAACAGTAAGGAGTTAACTGGTTTCCACTGCTTCATAGTGGTCTAAACCATCATATTTACAGCTGAATGAATAATTTATTTTCTCTCGAAATCAGGGTCGTATTGTGGAGCCATTGAAAGATTTCCATAAAGATGAAGTTAGGGCAATAGGCAAAGACCTTGGACTGCCTGAAGAACTAATTAACAGACATCCTTTTCCTGGTGGGTATTTTGTACACTAGTCTACAAGAATGACAAAAATAATGAGATGTAGTATTTTGTGATAATATTACCATTGCATAGAAAATAAGTTTTATTTTGAACTTGTTAGTCTTGATATTATTGTAGTTATTTATTGTATTAGTTGTAGATTTTGCTAACTTTTAACATATTTTTATTTTTCTACAATACGTATTGACGTGAATAAGGTTAGTGTACTAATATTTTAGATAATTGTATCATTATATTTTTATAGGACCTGGTCTGGCTATCCGTGTGATCTGTGCTGACGAGCCATACATGTGCAAAGACTTTGCTGAAAATTCAGTCATGCTGAGGATAATCACAACTTTCTCCACTTCTTCTAAGACAGTAAGTTGTTGATTTTAATGTCAAGGCTATTAGATATGAGGATCCTCATTGAAATATTTTACTGATTTTACAAAGATTCTTTTTAACTACATAATATACCTTTTTGGTTCGTTTAGTTTGTAACAGCATAATTTTGTCTTTGTTTAGCCACACTCATTGTTGAACCGAATCAAATCCAACTCATCACAAGAAGAACAAGATATGTTAATGAGGGTGTCTGTCAAAACTTCAATATCATCTTTGTTACTACCTATAAAAACTGTGGGTGTACAGGTGGGTTCTGTGTTATTAGTATTCCTTTTTTTTCTCTTAAACTAACTGATTTATGTCAAAAAAAATTATCTCAAAACTAAAATGTGAGCCAATAGTTGAAATGTGTGACTGTATTAGCTTTTCACTTCAAATATTTAGGGAGACTGCAGGACATACAGCTATGTTGCTGCACTGTCTACAGATGAGGAGCCAAATTGGGAGGAGTTAATGACACTAGCTAAAATCATCCCAAGAATTTGTCATAGTATTAATAGGTATTCTAAACCTTTTTCTTAATTTTTAAACGGTGGAATATTTTTCTATGTTTTGTTGTATTCTACAATGATCACATTAGTAAATAAAAAAGATGTACATGTGAAAAAAAAAATTAAATTATAATAAGCAAATTAAGTTTGTGAAAATTATGAAACTGATAAAAAAAGACTATAAGGGAGTGTGCATTAAAAAAACATTTTAAGATATATAGAGATTAACCCTGAACATCCAATTATGTTAATTTAAATGACTTGCTGTTTTCTTCTATTGTAGGGTAGTTTATGTGTTTGGAGGACCAGTCATTCACCCTGTAGAAGACATAACACCCACATTTTTGACAACTGGGGTACTGGCTACTCTACGACAGGCAGATTACAATGCCACAAGGACTCTAGCAGAAGCTGGGATAACTAAATTAATATCACAGGTGCAACATACATTACTTTAATCAATGCAACCAACGTTGCAACAAAAATCACTTTTTTAAACTTCTCTATTTTCACATAGCTTTCTAAAAGTTTATAAAATGAACTAATTAATGAATGCTTCCCACAGATGCCCATTGTTTTGATCCCAGTCCATTTTGATAGAGACCCCAGCTTACACCTACCTTCTTGTCAAAGATCTGTAGTCATTCGGACATTCATCACCAATGACTTCATGACTGGCATCCCAGCAACACCTGGGAAACAGATTCCCGTTAAGGTTAGAACCTGTGTGGTGGCACTCAATTTATTTTCTAATATTCTTTTGTGCATTTTTAGATTATTTCTTTAAATTTTGCATTATTATAGCTACTATTAAACTACTTTTTCTTTGTGACAATAAAGCTTCTTTTTTTTTCGAGATGTATTCTTTAAACTTTATTTTAGTTGTTTAGATTAGAAGATTTTTAAATGTATTGTGCATCTTTGTAATAACATGTATTCACTTGACCTCAGGTTTTGGATAAAATGGTAGAGAATGTGCTTCAGGTTCCTGGCATTTCAAGAGTTCTGTATGATCTCACAGCCAAGCCACCTGGTACTACAGAATGGGAGTAATTCTTAATGCAGTTTTTTTGTTTTAAATACAACTTGTAAATAATTTTAAGAAATAAATTTTTAGCTATTTCCCCCCCCCCCCCCCCCCCCCCATAATTAATACCACATTTCAGCTCATTTCTTTTCTCTTTATTGGTTTTTATTGACACTGCTGGTTTTATTCAGTAAGAAAATCATTTTTTTTTTCTATCACTGTTTAAAGTAAGAAACAATGTTTTTATTTCAAAGTTATTAAAAATGTTAAAATGAAGAGTTTCTGTAATAAAATATTTCTGAGTTACTTTCCTTTTACAATACAGAATTTGTTTTTATTGTTAGATAAGTTTGCAAGACCTCATTCATGTAAACTAGTAAGGACTTGCTACATTTTCTAAATAGTTGGTGTTAATATAATATAAAAACAAGCATCAGTATTACTTTAGCAAGCTTTAGAAATATGTAATTTCATATGAATTACCAATTTATATTGATTAATAAAGTGATCTTGTTGGAAAAAAAATTAAGTTTTGTCATTTTTAGTGTCAATGATCAAATTGCATTTTGGTTTACAGGTATAAAAAATATTCTGATGTCTTCAATGAGACGTTAGTATATGTACACAAACCATGTTATAACATGGTTTTGTAATTCTCTTGCTTTACCTGTCGTCATTAAAGATCGCTCCATACTTTTATTCGTACATTAGTGTCATTAATTTTAAAGCACACATTTTTCAGCAATTCAGTATGCTTTTCTTTATGACACAACCACATATTGACCGAGTGTCAGAACTATTCTTTTTACATAATGTAATTTTGTATCAAATCCACATATCATGAAAATTTCACCCCAAGTAATTTAATCTGGTACCATTAAACTCATTTCCAATTGTATGGTTTTTTTGCAAACTGTATACATGTCTTTTTATAGTATTCATGTGTTACTAAGTTATTCAGCCCAATTGCAATGTGAGTAATGTCCCCTGTAGCCTTGACTTGCTAAATTTATTTGGTTTTAATAGCAAATTTGGCTTTTCTTTTCCCTAAAATCAATATTTTAAGTTTATTTTGTTTGCATTTGAACCTCACCAACAAAAACTTTAGATGTTTGTTTATCTGGCAATTTATTGACATTGTATCAGTTTTACCATTACTCCAGTGTGACCAGTTTGTGTGCAGTGCTTGCCCAAATGGTTGTCTGTATTGTATACTCAGGTATCATTTTATTTTTTAAATCACGACTTGTGAAAAAAAAAATGTTTACATTTAACCTCAGAGCTTCATTTCAGTGTAAAGCACAATAAATTTGAAGGCATTGTTGATCTTTTGTTTTACTGTTTAACCTATTTAATTTTATTTTCATTCAGTTAGGCAGAAACTAATTACTATGGTAAAAGCATTTGGTTATATCTTGGTTTTATTTAGTTTTATTGTCTTTTGACACCTTTCACTTATATAATTATTGATCTGCAAGTAAGTAATTTATATTTAATTTGGATTTTTAAAAATATGTATTTATAACAAGAATTATTCAAATTGAATTTCAACAACAGCTGGGCTGCCTACTTGTACAATTTTTCCTGAAATTAACTATTTTGACATCCAGGTTATATTGATTTATCCTTGAAGGTTACATTTTTCCTTCTGTAAAAATTTGAAATTATCACTAGCAGATATTAGTTTTTTTTTTTTTTTGCGATAACCTCCTGGTCTGGAGTTATACATTGAGCTATTTAAAATTGCAAGTGGTATTTCCCTTTTACATGCGTCTTTCGTAACATTTCAATCTTTTTTTTATCAAAGGTTTCAGTCGTATAAAATATATGTTGCTTAGTTCTTTAAAAAGTATATTACGTTCTGATAATTTGGAGCAGAGTTTTAAAAATTGTATTGTACAGTTTTTCTATTACCTTATATAAAAAAAAAAAAACTGTTGGAGTAACAAAGACAATTATCATTAGGCTAATTAATTTTGTGATTTATGCAAAATTAAAAGATATGGCCAGAGGCTAATTACTACGGAAAATGAAAGATTGCTTATGAAATTTGTAGAGGAGGGGGTAGTCCTGCAATGTAGTTTTCAGTTATGACATAATTTGCATTAGCGTCTCCAAATCCAATAATGTTCAGCTTGCTTATTGATCATACTATACAAGTAAACAATAAACCAGATTGGGTTACGTATGCGCAAATTTATAAAACTGCTCAACGAAATGTAAAATCTTCTAGTTTTATTTTTTACATATTCGTGTTTTAAATATGGCATTATTTTCAATAATTTTGTTTTGTTTAAAGCTCTTTCGGTAAAAAAAATCCAGATTTTTGTAGTGTTTGATGAATTTTTCCCCCTGCTTTAGTCTAATGCAAGACTAAAAATATTTTTTGAAAGTTGAAAGAGGGCAGGCAGCATTAGATTCGACAGATTTTCCTATACATGTTTGTACGTGCGTTTTATTAAAGATCTGATATAGATTTTTGTCTTTGTTTTTTGTTTTTTTGTTAAAAAACAGATGATTTTAAGAGGAAAGTATTATTGGCTGCTTTGATTTTTAAAAAAACTCTGTATGTTCAAAGTTAAACAACAAATGTAATAAACACTAGTTCACTAAAATATTTTAGTCAAAGGTGATAATTTGTCATACATTTGAAATGTGTTCATGTTAAATCCATCATGTATGAAGTGTGCAGCAGTCCAATATAAATATATAAAAAGGCATATCATCATGCAAAACATTTTATTTGATAAAATTCAATTCAAGATCTGCATTTTATGACATGAATATCCCATTCCAAACAATAGAAATATTTATAATAAAAACATTAATGTGAAGTATGTACAGGAGTAGCAATTATTGTCCAAATAATTTCTAACTCAAACAGCAACCTTTAAAAAAGTATCAGTGAATACAATGACTCACAAAAAAAACACAATTGCAACCAATTAAAGTCTAAACAAAATGTATAACTGACAATTTAAAATATTTTATCTGGAGTGAGGTTATATTGATGCAGATAAATGAATCTACTATTCTGATCTAATCAAATGTGTATATAAGATAGCAAACTTCGTTCTTGATTAGAAATGCAGCTTACGCATTTCAGCACACAGAGTCCAACAGGATGGGTGCTTAAAATAAAAGGGGATTCAGCTTTCTTATCTCTCCGATGTTTATATACGCTTCAAAACGCAGCAGATGTGTTTTCTTGCTTTTTACAAGAATTTAAAAGAGCAAGGCTGATTGGAACATGTAATGAGATGATTGCATCACTGCAAGATAATTTTTAATAAACTGTGATGGATTATGTAACAAAGATGATGAATATACTTAGATCTCAAATTAAGTAAAATAATGAGAATTTTAAATTGATTTGTTTAAAATGCTTTTTGATTTTAACAAATACTGATCTGCAGATTGATATCTACTGGTAAAACCTTTCCTAAAACATTTTCCGCAAATAAATAATCTCAGCTAAAAACTGGATTGATAAAATCACAAAGTAAATGTTCTTGACATTCTTTTTAAATGTAATTTTTTTCAGTTTTTTTGGTAAAGAATTTATATTAAAAAAAAAGTTTAGAACATTCTTAAAAACTTGAGTTCTAATATATATAAAAACTCCTACAAATTCTTGTTCTTAATGCTAAAAAGTTTGCATTGCAAATTTAAAAGGCTAAAGTTTAACAATGAAATAACTTGGGTGTATTTCAACTAAAATATTACATATTACAAAGTTAAAAAATTATTTATTTTAAATGAAATTAATCTGAAAAATTTAAGAATTTAATCCACTTGGAAAACTGAAAAAAACTTTTTAAAATTGTGCTGATAAAAATTGTACTGTGATCCACATCTCACTACATCTTAGAATACTGATCTTTATCACATACACATTTTACCGTCTTGGCTTTTTTAAGCATACCATTATAAGTTAACAATAACTTTAAACTTATAATAAATTTGAAATTTAAAAACTTTAACCATAAATTTTTAAAGAAACAATGTAAACTGCTGCAACTAAATTGAAAATATTGAAATTTCCATAATTAAAAGAACAAAATACAATATAGTAAGCACTCATTTATTGCAATTCATACAAATGCATACATTCTCCACATTCAAAGGATTTACAATACCAGTTCCATCCATCACATCTTCCACACAATGAATTGCAGGTATGAGCTGAACATGTATGTGTTCATATAAAAATTCTTTATAGAATTATTTATCTAATAAGCTTTCAATTTTAGTATGAAAAATCAATACATGATTAAAAGCTCAGAGCATGAGATCTGAACCAATTTGTCTTTAAACAAACCTCAGCAAGACTGTTAAAAACAGTGAAAAAACTATTTCACACAAGCCTGTAACCAAAATCAGCACAAGAAACCATTATTTGAATACTTTTACGATGATCCACTTTATTTTTAAATTGTTATACATGTTAGAGATTTCTACATAAGTAAAGCTACTTAACTATTTTTTAGACAAAGCTACTTTCTTGGTTACTCTAAACAATGTAAATAATTAGCCAGCCAGACTTAATTTTTAAATTTTGTCCTGATGATTTAAGTCCTAATTTCAATACAATGGTTCTCAACCAGTGTTTGTTGCATACCACAAGAACCCTTAATATCTATGCATATCTTGTATTATGCAGAATACTCTATGATTTTTCAATATATGTTAAAAGTAACCCTTTAACACTACCCTGAGTAAGCCTTGGTGTATGTAAACAATCAGTTGAGAAGCACTGGTTTTATGGGCTCTAAAAATATTTGTCAATTTTTTTTTACAGGAAATATTTTCATTTCTACAAATAGATAATATGGTAGAATGTCCACCCATCACAGCATCTTCAAATTTTAACATTATAAACAATAAGATTGCTTTAACAGATAGGAGAACCCTTGAATATAGTGAACAAGTGTTCTTTTTATGCACACACACATACTTACATATACTATCTATATATATATATATATATATATATATATATATATATATATATATATATATATATATATCTATATATATATATATCTATATATCTATATCTATATATCTATATCTATATATATATATATATATATATATATATATATATATATATAAATATATATATATATATATATATATATATATATATATATACATATATATATATATATATATATACATATATGTATGTATGTGTGTGTGAAATAATGGCTCACAAGAATTAACAGAAATGTCAATTTTTACAGTTTTGAGAAAAAAATGTATTTAGCATTTATGTTTTTATTTGTCATATGAACCAGATTTTTCTACCTAATGGCATGTTGCTGCATAAAGGAAAAAATGCCCAAAAAAATAACAACTCTGCTTCTTTCAGTGAGCTTTTTAAATATATCATATCAACAGTTCTCATTTCCGCTAAAGTCACAGCATCCCACCCCAGTCAAACTTACGATGCCACAAGACTATATTGTATCAACAACATTTGTGACAACATGTTTCACGACAAAAGCAAAAGCCGCTATCCCTGCCAGGAAAAGCATGTTGGTCACTGTGCCACGCAGAAACCACCTGTTTCCACCCCGATGGACATTGTCAGCAATTTGTGGCACACCATTGTGGAATAGATTGCTGTCTCCGTTGTTCAAAAGGTTACCAGTTTCTGTTGATTTCTTAAACTCTTCTGCTTGTTTTCGTAAGTTTTCTCGAATTTTCTGCACACAAAAAGGTAAAAAGTAATAAATGGATTTAAAATAAACACATTAAATTTGTTTTGACTGTGTTATAACTTTTTGAAAAAAAACATGCTTTTACTTTTATTCAATGTTTGTTTTATTTAACTAATTTCAGATAAATAAATAAATGTTTAACCTTATTTTCTTCTTGCAATAAAAAAAATTAAAGAAATGTTAGAATATCTGAACTTACATCTGCAACATCAGGAAACAATTCACAAAATGTTTTATTTGCCAAGTTGAAAGACCCACTTTGTGCAGCTAGTTGTCTTTTCTAAAGAGAAAGAATATCTTTGGTATTAAAATAATTCAAAATAAAAAAAATTGATTCAGCTTTAAACCAAAAGAGAACTGCAGCTAGAAAAACAGTACTCACAGTGCACAGACTCGTTTCAATACTTCCCAAGGTTGGACTTTTCTCTAGCTAGAAAAATAATTTGGAATTATATTTTTATTATAATAAATAATAATTAAGCCTACATGTTTTAATTAGTACATACAAGTACATGTATACAGGCATTGTTAGTACTATGCAAATTAATAAACAAGCATAAACTAAAGCATTAATAAGTGGTGTAAGAGAATAATTTGAATGATCAATGGCCTTTGATAGGTAGCTGGAAGCATTATCTAAGAAGAGTTAGCTTTTTTTTTTTCTGCCCATTCAGCCCAGAAAAATAGTCAATGACAACTCTTAGAATGCTTATGATGTGTGAAGTATCCTTTTATAAAACTGAAGGTCCAGGGAGCAGGTGAAGCATATAAAGGGATCCTGTGGTCAGTACTATGCCCAACAGCCTTTACTTTCCCCAACATGAGTCAGGTACCCATAAGAGCTGGGTGCACTCATGGCTTTACTGGGAATCGAACTCGAGACTGCCAGGTTAGCAGTCACATTCGACCACACCATCTCATAATAATGTGTATCAAAGCTATTTTATTTAAATCTCAACCTTAACCAAGATCAATAATATACATTGCCCTGCCAACCTTTCAAGAAGAACCAGATCAATCAACTTACCATAAAACTAAGGAGTCCAGTCAGAATAGTGGACACTGACCAAGCTGGGTTCCAGGTATCAGGGTGAAAATCACTAATTGACAGACACAGTCTATAAAAAGAGAAAACAGCTCATTAACAAAAGTATTTTTTTTTCTCTACATTCCTAATTTTTATTTAAATTTAAATGGTTTTTTCTATTAGGTCACATTCTGTGGGTGACAGGAGTCTGCCTTTTGGGCGATTCATGTTATTAATAATGTAAAATGAAAATAAATAAATCTATATTAATTTAATAATAACAGCTTTGAAAGATAGATATTTTTTAGATGGGTCATATTTTTGTGTTGGGGTTGGGTGAATTAATGATTCCTTAAACAATAATTAAATTAGCAAAAAGTGACACCACCACGTCATGTAGTATATTTGAGGAATAAATTAAATGACTCTTGCCTTGTGTTGCACTTGAATCTTCCATTAGGTGTCAGCATGTAAATACTCGGTGGTTTGAATGGAAATTCTCTGGGGAAAACTAATTTGCCATGGTAAATCCCACCTGCGAAAACATTTCAACATTTTAAAACAGTTTGAGTGAACATAATTTAGTAAAATATAAAAACAATTTTTTATTAAACCAACATTTTGTCTTTTGTACAATATTTTAAACTTAAAATCAAACTGATTTTACATGTAGATATAATTTATTTAAACTAATGTCCCACTATGTGTATTGATTATGAAGAAATTAATTTAATTCATTGTATACCTTCATAAGGTGAATTTTCTGGACCTTCAACAATATAATGCCTGAAAATAAATATATAATTTTCTTAAATAAATCATTTATACAGATAAAAAGCTATTACATAGCAATCAAAATTATATAAATAAGCCAGTGCCTTGAAGTAAAAGGTGTTTATTGCTAAAAACCTATAACTTGAACAACAACAGGTCTAACAATAACATATCCTATCCTATAAAATATTATAGTTATACTTTTGAAAAAAATTATCAGTAGCAATTACAAAGCTATGCACACACCATTCAAGAATATTAGATGGCACAGGAGCAGCTTGAATATAAGGCACGGGGTCTTTCATTATCCTCATGTAGTCTTGTTTAAGTCTGGCTGTGGCGGTTGAGTTTACTTTCTTTGATGACATCTACAACACAAATAATGTTAACATGAGAATTATAAATGAGGCAGTACTGTCAGATCTAGTTCTAGGATTCTACTACTAGATCTAGGTTTCTAAATGGACAAGAGCGAGTTGACGAGAATCCTTCCATAACGTTGTTGACATGGAATAAAAACGTACTTTTTTAGATTTAGACCGTAAAAAAAATAAAAACTAAAGGCTAAAATTAATTTAGAAATTTTATATTTTTAGAATAAATGCTATAAAAGTTGCAAATCCAGAGAACTTGAAAATAATTTGTTGAGTTTAAGGCTAAATTTCTATTTATTTTCATTAAGCCTAAGTTATAACCGGATGTTTCACTTTCGTAAGACACATATTGATTGGCTGTACAGGAACTCCGTGATTGATAATTATTTGTTTACAAAACTTTGCAGATCAATTTTTTAAATGACAATGCAAATTTAAACCCCCATGACCTAGTTTTTCTTTTTTTAGCTAACAATGTGTAGAGTAAAATTTATGGCAGCCTATCAAATAGCAGGATGCCATTGTTTATGCCGCCATTACATGTGAAAACCAAATTATTTTTGCTTTTTTTTTTATTTAGTTACCGAAAATATTAAAAACATCAAATACATCCAATCTTTAGTAAAGTCCGAAAAAAACCAGACAGACAGGAGTTTATAACCATATTAATTGTAACTACGCCATGCATGATTTTTAAACTAATTAATGGGCCTCTCAAATACCTTTGAGACTTTTCTCGCTCGCGTCCATTTAAAAATTATCCATCCAGTACATACAAGTTCAAGTTGAATACAGAGTACAGTTATATAGTGTTACTTTACTCAATGAAGCTTTAGATATTATTAGATGGCAGCAGCTAATCATAGTTCACTATGAATAGCCCTTAGAAAGCTATTCATAAACTGACCGATCAGAGAAAAGAATTTTTCCAAGTAATTATGCAATATGTTCTGCTATATAGGTCTAATTTCTTTAGATCTAACCTTATCACTTACAATGATCCCTAACAGCTAATGCCTAAAACCTAACCCTAAAAAAGTTCAACAACTCGTCTTCATTTACTAAGTAAAATAGGAAAATAAAAAGCAAAATAGAAACCCTGAGCCACAAGGAATAGAACACATGTGACAAAACCAAGCTGCCTGATGTGCAACCACTTGAGCAGTTGACTCATCATCAAAAAGTTAAATGTCATCCGCAAGTTGATTTAAAAAATATATGCAAGCATGTGCAGGACTATAAATATGATTGGTCAGCTAAAAATAGCAAACTACAAATAGAGTTTAAATAATATTCATCGTCAACTACAAATAGTAAAAAGTAAGTGAAGTTCCCTTTTCAAATGACTCTCTAGTCAATTGTATGTCAAGGGAATTTTTATACCAGTGTCCGGTAATATAATAGAATCTTGCTAATCATCTAATGTTAATCATCTAACCCTATCCCTTACCATAATCCTAGTCCTACCATATGCCAAACCCTAATTTCTAAACATAGGGTCATTGTGAGTTCATGTAAGATAATTTATAGACTCATGCCTTGCAATTATGCATTTCTATTTAACCCATTGCCATGAAAATCTTAAGTGACACTAACATATTTTTATGAGAAAAAAAAAGTTAAATCCAGATCTAAATAGATCTAGACTCTAATCTAAGACACATTCAATACTCTAAATGTTGGATTTTTCTCAAGTTTTGACAAAATTTATTTTAAAAACTAAACCCAAAATTCATAAAGAAATAGGCGGAGTGGTTTCCTAACAATGTTTTTGTGTTTTTCTGTTGTGTTTAGGCTATATATTGTAGTATTTGTAGTTTATAATAAAATAAAAAATACGCTCAACTGGTTGGTGGAGGTGAACGTGAAATGGGGAATAAAATACGCTAAAATGGAGTTTTACCTTTATTTTTTATTATTTTTAATTTTTACGGTCTCTTGATTGCAAAATCTAACATAGCACGTTTTTAATCCATGTCAACAATGAAAACTAAAAACAATATGATGGATTGGAAGACTAAGAAATTAGAAGGGAAGGATTCTTGTCAACTCGGTCACCTCCATTTAGCGAGGCTCACTAACTCGAAAGCGTCCTTGGTTGCTAACCAGAACATGGCTACCACACCTTGGCCTACGATTGGGCATTTTTTCAGCTTTGTTCGAGAGACCACCTTAACATTAACATTAAAAATAATTATCACGCGAAAAATGGCGTATTTTAAGCTATCTGAAGATGACAAAGCTATTTTTGCCAGAAAAAAAAATTAAAATTTGCTTCCGACAATGTAGGTCAAACGTAAACATGGGTATAGTTTGAGTTGTTTAAAAACTTTAAATAATGGTCTGTTAGGTGTCCAAATGGCACTGTACGGTAGGCTATCATTAGACTGATCGTTTAGTGAAAAAATATTGTAATTATTTTATAACCATTTTAAGAAATCGGCGCCCAAAAAAGGTCACTGAAAGCACGTAATTTTTAATTGTGACGTCATCGCTATTGTGATGGATGCTGTACGGAAGTATGCGCAATAGACGCTAAAAGGGTTGTATATTATTTCAAATGGGCTCACAATTTGGCCTTGATTTCCTGCGTAATTAGGCTAATTGAGAATCATTAGTGATCTTTTACCTGGCCATGTGATGATAGGTATCTTACAAGGCTATAAAAGCCCGCGAAACACATCGATCTACCCTTCAGATTGGTATTGGTGAGAGTATTTGATGCATACTTATTATAGCAAGGATAACTAACTTGAAAGCGTCTCTGGTTGCTAACAACACAGTAGCGTAGCGAGGGGGGGGGGGGGGGCGGGGGGGGACACATGTCCCCGGGCGCCGAGCTTAGGGGGCGCCAAAATGGGTTGGAAAAATAAATTGAAAGGTTGAGGGGGGTGCAAATCAAAATCTCGAGGGGGGGTGCAAATCGAAAGTTTGAGGGGGGGGGGTGCAAATCAAAATCTCGAGGGGGGTGCTAATCGAAAAGTTTGTCCCCGGGCGCCGGGAAGGGTCGCTACGCCTCTGTAACAACAACATGGCGTCCTAAACCGGACGCTTAGTTTCGGACCTCGTGAAAAATTGCGGTTTTTTCACATAATGTAAACAAACTATAGTTGGCAGTGCTAAATATGCCAGAGAAACGCTATAAATTGCTTTGGATAATGAAGACCGAAGCTCAAAAAGTGGTGCCGACAAACATTCGTAGATCTTTTTAAATATTAGCAACTACGATGTAGATCGGAAACCGAAAGTACATCAATATTAGATTTAACAGTCTGTGTAAAAATAAATCGAATATTACATGCGCTAATTTTTTTTTAAAATTCTCCAAAACGGTCACCACCAGAAGTAAAAATTCCATAACCCACGTGACCGCTATTGGGCGGCAGACGTTCGCCTAGGTGGCTCTATCGACTCTTTACTACGTTTGTGTTGACGAGCGTTAAGTGAATATTTTCCAATTTTGATTTTTACATTGCTGGACAAATTAATTAAGTATTTCGATCTGAACACGGGAAGATAGGAATTAGTTGGTATTTCTGTAAAAGCCCGTAAACCTGTGATCTCGTGGTGAAACGCGATCTCGAAAAAGTCTAGGTGCTAAATTATTTACTTGATTTTATTATTACTAATTACTACTAGATCGAATTATAGTTAATATTATTTTCATTTGCTTTCATTTTTATATAATTGATTATTATGATTTAGATCCAGAAGGGCTAGGCTAATAAATTATAATAATTATATTAGAGGACAGCCTGCATAAACAAAAGTTTGCATTCTTAGATCTAGATCTAGTTGACACAGTACAGGGACTTGCGCACACGCTCGCGTGACGAAAGAACGCAAGCGGGCTCGTGACGAATTTGCATAATTTTTCACTCACAAGTGATCAACGTTAAAGTGATAGGCGTAGCCTAACAATCTTTAAATAGATCTATCTAGATCTACACACCAGCTCTAGATACAAATTTAAGTATTAAAACTCCACCTGGATCTAGCTTCGGACGGGCGATGTTTCTCTCGTTGACAAAACAACGCGAGCGAGCCGTCACTACGCACAGCCTATGAGTGGCGATGTTTGGAATGCATTTCTCGCTCACATGTGATGAAATTTAATGCAACGACAGTTTTAAAAATAAAAACAGATATTTTATTATGCCTATATATTTTTTTTTAATATTTAAAACTCAGCCTAGACAAAGCTTCCATGCTGGATAAGGAAGGAGGGTTAGATTCCGCCGTTAACTCAATCTATGTATTATTATGCATAATTGTCCTAATTAAACATTCCTATTTACACTGATTAACCCTCTTAAGACGTAGCTTTTTTAGAGAGCCGGTGCTAAGAAGACGGAGCCTACTTTCAAGTTTTGCACTTGTATCACAAAAAAATTTTGAAAAAAATAAAATAATTATTTTACATGCATAAAAATATATATTATTTATTAGGAAATTGAATGAGCTAATATGATTTTTATAAATCTAATAAAAATCTCAACATATATATATGTGAGCTTTCATATTTGCATAATTTATGCACGAAAAAAAAATGACGGCACTAAATTACAGTAAATTTGTATAACAATACGTTTTTTCTCTCTGTAATGCTAATCTAAATAATACACAAACATCTATTCAATAATCTGAACTAATTTACTGATTATTATTTCTACATTAGAATTTCTAAGTATATTTTTAGTATATTTTGATGACTGGACTGTTGGACATAAGAAAATTTACGATAGGACTCACGGCACTAAAAAAATCGATAAAAAACAAAATAATGAGGCAAACTTTCAATGGAAGTCGCCATTGAAGTGCTAGATATGTACTATAACAGTTAGAAGCAATCTGATTGGCTGATATGATACTAGAAAGCCAATCGTGTGGCTTCTACTATCGCGGCTGAGACCCGGCCGATAGATCGGTCGGTCGTCTTTTTGGCTATAAAACCGGCGGCCGATAGATCGGCCCGGGCGTCTCAAGAGGGTTAATCAAGACTGAATAAAACGTGAAAATGAATACCTTTAAAAAGTTTAGATCTATATATTTTTAAACATTTATACGTGATTATTTTTGGTTCATTCATTTGGCGTTTGCTAAAAATATAGTAAATAGATTACATAACCAAGTTACGAGTATCCTTTCGATTTCGTTTTATTGCAGCATACCTCCACTTCCCCCTCCCCACACATGATCCTTACGAACCTCCTAGGTAGTTTTCAGGTCAACTTTAGGAATCAGATCTCAGACTGGTTGTCATGGAAAAATCTTTCACAGCTAAGCTGTATGGCACCAATAATTAAAATCATGTATTTTAGTTCATAATGAGCTAAAATCATCAAATGTAGTGCCTAGTTAGTTAGAAAAATATCTCTAGCTTTTATTGGTATTGGTTAAAAAAATAAAAAATTAAAATTAAGATTTAGTGAGCCTCCCTACTCCATTGAATTATTTTGAGTTTTTGCAGGCCTAAACAATACTAAACATAATATATTATATAATACAATAGACAACGACTTACAGTTCGGACTGTTGCTACTATTTATTTTTATAGTTATGAAATCGGGATAAACTTGCTGCAGCTGATTTATAGATAAAAACAATGTTTTTTATTTGCTTGTGTCTAGTTCTTTCTTTATGGAACTGACGATATCCGGAAGATTGTTTTGATCCCCTTTCGCGTTCAATTAAAAACGATAATTTTTTTGTGAACGAAAGAAAAGACATTTTTCTTAATTAAAGATCAGCAAAAATGTTTTAAGTTTTAAATGTTAATTTTTACATTTTTGAGGTTTCAACGAATAGACTATATAATTCAATTTATAAGGTTATATATAATTAGAAGATCTTATCAATATTGCAATTTTGCACCCCCACCCTTTCCACATATCACTGTAGACTGTAGGCTGTCTAAATTTTTAAAAATATTCTGCTTTACTTAGTTAAATTAATGTTTAAACAGTATAACTATAAGATTTTTAACAAGATCTATATATATAATTCTCTTCTTCGAGCCGTTAGAAAACAAGCTGCAAACGCTCTCCCTACCTCCCCACCCCTACATGGTTTCAGTGAGCTGTGTTCACTCTAAATGTTTACAAGCAGAGCCAACGATTTTAAACGTAGGGGGGGGGGAGGGGGGGGAGGGAAGGAAGGGGGGGGGTTATGGTCCTTAACGAGCTACTTATAGTGTTTTAAAGAAATATTTTCAGTGTCAGCGTTGGTACTGTCGAATTCACAAATTATGAATTATTGAAAATTAGAAACAACTAAATAGCGGCGTATGTTATGCCGCGGGCCGGCTCGTTTTATATAATTGTGCAGTTCTTAACATTATAGTGACCCACACAATTCTTCTTAGGAGTCGTCGATAAAGGATGACACACTCATGAGAGAAAGGGGGTTTCGTAATCTTGTAACTTGTAACTGATGTGTGAGGAGGGGGAGGGGTGTGATGACAGATAGTGTGGCGTCACACTTTTGCATTTTAAATAAGTAATGTTCGAAACTGAATTATAGCTTCTTTTACATTTTAGAAATTTGCTTTCGAAAATTAGAAATTGATTAAAATACTCTATATTGACCATGCGCAGTCAATATTTTAGAAATATCCGATGTTTAGATTTTTTGCAAAAAAAAAATTAACTTAGTTGTTTCTTTGTCTATAAAAATATCATAAGGTCTGCGATACAATTTTTATACCCGGTCCGGAGCCCTTGCGCAGTGTAGCCGGTGGCTTCCGAGAGGCCATATGCGTTTGTATCACGGTGTACTCCACCTCCCACGCGGCCATGTGACCAAGAGCACCCCTTCTTCCTCTCCATTTTTACACGTTGGCATCTATGTTTTTTCCCGGTGGGCTTTTATTGCGGCTACTATTACTAAACAGTTCGGCAGTTCATCATGTGGCTCCTACGAGAACCCCGCGACATTCCTTACACTTGGGCGGTCGACGAGTGGTGTTCAGTGTTTCTTCCAGACTTTTTTCTCCGGGGGGGCACTTGAAATTTTCGGGGGGGGGGGCGGTAGACTTTCATCGGGGGGGGCGGACACTGTTAAAAGTATATATTTTCTATATAAATTATATAAATTTAATTTCGTTCGGGGGGCGGTAAAAAAATTTCGGGGGGGGCTTCGCCCCCCCACCCGAAGAGATGCCTGGAAGAAACTCTGGTGGTGTTCTACCTCACCCTTGGTTTATTAACGTATACTGATGGTCTGGGGCAGAGGCGTAGCGAGGGCGGGGCGGGGGTGCGGACCGCACCGGGTGACACCATATAGGGGGGTGACACCAAGGCAAAAAGAATTGCAAAATGTACAGAAGAAAAATGCGTTTTGACAGTTCCATTATTGATTATATATATATATATATATATATATATATATATATATATATATATATATATATATATATATATATATATATATATATATATATATATATATATATATATATATATTTTTTTTTTTTTTTTTTTTTTTATTTTTTTTTTTACTTTTTTTCGGGGGGGGGGGTGACACCACGAAGTGCCGCACCGGGTGACATCCGACCTAGCGACGCCACTGGTCTGGGGTTTTTTTTCTGATACAATTTGCATCTGTTATCTCAACAACAGCGAAAGGTTTGTACAGAAAATTAAGTCACGCTTCTAAAAAATACACCATTAGTTAGTAACAATTGAATATTATCATAACGAGTGTCCCAGAATTTCTCTTCTAAGCAACACCCAAGTTCAAAATAAGCTGGGGTAACAAATTGTAACAATATAAAAGCTATCGAAATGGAGGGGAAAAAAGTTATAAATTGAAGTTTGGGTAGACGTGCTATGCTGGCAACGTTCACATTTAAAGTTAATCTGGATTTCTTCCGGAAATTTAATCTGGCAATTGACTGTGGCTAAGCCCCCCCCCCCCCCCTCAAGTACCTACTGCAGGACACCCACGCCACATAGACGGGACCCTTGGCCAGTGTTAAAGTTTAGATCTAGTCCACGATGTATGCTTCACGTTCAAGTTTTCTTTGTTTATTTAATATTAATAGAAATGTAGGCTCTAATTTAAATTTCTAGATTCTAGGTAGACTAGATCTAGATTTTCTAGGTATGTTTATTAAATTTATAGTAGGCCTAAAATTAAAATAGTTAAAAATAGGCCTAGGCCTAATAATTTTTTTTTAATTTAATTTTGAGTTTTCTGTTGCTTGTTGTTACTAGAATCTAATTAAAAAATTATAGAATCTAGGCCCTATAGATCTAGATCTAGAATCTAGATCTATTTTATTTAACAAATTTTGTAATTTACTAGATCTAGTCTAGATCTATTATTTACTATTTATTTTAGGCCTACTAATTGTAACTAATGTTACATTTTAAATTTAATGAAAATTAATGTTCAATGAAAATCTAGATTCTAGATAGTAGATAGATCTAGATCTAGTAGATTTAGATCTAGAATCTAGTTAGAAGTAGTAGGGTGTTGGGAAATTGCGAAATGACGAGGCGGGAAAATGCGAGACATACCTGCGTAATCACGCGTGAGATAGCGAGACACAATTTGCGAAAACAAATTTTGTTTCGTATTTTTTTATAGTTATAAACTTATAAACTAAAGAAGCTGATATATCACGAATGTTGTGTGTTCTTTTTTTTTAGGCTTAGCTAGATCTAGTTTTGATTTTATATTAAACAATCTTGTTCTTAACATCCTCTGACCGCCGGTCTAATTTTCTTGTCAGCGGTAGAAAAATCCCGTCGTGATAGACGGGTCAGTGTGAGTTCATAAAGAAAATATAATGTTAGACTATCTTTTAAAATCTAGATTCTCTATATCTAGATTTTCAAAATTCTAAACATTCTCAAGGTTTTAAATCTGCATGAGAAAGAAAAAGCTGCTGTTTGAGGGGGTCGGTATAGGCTACATGACATTTCGAACCGTCCCACTCATTAAATCAACATTGTGACTTAATAAACGCGACCTTAATATCATACTGTCTGGTTTTTTCGAGGTAGAAAAGTATACCAGATTGCCACAATGTCATTCAAAGTCAATACCTCAGTGAATTATTTTTCGCTCCCCCCTCTCCTCCACCGTATTAAAGAAAAAATTTAGGCCTACTAATTAATGTGGTCGGGGTCATAAGTGTAACTTTTGATTCAAGAAAGAGAGCGGTGGTTTTGAAACAACACAGTTGCTCCTTAAATTTAAATAGGCCCTAGTAAAAATAAATTATACAGGAAGTTTGTAATCTCATTACTTAATTAGTTTATTTAGGCCTAATTATCGCTAAAGACTGAAAAATGCATCAAATATCCCTGTAAATTGGTCGCTGTAAAATTTTTGCAGATAGCATCACATCCTACCACCACCCTGCGTAAGTATCGGGTGGTGGTAAAATGCTAGGCAAAAATATCACGTGACCGACGGTTTTCGCTCCCTTCTCGCAGTTTCGCGTCTCGCAATTTCCCAGCACCCCACATAGAAGATAGATCGCGCTTGATTATTAAATATTAAGTATAAAGCCTATTTATTTATTAAGAATTTCTAGTAGGCTACTATGTACAGGGAGGATTATTTATTTTATTTAGTTTTCAAAGTGACTTGACTACTCTGAAGAAGTCTAAACAACGAACATTTAGAAATCTAGATATTTTAGATACGAAAAACCAAGTAATTCTATTGTAGCGCATACACATCTTCTTCCGGCTAGAATCAGTCTTTGGTTATAGTAGTTGAGTTAGATAAGTCCAGATTACATTCTATCTATTCTAGATCTAGAATCTAATCTAGATACAAGAAGTAGATCTAGAATTCTAGTTAAACTTGGCATAGTTAATAGTAAACATAGGCTATTTATATCCGTCTTCAAAAATCTTGTATTTTTAATTTTAGAATTAGATAGGCCAAAATTTCAGTAATTTGCCAATAGCGTCTATATTAATAGGCTACAGACTAGTGGCGTCGCTAGGTCGGGTCGGGTGTCACCCCACCCCTACACATACCAAAGGAAAAAAGTATATATAGGCATATATATATATATATATATATATATATATATATATATATATATATATATTTGAGTGTGTATGTATAGTTGAGATTATGTATGTGTACTTATAAGACTTTTTAACTCTAATTATTCATTATTCATTAACTGAACTGGCAAAAAGCATTTTTCTTGTATACATTTTGCAATATTTCATCTTGGTGTCACACACACACACACACTCCACACCAACAGGCGACGCCTCTTCTATAGACTATAGACCTATTGAAAATTGATGCAATAAATAAATATGCCCTATGGTTTCCCTTAACTATTTTTTTTTACACACAGCTGCCCACACTCTGATTTTGTGTACTGTTTACACTGCAGTCTAAGCATGACAATGTCAATACTGTTACCCCAGCTGGAACAGGCAGGCTATTTTAAAGTGGGCCTATGGACTGAATTGACTTGAGGGTAAAAAAATTATTGATCATGATCTATACCTACTAATATTAGCCAAATAACTAGAAGCTTGAATAATAATTGTAAGCATACAAGCACATTATGTAATATGTTATCACTTTAGATATGAAAGCCACTGTCAAGTTTCTCTAACCAGACAATTGGTTTAGAGTGCCGCAAAGTGGCTAAAATAATTGTGCAGTTTGGTTACTAGACCTGGATATTTTAAGGTTTTACTAAACTGCTCACACATTTTGATATGTTTTCATTTTTAATTTAGTCATTTGTCACTTCTTTTTCTTTGCAAGATAAAAAAAAAATTGTTGCAAGTTGCATGTTTATTATTATTTATGACTAGGCTAAAGCTTTTGGATTAAAGTACATTAAATGTTAGTTGTGAGTAATGCCTTAAACTTTTTATTCATATTTCAGCTTCAGTGTATTTTCCTTGTGGTGATTATTCCTACATTGTAATAAAACAGGTAAGTAGCTTGATGTTGAAGTGTCACCTGTTATAAATTTTAATCCTTAGGATGTTTGAGTCTACCCAGCTCTGAGGGGTACCTTACTTAAGATTGGGAAAGTAAATGCGGCTATAGAAATAACTGTTTTTGTTTTAAATATCACTTGCTGTAAATGAAGCCACTGTCAAGTTTCTCTAATCATATAATCGGTTTAGAGTGCCGCAAAGTGGCGAGAATAATAGCGCAGTTTGGATTACTAGGCCATAATATTTTAGGTTCTACTAAACTGCTCAAACATAAGGTCATGTACGCAATTTTTTATTATCAGATTATACTGAAGGGACTACAACTTTTTTTTCTAGATGCTGAGCTGGTTACTTTTAGTATGCATTGCATTACTAAGATGTTCATTTGTTTTTTTAAAATAACTACATTCATTGTCTGTTATCTCTGTCATGATGGTTTTATTTCTATTTCAGCACATTGAAATTCTTCCTGAAAGTTGATGATGCATCTGATTGCACATGATTGCGCAAACACTTGAAGAGACAAAGATTAGTAAGTGTGCTTTATATGTTTATTAATGTTGTCAAGAAAATTGTTATAAGACTTTTTATAGGCCTGCTCTCATTAATTGGAATAATTAAACTTCCACTGTTAAAGTAGTGACTTGACTTAATCCTCTTTACTCCTTGTGGGGCATAGGGCTTCATCTGTAACCCTCGATTTTGTCCTGTTGCTGGCTGTTGATTTTGCAACCTACCAAGACATCTCTGCTGTCTTCAGTTCTTTACGAAGACTCCATTGTCTTTCTTGGGCACCCTTTCTTTCGCTTTCCCTGGGGGTCCCACTTAAGCACCACCCACGCTACTTCCTCCTTCTTAATTGCTTTGTCATTGACTCCTGCCTTGTTCTTAGGTTTATATTCTGAGTTGAAGTAGTAGATAACCTTAAAAACATTCTTGTTGGTTTATTTTTGTACATGTATGTTATTTTGTATGAGATTCCATCAGTCTTTACTATTTTATATACATAATGCCTACCTATGGTGTCAAAATAACATTGGTATTACCTGGAAATAAAGCCACTGTCAAGTTTCTCTAACTAATCAATTGGTTTAGAGTGCCGCAAAGTGGCTAGAATAATTGTGCAGTTTAATTACAAGACCTTGAAAATTTAGGTTTTACTAAACTGCATGCACATCTAGTGTTGTGAGCATAATGTGTCTATTTAACTGGATTTTCTTCAGTTTTTTAAGTTGGTTTGCAGCATGCTAAATATCCATAATCAGTGGTTAACTTTGTTTCAGATTCAGCACTTGCCCAATGAATGCTTGCTGGCTTTGCAAACATTTGAAAGGATTGTCTGTAAATGGGGGTATGTGTATCCTAATTATTTATCTTACCTCTTATAAATTTTTATTACACAAAAATAACCAGTTTTTAGTTAGAATTTTTAAAGCAAATTGGCCACTATCAAATTCCTCATATTATTGTTTAGTATGAGTGCCGCAAGGTGGCAAAATTAATTTGTAATTTGCATTTTATTACAAATCATATCCATGGTTTGAACTGCAATACACATACAACTCATAGTTTTACTGGTGATTGTCTAGCCAATTGAAAATACAAACTTTAAAATCCAAAACCAGAATGCACTGAAAGGTTTAAGGGGAGATCACTCCTGCTTTATTCTATTTTGTGTTTTTCTTCTGATTACAGAAAAAAATGTGTTTGGGCGTCTGCAGATGGACCTGATGACACTGGATTGACCTGTTTAATTAATTAAATATCCACTGCAGATAGTAGAGAAATACACAAACGCATTGTTGCTAAATTATATTTAATAATTTAATTTACACTTTTCTAAAAGCTATAAGAATGATCACAAATCCAGTTAACTAATAAATGTATAATACTGATATCACTGAAGAGTAGTTGGTCTTAGAGTTAGAAACTGAGTATTTAAAAAAATCATTTTAAAAATTCTTTTTTATGAGATGAATAGAAACAACAAATGATCACTACACAGTGATACAATAAATTTTGTTACAAACTGCAATTTGTTTGCTTTTTTATTTTTGTTGTTTGTTCATATACTTGTTGAGTTTACTAGGCAACAGCAATTTGATTCATATTAAACAAAAAATTCATGATAATCTCATTTGTAAGGAAAAATGTACTTTATGAATTATAAATGCTTCTACTATTTCTCCATTTAAACAGTATTAATAGTTATTTACATATTTTTAAAAATGTAATTTTCTCAAATTTTACTTGCTAGGAACTTCTAGTTGAAAAGGCACTTTATAAAAGTCCTTGAGTACACTCTAAATTAGTTCAACAGATGATCTGGTCCAATGTTTGAAAGACGAATTCAGTGTCTTGCTAGCTAAAATGCTAGGTACCCTCTACACTCTCCATAAAGTCAATGAATTTCTGGTTTTCTAAATCAGTCATCACTTTATTCAATGCATATATCTGAAACAAGATTTATAAAAAAAAAAAATATTACCACTTTATATCATAGTATTGAATAGTATGGGTTAATCTAATGTCCAGGTGAATTAAGCAATATTATTAACAAAGTATCAAAACCATACTAATTATCTTTTATTTCAATAACATTAAACAGGTTTTCTCAGTTGTGATAGTCTTAATTTGTATTCAGAGGGTTTTTATGAACTTTGCACTCTTGGGGGGGGGGGGGGGGAATGTGCTGTTCTTTGTGTTAATTATAAATCTGGTAGATACTGACCCGGATTATCTAACAGTGTTGTCATTTTGATTAGTGTTTTTCCAGCTATATCAACCTACCATGTTTTAACAGTAGTGAAATATTTAGACTGGATAAATTACAACAGCTCATTAACATCCCCTTCTATTGAAAATAAGGTTTGGTATGTAGCGAGACGTCATTTATGACAGATTTTTAGTATATTTAAGTTTATTATTATCTTTATGATGTGTTGTATATTTTATTTTCTACCTTTTAAAATATAAGCAAGTTTATACGGGACCATAAAATGCTTTCTTCAACTTGTCACTAAATATTCCTTACTTAAAATTGTTCAATAAATTAATCCTTATAGTTATTGACTACTTGTCATGTCTTTTCAGTTTCTCCCATGAACTATTTAATTACTTATGAATATACAAAGTTAAAATTAATAACACTGTAGTAAAAGTGCTGTAAGGAGATAAATGTATGACTTACTTCCTGCCTTTGGGTCTTTTTTAATGCTATCTTTCTGTCTCTTATGGACATTTTATCAATTTTCACTTCATCTTCTAATTTCTTTTTCTCCTTTTTAGCTGCTCGATCTTCGATTGTTTGTAACTTCCGTTGAACTAATCGTTGCGACTAAATAAATAGAGCAATATAAAGTATTTACCAGATTGTAATGGTGGTAACCATATTGTTTTTTATATATTAACTAAATTTGTTTAGATAAAAAGCAGCTTAGATCATGTTATCTTATTAGCTAGTCAGAGAGCATTAAAATTAAAGTATTGATTTTAGAAAGGATAATTTTTATGTATGAATTAGTTTTAAAAATGATCAATATATTGATTGTTAAAGGTAATCTTAAATTCGGCATTTCTATTCTATTTCGTAATTACTAATCATAATTATATATTAGTAACCAGCCAAGATTTTATAAAGAAAATTAACTTAAGATTTAAAAAGCAATCTTTAAAAACTATTTTTTTGTCATTCATTTTTTAATAGCCTAGTCATACTTGTCTAATTATTCTTGTAAGTTAAATGGGTACTTGATGTACTGGTAAGCTACTTACTCTAACATCTTTTAATGAAGGAATATATTCAATTTTTTTCAGCTGCTCTGTAATAAATAGATACAGAATATAGAGTATATGTTACATATCAAGTGTTAAAAGTAAGCACAATATGACATGAATAGCTTTTCATTTCTTTTCCTAGGCATTCTAATTCTGTAGAATGCAAAACTGAATAAGCTTATTTATTGCCTCCAGAAAATTTTGAACATTAGACCTACAGAGTTATTTCAAAAGGTGATGAAAATACATAGCCCTTTGCTACCATACAGGCTAAAATGTTAGCAAAAGTCTGTGTGAAGGAAAACCCAAGTAAAAATTCTTAACTTAAAGTACAAAAAGGAAAGCTATGATGCATCTCTTTTGTGCCCCCCCCCCCCCCCCACGAACAAAATGGAATTTATGTAGAAAACATACTTTTACCAGACCGTCGTCTTTGCCTGCATTTCTCAATTAGTTAACAAACACATATTTATTTATATATAAATATATATACTTACATATATATATATATATATATACCATTTTTAAATCAATTTTTAAGTATGTAAACCATGAACTACAAAAAATTTTAACAACAAATTTAATAATGAAATTTGTTTTTTAAAAACCATTTCCAATTTATACCTGTTGTTGGAGTGGCCGGTGGTGCACAAGGAACTGTCATGCCACAATCAGATAAAATCCCTGATTGCTTTTCAGAAAGGTACACCTTAGTTGACCTAGCATCATCTTTTCCCATAAACCTTCTGTTGTGTGCTTTCTCCACGGCAGCTGTTGATTTTTTGCCATATTCCACTGCAGCACTATTTAAGCTCAGTCTTGCGGCAGACAATCTGTCTATTGGTGGTTTTGTTTGAGGATTGCACAGTGTCTTCTTTTCACTTGTAGTATTTTTATCTACGATAGTAATCCCGGAGCACAAGGCTGTTAAATCTTCACACTGACTGCTATAGGAGTCTTTCTTTTTTCTTTTGGTCAGTTTAGAAAATACATTGCAGGTTGTAGGGAGGTTTTGATAGTTTTCCTTACTCTCTGTGCGACTTCTTGAAGCTTTTGGATTTTTGAGACTGATCTGTATAACTGTATAGAGAATGTAGTATTTAAAAAGTTTTATTTAGACAACAATATTTCACTCTAGCACTCATTACACCCTGTTCCTTACAATACTTACATTTAAATAAAAGCATGGCCATTTGTGACACCAACTAAATCTGTTTGAGTATGACTAATTTATAGGTAGAACCATTTAATTTAACTTGACATTTACTTTCCATTAATGAATACCTAACATGGAAAAGAATTTTAACACCGTTTGTACTCTTATCGTGTTGGCACTTTTTATATAAACTGATCATGTACAGTCATCCATTTTGAACCCCCTCCCCCCTGTGTGTAGATGTTATAAATATAAATTGATGATCCGCATTTAGGACAAGGTTAGATTCAGAGCCAGCCTCAGGGTAGTAATAGCCTACACTACTAATACTATTAAAAATTACTCTGATATGACCAGTCAGCACTTTTACAAGCAACTTTTAACAAGCCCTTAAATGAAGTTTTTTCATTACCTTCATCAGATTCGGGATCTTTGGTGTTAAAATTTTTATTTTCTAAATGCTTTTTATCTGCAATGTCAGAAGTTGGTAGTGAATTTTTCACTGTGGGTAGTAAAATCTGTTCATTTGACAATAACTTGAGAGCCTCGATCCGTTTCAAAAAAGCATATTCTTTCAGTTGAATTAATTTTCTAAGTTTAGCCTCAGTAAGTGAATTCCGGGGAAGATTTTGGAAAGCACTCAAACTCATGCTGTCAGAAGTAATTTTTCTTTTGTGTAAAATATATCATATAGACAAAGATTGTTTAGAGATATTTTTTTTTGTTAAATCTAGACCTAACCTCTTATAAAATATAAAATTTATAAATATAAATAATGATGAATAATCTGGATCTCAGTCAGAAAAATATTGTGCGACATTTTCAAGCACTTCTTTAATAATTTAATGATCTCTAATTTATAAAAAGGGATTTCGTTTTAACTTTAAAGTAAGCTACGGTATTTTGAAACTCTAGGCCTACACAATACTATAAAGTAGTACTATAAAATGAAGAAATAAACACTAAGAAAAAGCTATACGATCCATTTTCATATTCGTGTTTGTTATCCTTAACAACGGAAATTAAATATAAGCAGTCAAGGGAGGTTAATCTTAAACCATAAAGTCAGGGGGAGAGTCCCCTCCCTTATATAAAAAAATAATTGTTAACACATAATATTAGGTTTATAAAGAAAGTTGCCCACCTTTGCAAGATTGAGGAAGATGGGATCATGTGGGGGAAAACTGGCTATTGCTATGCTGACATGGAAGACTTGATTCAATCCAATCGAGTGTATGGTCAAAGGAAATGGGAATGCTAAGAATTTTTTGACAATGCAGTAGAGTACTGTATGTAAGGCAATGTAAGGGGGGTAGGGGCGAAAGTGGCTGTGTCCTTTGCCCCTTGGCGGAAAAAAATAAAAACTTCTGAAATGTTCTTCTTAATTTTTTTATTACTATTGTGAGGGCACAAATCTATTCCTTTGAAAACTATACACTGATTATTGACTTTGATGATTGAATTGTCTTTGCTCCTTACTTATGGAGCATAGGGCATCCACCATATCCTTCTATTTTGTCCGATCACCGGCTATTGATTTTGCAATCTACCAAGATATCCATGTTGGATTCAGTTCTTCGAGAAGACTCCACCTAGAGGTCTGTCTAGTCTAGAGCGCCCGTTTTCCCTAGCGCTGGAGTGGAAACTATACATTGGAGGCATACATATATTTTTTAAAATCTTTAGATTTCTCTTGTCAGAATCAATTCCATTTTGAATTAAAAGCGATACTATACTATATACTTTTACATAGTACACCCTTAGATATTAGATTGATAGTGATATTTAATATTAATATTTAGCCAAGTTGATTAGGCCCCCCCTATAGTTATATAATAGTGATTGAAGAATTTGTCGTCTCTGACTTGGCAATCGATCATTTGTCCGTATTGAAATCTAGATTCTAGATCTATACCTGTCTGTAAATTACTTAAAAATTTTATAGATTTAGATTTAATTGAAATATATAAATGTTTTTCTTTAACCTTAAAAAGAATTCGAGTAGGCATGTTGTATTAGTTTAGGTTTTTACATATTTTATTTAATTTTTAAGTTATCGGCACTTAGAGTGACCATACGCTAGATTATTTACATCTTACACTACCATGCGGCCACTAACGCAAGATGAAACAACTACTTTCTTTGAAAAGATTTCCAAATAGTAACTACTATTCTTTTTTTATAATATTATGTTATAACATTATGTGTACACACTTACCAGTATGTATTTAGATTTTAAATCTAGGTTAGAATCAGATCAGGAGTCAGAGTGAGAGTAGTGACTGCAGTCGTGAGTAGTCTGGTCTGAGAGTGAGAGTCACTGACTGAGTAGCAACATATTCGACATATTGATGGGAAATTATTCCTGATTATCATAGAAGAATGATAAAATGGACACAGATTAATCCTATAATATACCCCATTGATAAAAATACAAAATTTATCATTCTAGCAAGGCCTAGCCTAATTTAAATCTTCTTCCACAAGGGAAGACCCGGGAAGAGGGAAAAAAAAACGAAGTGTCTACTCGGCAGAAGATTTTTCTTCCCAACGTCTCCACTTAGTCGGCAAAAGATAGCTCTGCGCATGCGCAGTGACCTATGGCTAGGGTTAGAGGGCTAGAATGAGGGTTAGGGGTAGGATTAGGGATAGGATTAGGTTAGGGATAGGGTTAAAGATAGGATAAGGGTTGGTGTTAGGGTTCTGCGGTTGTAAACACACGCATGCGCAGTACCATCGAAAACATCGCCGCTAAGGCAAGTCGTAGTTTCTCTCCATTGCGCATGCGTATCGCATGCGTATCTTATTCCGGCTAGAATCGGCCTATAAAAAAAAAATCACCAACAGCATCAGACTAAATTGATGAGATTGTCTCGCAAACTGTGTCTCGTTATTTAGCTTTAATTCTGCAAATATGTCTAATATTTTGCTGCCTCACCATTTCATATTTTATTAAGACTGTACAAACTTTATTAACTTAATGATTGAATTGATTGTGAAGTCATCGTCCATTTTAGTAATCAGAACTAGACTTCTAGATCTAGAATACTCATTTCTGTCAGGGTCTTTTAATTAAGTTTACCAATGTCCAATGGCAATAGAGTCTCTATAATAATAGTGTCTTCTGATGAAAATAGGCTTTTATTAGTATGAAGTATTTAGTATGTGATCAGTAGTTTTATCCAGTTTTATGGATAGAAACTAGGTTTATAAGTCTGTATGGTAGTGCTGGGGTTAGGGTTAGCATTAGCAAGTCATATGTGTACAATGTACAATAATCATTTTATAATGAAATGCCATTCTGCATTCTTACAGTATAGGTGAAAATATCAAACTACTGATTGACAGACAAGATGGCACATATTGTTTCAGGTTACACAAGGATAGGATTTATTACATGAGGTAATCTGATTTATTTTACTCTTAAAACTAAGATTACATATCCATTAACAAATATACTTAATATAGTTTTTAGACTTTTTACTGATGAATGCTTTAAACAGTTCATTAAGCTCATTGTTGGAATGAATACGCCATAGGTAAAGTTTGAAATTTAAAAATATCAAAACATCAAAGCATTAAACTGGTTAAATAGAACATAATTAATTGCTTTGTTATATATTTAGACTATAAAATCATATTGACTCAAAAATGTTTACAAAATATTGTATTACTAATCTGTGTGAAAAAATAAAATTTTCTTTTAGTGAAGAAATGTTGAAAATAGGAAGTTCAGCAGCTGGGACAAACCTCATTTCTCTAGGATCTTGTTTTGGTAAATTTACCAAATCTGGAAAATTCCACCTTCACATAACAGCTCTTGATTATCTTGCACCTTATGCTAAGGTAAGTTTTACAGGAATAACTGTGGTTATTTTATGTATGCAGACAAGACAATACTGTTTTAGTTTAATGAATTATTTTGATTGTTGTATTTTTTTCCATTTTTCATACCAAATAAAAATGTCTTCATTAATCCTGACATTCATAGAAATATAACATTTTACTAAATTTTAGACAGTGGTATTCCTAAATTTTGATAGTTTTTCAAGATTTGTTTGGTAATTGTGAAAACTCTTTGCATTCTGCAGCACAAAGTGTGGCTTAAACCCAATGCAGAACAACAGTTTTTATATGGACATCACATAATGAAATCAGGGCTTGGGCGTATCACTGAAGGTACAGAACAGTACCAGGGAGTCGTTGTGTACAACATGGAGGATCTGCCTTTGGTATTCCTAATTTCCTATTTTAGATATTGATCTTTAATTCTTTTTTTAAACTGGTCTTAGTTCACTCAAGTTATTAGGAGATGATAATAAATGCTTATCATTGTTAATTTGGTTTGTGAGGTAAAAAAATATTTTCAAAACTAAGAATACCACACTGTTAGAATTTACCTTCTAAATTAGATTTTATATGTTAAAAATAAAATAGCAAAAAGCTAGTCACTTAAAAGTACATAAAATAGTAGAATTTGCGTTTAGTGAAACAGATAATTGTATAAATTTGGTAGTTTAATGTTCTTGGCTGTAATTAGATATTATTTTTTAATCTTACAGGGTTTTGGTGTTGCTGCTAAGTCCACTTTGGCATGTAGAAATTGTGATCCAATGACCATTGTTGTGTTTCACCAAGCAGACTTAGGACAGTACATCAGAGAGGAAGAGACCTTGACATAAATTTATTTACTGGTATTCTTTGTGTATATATTTAAATGGGACTAAGTAATAAAAATTTGATGAATTAGTAATAAAAATGCTTTTGTTTTATTTGAACTATTACTTGATCTGTGTAAAGCCCTATTTTTAAAAATTAAAGTAATAATTCTCAAACTTTACAATGAATACTTGTGCTGAGGGGTCGTCCATAAATGAAGTCACACTAGTAGGGGGAGGGGGTTCAGATGGTCTGCAGTCACGCTTAAGCATTATAAAAAAGCAATGTTATGAAACTAATCTTGGCTGTTATTCTGCATTTTCAAAAACTTTTAAAAATGTAATTGATTAAAATAAGAGTTCAGACAAGATTTTGAAAAATGTTTTAAGAATGATTCAACTGCAATTTTGAGGGGGGGGGGGGGGGGTAAAAATTGTGACATTTATTGATGACTCCTGGGGTATTTATTTCATACAGTTAAATAGGACTCTCATAACATTTTTAAAAATAGAAGTATTCTGAATTCTTCAACACATTTTATTCCACACTTTGACTCAATATCTTCGATTTCACAATGAACAAAGTTCTTAGCATTTTGATAGTTTTAAAGCTCATAATAGTATAAATAGTAAATATATATTAAAAAACTCATAATAGTAAAAAGATAATCTATACATAATCTTTAATTCAAATTATTAGTGCATTTCTATAATCTAAATCAGATGAATGTCTTAGTCTTACTCAAGATAGACTAGGTTTTCAAAGTGTTAGAACTTAATTTCAGCTGAATGGTACATTTAAGTACTGAGGCCTTTTGTCTAGGCAGTACCCATGTGACCTTTTGAAAATCTAATTTTTCAAATTGTTAGGAACTGGCATTGAATAAAGTGTAGTTTGAATTGCTGTTTATTACATTTTAACATTCTTGGATTTTAAACATAATTGTATTTAGAAAATAAGACCTTCAGTAGTTTCAGTCAATACCTGAAGCATTTTATTATAAGCAGGGCCGTTAGTTTTTCCAACACAAACTGATTTACAAATTGAAACTGGCAGCAAAATATGTGAGATTAAAAAAAACACAGTTAACTTTTAATACAGAACAGAACTACTTTAAAAAGTGGAAACTAGATTTTTATTCTTCATTGCAAGAGTTTACTATTAAGGATTGAATAAGTTCATTATCTTTTTTATTTTTGACTGCAATCAATATTACAAACATTTTGCTAATATCTCAGAAGTGGTTAAAGAAAGTAAAATTTTTGCTAAAAAAAATACAAATTTTGACAACCTTAAGGATGGTTTGCTGATGTGTAGGTTTAGTAAGGATAGAATTGCTTGAAAAAAAACAGCTTCAATTTAAAACTGGCTAACTTGATACAGTGTGAACTAGATCCAACATTGAATGTTAATGCCTACATTCAAAACCCTCAGTATTTACATCTACCAACAGGTACTTTCACTGGTAAAACTGAATGTCTCAAGATTGTTTTCCAAAAGAACAATATGGTACACTTTACATTTGTATCTGGCATATAAATTAAAAAGTTCTATTCACATAGACGAAACACTTTCTAGAGGACTTTTAGGTTAATGTGCCTCTAATTCAATCTGTACAAGTCGTTTGTATTCATCAATGCCTCCGTCAAGGGCGGTTACTGTCCCTCCACTTACTACCCACAATTCTTTGCAGACGCTACGAATAAGGCGCTCATCGTGGGAGACAAGAATCACACCACCCTGAAAATAATTGATGTTACAAATATAGATAAAAATTATACTCACTGAATGGATCTACACATTTTATTTATGTAATTTCTAAAATGAAAATAATTTGTAAAAGAAATAGGTTAAATTACCTTAAATTTGTTTATAGCATCTCCCAAAGCTTCAATAGTTTCCATGTCTAAGTGATTTGTGGGCTCGTCAAGAATAAAGAAGTTTGGACTGAGAAAAATACATTTTTAAAATGATTACAAAATGAAAAATAAAAACAAAGTCAACTTTTAACAAAAATAAAATGGAGAGAAAAAAAAGGTAAAACAGGAAATAACAATATTTTGACAGTTTCACTAAAAAAAAACCTACTTTGTCATACTCATGACAGCAAAAGCCACTCGGCTTTTCTGTCCTCCTGATATACTTGACACTGGTCTTAGAGCTAAGTCACCTGACACCCCGAAATGCCCCAGCTGGCCACGGTACACTTCTTGTGATAAACCTGGCATTGATTTAAATAGATAATTGTTTGAAAATAAAACAATTTATACCAATAAATACCTTCCTACATCATGCAGGGAATAACATTAACACAATATGAAGACAAAGGAAGAGAAAATAGTTATTGTAAAGACATGTTCCTTTCAGCCCTAATTCATCTTATTCCTAACAGTAACAGCCAATAAGATGTGTGGCAACTGACTTGGTGTCTTCTCAAGACGGAAGTTAATTTTGTTAGTCATTAACACACACAAACCACAAGTCAGTTAAGTTACCCTCATGGACCTGGTGATCCATGGGGTAGATGAAGAAGAGTTCACCTGTTTCTGAGGGCTTGGATAATGTGGTCAACACTATGCCCAGACACCTTTACATTCCCTAACATGAGTCATGTTCCCATTAGAGCTGGGTGGACACAGGGATGTTTAGCAGACTCAAGACCGGTCTTTAGAGTCAAGACTATTAGGTTAACAGTCAAGTGCTACACCATACACAAAGCAAAGAGTATGGTATGATAACCATGTCAACACATGGCATCCCTGATCATTGTAGCAAAGCTGGAAACAACTGTGCTGAAACACTCAAATGGGATCAACAAAACAAATGTCTTAACACCTGCCACATCTCCAGAACAAAAAGTGGAATTAGTGATTTACCAACTGTATAAGATTATAATCAAAAAGACATTTTAGATGGAGAAATGAGGGATCTGATAGAGAAACTCAGAAAAAAGTGTTTTCACTGATTGTGGCACTTGATATTTGAATAGTGGCTATGTAATTATGGAAAAGGGATTTTAAATCGACCATTGGTCACTCACCAGGAAATCTGTTGGCCAACAGCTGCACGGAGTTAACACTCATGTCCAGCTGGTCAACGTGGTGCTGACTGAAGTAGCCGATGCGCAGATTTCTGTGGGCGTGGCGGTGTCCACTGCAAGGTTCAAGCTCAGCCAACAGGAGTTTCAATAATGTGGTCTTACCGGCACCATTGTCTCCCACCTGAAAAATGGATGTCAATGTATCAGTGGAGGTTGCTGTCAATTGTATCTGTGTCATGTTCTTGTTTCAATCATTTCATTGTCATGTCCTTATGTTTATCATGTGTGTGTCATGTCCTTATGTCAATCATACAAGTCTTTGTGACAATCAGTTTATTGTAAGCCAAGTATGGATCATCTTTATGGCCACAACATAGAAAAAGATTATGTCGTCAGCACTACATAAAGTTGATTTATTTCAAGTTATTCCATAATATAACCTCATACTTACAATACAAATTCTTGACTCCATGTTGGCATTGACACAAACTTTGTTAAATAGAATTCTGTCTTTGTTGTAGTAGAACGTGACATCATCAAGTTGCAAAATAGGAGGTGATAATGTGTCACATTCTGGAAATCTGGAGGTAACATAAAGAAAAAAAAATGATAGATGTATTCTGAGTGATAGCAAATGTGTAAGTTTTACAGCATTTCAATGCCTTGTTTTTATGAGCAATGGCAGAGCTTTTCTGAACCAGAATCTGATATTTATAAATAAACCTAGGGTCTGTATGGGGTGTTCTGAATAGAAAGCTGAATGACTGAACTAAATGTGTTTCTGCCATAAAAATATTTTTCTATTAGATACAATTTATTAGAGGCTATAATAAATGCCTTCTTTTTTTAATCTTTCCACTTTTTAAAATGAGTTTGCACAGCACTCATTTAGTATCTCTTTGGAGAATAAAGAATGCTACGATAAATAAATTTTTCCTCTACTAGAGCCGATATTTATTTATTTTGCTGTGTTCCCCCCCCCCCCCCATCCGATAATTCATTAATTTATACCTCAGTAGTCAGCTTGTAAATAAAAAGTGCTTTAAAAGTGTATTACATTTTCAAGTAGTGTTAGGATCGTGTAATGTGTTGTGTTTTTATATTGTACAATGATGTATTGTAGTTTATGTGCAATAGTGAATTGTATCCTGCTGTGATGAGGTGGGGTGGAGCATGCTGAAAGTGGGAGGCTTCTGTTAAGAGAGGGGAGATGTAAGAGTCAGATACTGAGTATTGTAGGTGAGGGTCAAAAGGGACGTTGGGGCTGGGGGACAAAGGAGAAACTGGTGACCTATGTAAGTGTAATGTAATGAGAGAGTTGTTTCTAGAAAAAGCTTATGGTCTAGTAATTAATATTGCTTTATCGTGAGATTACTTACTTTAACACAGCCTCTGTCTCTTTTTCTGGTGGTTTTATTTCAGGTCTGGAAATAACAAAAGTTCAGGGATAAAAAATTACATTTAGATCTAGGACTTAATTCAAATTTTTTTAAAAATTAATTTTTTTTTACTTGATAGTTAAGTTACAGCAGACAACCTTGATGTTACTTTAATAACAAAATTTTCTTTTTTTTTTCCTAATTAAATAAATGTAAGGTTTTCAGCTACTCACAATTTTTCTAGCAGTTTAAGCTTACTCTGTACCTGGGCAGCTCTGTTTGCATTGTAACGGAACCGGTCAATAAATACCTAAATAGAAAATAATAGTTTTCAAATCATGTTAATTTAGATACATTTTAATTCAATAAAAATAGCTTAAAAGAGAAACTCTCTACACAATCACTTCACTACATATATCATAAATGAAAATGCAATAATATAAAAGCCCTGTACTGCTCTATTAGCCACATTTTGTTAAAACAAAAAAAATGCCAATAAAACTGGTTTGATTGACATACTTGTATATGATCTCTGTACTGCTTCTGTGCTTCATACTCCTTACGGAGGTTCTTCATCCTCTCCTCCCTCGTTTTATGAAAGACTTCGTAGTTTCCTCTATAGCTCTCTAATTTACATGAGTGTAGATGGATTATGTCTGTGGACACAGAGTCTAAAAACAGCCTGTCGTGGGACACCACCAGTATAGTAGTGGGCCAGGTCTGTTGAGGAGATCAAAAGTTAGTGGTTTAGACAGTTTGCAATTGTTTGAAAATAACAGTATTATTATATTAAGTCATTAGGAAATTAGACTAAATACCAAAAGAAAACAATTACCTGTAAATAATTTTCAAGCCATATAATAGCCTTCATGTCCAACATGTTTGTAGGTTCTGGAATGTACAACAAAAAAGTAATTAAAAATTGTAATTAATACATCATTCATATATTTTTTAAAAAGCACTTTCATTTTAATAACATGAATCAGCAAAAAATGTTCCCATTACTATTTAAACTGGGATGGGTATTTGCTATTGATTAGTGAATTTTCGAACACATAACAACATCAGCATATTGAATAAGTTTATAATTACCATCAAGTAAAAGCAGATCTGGTCTGGAAAAAAAACACAGTGTAATTAGAAATCAAGATTAATAGAGGAAAAAACTTGGATATATTTTATCAGAATATCTAGAAAATTACTATTTTCTGTTACTTTGAAACTGTTGTTATTTATCTGAGCAAACGTTTAACATTGAAAAGAAAATGTAAAATTTGTGTAAATAAAACTATCTTAAATGGCGTCGGTTAATAAAATTAGCTAGCTTGTTGTATTTTTACTAAAACAGTATAAGCAATATTTATACCAAAAAAAACTAACTAACATTGAGATATTGTTATTACATCAGTATACGCAAAATGGGCATAATAAAGCCAACACAATAAATTGAGAGAAAAAAAAACTTACTTTGTAAATAGTGCTCTGGCCAAGGCCAACCTCATTCTCCAACCACCAGAGAACTCTCTGTGAACAAAGTTTATAAATGTTAAAACTTTAGACCAACACAAACAATATATATATAGAATAACAATTCTATTAAAAATGGTGCGTTCTGCCTGTTAAACTGTTAGGGTTGGGATAGAAAAGTTACCCTTCTGAACCGAGCAATACACAACAACAACAACAAAAAAAAAGGGGGGGGGGGGGGAGGTGTAATCTCTGTGACCTTGACATATGTAGGGATAGTATGCCCAGCTGCCTTAGTTCCCTTTCTTGAACCTGACAGTCCATGGGGCAAGTAAAGTAGAGTTCACCTATTTCTGTAACCTCAGCATATGAAAGCATAGTGTGGTCAGCACAATGCCCAGCCACCTTTACATGAGTTGGGTACCCATGTTGGGATAGTGATACTAGCAAAATGAAACTGACTTCAATATCCCCGGCCAGCATTTACCTGGTTTGTCTCTGTTGATCACTGCTTGAGAAACCCAATCCATTAAGTATCATGGCCGCTTTAGCTGGAGCTTTGTCTGATTCTATTGCCATCAGTTCTTTGTATATTTCCTGTAGTCGTGTTGCCATTGCATTGTCCTTGTCCTGCCCGGGACTAAATAACAACATCAGAAGTAAAGAATCAAAATAACTATTTCATCTGCTAATTGATCAAAGCATGTTAACAATTTAAAATGAAAAAAATGTGTAATACATATTTTGATATTAAAAAAAATTATTCCAGAAAAAATACAGTTAATTTTTTTAAAAGTTTACCAGGTGATCTTTAAAGAGGTTAGAACCAACAGGATGAAACTTTCTCACCCATTGTACAGTGAGTTACAAAGACATGTGTACCCACCTAGAAGACTGAAGCTGGACTGTTAGAAGCTTCTCCTCTTTAAGTAATGCCTCTCTTTTCTCATCACATTCTAGAACACTCTGAAGTGCTGGAGTATCATCACCTGCCACTTCCTGCTCCACATGCAAGACAGATATATGGGAGGGAATCTTCAGGGATCCACTGCAGAAAAAGAAATTATTTTAAATATCTTTAAATTAGTCTCCATTATTTTTAGAAAACAATTTAATGCTCATCAACCATTCCAGCATATGATTGTAGTTAGTATAGCAAATATGTTACTTTAATCAAAAACATAATGTCAACAAAATATGTCAAAATACTATTCTCTTTGATACCAGCAATATGACTATGTGTGTATGCCAAAAAAGTAATCTAACATATAAAAAGTGTTTACATTTACCTGGATAACATTTTCAATAAAGTTGTTTTGCCAAGACCATTTCGGCCTGTGAAACCATAACGACGACCAAAAACTAAATGCAAGTCAGCTCCAGTTAAAAGAACCCTGCAATTTTATTTTACAAAACATTAATAATAAAATTAATATAAATAACAATGGATTGTCAAATGATTTATATGAATGAGTGACAAATTAATATGAACGTGCGTTTTGTTTTTTAAACGCTGATGAACAAAACACAAGGTGACTTACTTATCCCCATAAGAAACATCAATATTCTCCAGCTTGATATCATAAGATTTATTTGTCCCAGCAGCGTCCATCTTTGCATCTCTTTTGTTAATTTGTTGACTAGCACTTGCCATTTCAGGTACACTGAAAGAAGCAGAAACACATGAATCAATTTTGCTTATGTGGTAGCGTTGCAAATTTTAACATACAAGGTAATTTTATTTTCACATGTTAGGTTTTTGTAGCACCCAAATCAAAAATACCTTTCTACTTTCTTTATCGTTGTCTGCTCACGTTTGTCCAATTTCTTTTGTAACTGTTTTTCTGCCTTCTCCAATTTTTTTTGGTCCACAACCTAAAATTTAGGTTTATAAATTATTTAAATATTATAACACAATCTTTCGTACAAGTAAAAATATTATTCAAAAAACAATTTAAGAGAAGATTAATTTTAACTTTTGATGTTTTGTTGTAGCAATTATATTTGCTAAATCTAATTTGTTAATTAGTCTTGGACTGTAATTGTTTACTGGTCTTGTGTGTTATCATTTAATTAGATTAACATGCTGTAAATAGATTAATACTAGATTTAAACAGCTGCTAGACCATCAAAAACAAATTTAAATAACAATGAAAAAAGAAACTTGTAACTATACAATTTTATGATTACACTTATTAACAAAATTTAAACAACAATGAAAAAAGAAACATGTATATACAATTTTATGATCATACCCATTAACAGTATTATCAGAAAACAAAAATGTAGCAGGTGATTAACTAAAGCATTGAAAACCTTAAAAGCTTACAGTGGAAGAATCTCTTTTGATCAGCCATATACTGTTGTCATTGTTGTTACTCAATTCACTGGTTAGTTCTGACATCTGAACTGGTGCTTCGAGGATTTTATTTAGTCCATTCACTGCCCCACTGGTCCCATTTCCATTTGGAGTGCTTTTTAATAGTGATCAGAATGATTATTTTGTTACTGTTATCTCAAACTCAGATAAGCATGTATATCATACATCTAATAAAAATTAAATATATATTTTAAATTAGTTAATTTAAGGGAAATAATGTTCATCTGTTAAGCCATATTTTTTAAAGTCACAAATCAAATACCTGTGCAACAAACAATATAGCCTGTCACATATTTCTTTTATATCGTCTTCAGTTTTGGAGTCATCTGCCTGTTGCAACATAATTCCAATGGCTTCAAAAAGATCATCTGAGGTTGAGAAATCATCACCCCCATCCTCAAGCATACCTATGAATATATATTTTTTAAATGTGTTATGCAATTTTTTTTGGTCACTCCCTATTTCATTCATCCTAGATTTCAGTCTTTTTTTTGTAAAGCTAAGCTATGGTGCTACTGTCACAGTTAATACACCACACCTAACTTTTAAGATTAGCCTGAGGCCTAAACAAAACCTAACTCTAAGCCCAGTCTTAACTTTCGATGAACAGGTTCTAATATATAATTATTGCTGATACTATTAATTTAATAATTACGGGAGGGTTCGGCGTGGTTGAGTCGGTAAAGCTCATGGTTGCTAAACCGAAAAGTCTCGAGTTCGAACCCTCGGGCAGATGAGGCTCGTTAGCTGGGGACAGCCACTCTCCTAGGAGAGACAACTCCAAAATTAAACAACTGCTGCCTTGTAGTTTGTTCTTGGTTGGACAAAGGCTATGGAAGCAAATCCAAAAAGAAAAGCAGGCTGAAATCGGAGTCAATGGCCTCAATGGCGCATAACCAGTTGACACGTAACGCTTAATTGTGTTGGAGGCGTGGTCGAGTCGGCAAAAAGCTCATGGTTGATAAATTCGAACAAAGTCTCGAGTTCAAACCCACTGGCAGATAAATCTCGATCCCCTTCTACACTAATAATTAAGAACGAAGAAGAAGAAGAAGAAGAATAATTACGGGTATCTATACCACTTCTTAATTAATAATTATGGATAGCTATACCACTTCAATGGCTATACCACTTCAATTTTAATGTATTTATTTAACAGTCTGTCTCATCAGCTTTTAAGCCCTAAACTGATTTGTTAATTGAAATAATTCAGTTTTAAAAAATCCGCTAACTAAACTTTTTACGGTTCATTATATCTCAATAATTTATAGGCCTACATTTCATTTCTTTATTGTTTTGTTAAAATAATCAATAATGAGGTATAGTTGTTGAATTCATTGCAGTTAAGACCTTATAATGGTGAAACCAAACACTGGAGACTGCCCTCTTTGGGTCCAAAGCCAAAGGTGATTTCCATAGTGTGGTCAGATGATATGCTTCGAGTTACTATCAAAAATGAATTTACAATTTACATGGTGATGTCTCCTTGCATTTCAGTTTCTCATTTGATAAACCTAAATAATACGAAAGTTGCAATGATGACGTTTTTAGCCATTTTAGGGGAGACCAGAACATTATTAATTATTTCAAACAATCCTTCAAAAGTTTAAAATAGATCACAAACTCAACTAGGTTTAAGAGTAACACAGTTGTTTAAGTCTTAGTAACTAAAGTTCAACGTAAAAAGTAAAGTCAAGTTTATTAGTTTAAAGTTTAAGGCAGGAAACAGATTCAACCCTCAAGCATCTACTTTTAGGGTCGATTTTCGCCAATTTTTAAAGTAACAAATATTGACATATTATATATCAATTTTGTTGCTTAACAATCGAGGAATTCAAAAATATAAAAATTAATAGCACTAGACATTTACATCACGTTCAAAATGTAGATTAACCACACTCACTCAACTGAGATTTTTTTTACATCTAAATGTAGTGAGGTCCAAAAATCCACGAAATTCACAAAATTAACGATATAATTACACAGAAATGTCACTTAGGCATACATTTATTTGTAATTATGTCAAACTTTACAAAATATACCAGTTTATAGCTTATTTCTATAATTATTCTTGAGAAAAAAAACGACCGCCCTCCCCTTTAAAATTCTGGCTTTTAGAAACACTCTGGGGAAGAAAAAAATAACAGAGTTAAATATAGAAGGTCTATATAAAAAACATAATTAATAAAATATGTCTATATGCCAATTTTTAATATAGTTGCAGCATTTACATGGCTAATTATAATTGTTTAGTACTTTGAACATTAATTTAAAGTTACGACTGTCTGTGGCGTCATTCAAGTGTAGTGTCAGTGTAGGTGAACAGGGTGTTAGGGCCTGATACGATTTCATTAGAATTGGTAATGAACAGAATGTATAATTAGAACTGGCATATAAAAACAATGTTGATAATAGATGCAGTTGTTTTAATGCTACTTATAATAGTTCAAAGTGACAAACATAATTAAAACCTAAGAATCTGGAAGCGGTGACCTCATTTTACTGACACGGTTGTCAAATAGTAAGTGAATAGATCTAGATTTAGAATCTACGTAATTTTGAAAATACGCTAGTTCTAGAAGCAAAATTACTTTTAAAAACTGAAGTTAGTGATTAGATCTATAATGAAATTGAAATCAACAACTGATATGTAAGTATCTTTTGATTTAAAAAAAAATACGCTTAGTTCAAAGAAAAAAAAATTCTATGGTGTACTCGATCCCTATCCCAAAACGTGCCAGCCATACCGCATGCGTAGTCAGCTACTCAGCTGCTTATCAAATCGATGAATTTTAAACTTATATAATAAAAGTAGGTCACCCTAAAAAAAAAGAGTAAAATGGCTCCCGTTTTCACGACAGCTGTCACTCGATTCATAATTTACAGAGTTATAAAGTTCTACTTTCTTTTGGCTATAGATTTAAAGAAATATTAATTTGTTATTTCTCATGCGTTCCAACAATTGTACCTAATTTTAATAAACATTAGATTAGTAAGGACTCGATTCTTTTTAGAATTAGCCCTCGACACTATACAGACTATTGCGAAGAAACAGACTCGCGCGAATGTCGTGCGTAGGCTGGTTCAGTGGCGAAGGTTAGAAGCCAATTTGCGACGGAAAATTTTTACTTTGAAATAATTACATTATCAATTAATTTCGATTTAAAACAAATGGCTTAAAGTCAAAAGTAAACTAAAATTTTAAAACTTTGTTATTCGCAGTGTACTCAAGATTCTCGTGTTTTAAAGATAAGTCTAGTTTTACTACGTGTGCGTGCATGGTGCGAATACCGATTTTCCGCGACAGAAAATCATTAAAAATATAAAAAAAAGTATCTACGGCAAAATAATAATTATATTTTACAGAATTAAATAGATTTAACTTAACTGTTATTTAAATACATGCTTCGGAGTAAAAAAATACAATTTTATATCCGTAAAAAATTAACTGAAATTCCCACTTTCAGCGACGCCGATGTGTCGTAATTTTCGGCAGTCATTTTGTTCAAATTAAAGTAAAAAACGCATTCAAATATACTTTTTTTTACTTTCATAATTTACAGCAATCATTTCTAATGAAAAATCCATAAAAAAATAATAGTTATTTTTACAAAATATTATTTCTTACCTCATTAGTGCAGTACACGTACTTTCCAAGTAGATCCATTCCGTCTAGATTTGCATAGGGGAGACTGCTCAAACTTCGACCGATCCGTTTTCTCCCGAGCCGAAGGTTCGCTTCTCTTCGTTATATCTCGTAAACCAATCAACATAGCGGTATAATTTTTTCACTGTTAAAAACGTTCTCCAACGCTGATTGGTTTGGTATAAATAGTTAACCAATCGCTATGAAGGATTTAATACTATATGCAAGCCTAGACACTGACCCAAATATTTCCTTTTGGTTTTAACTTCGACCAGGTTGCTCCAACTTCGACCGGCGGCTTGTTCTAACTTCGACCGCTTTAGGAATATGACCGTAGCCTGGGCCTATTGTTAAAAACACTTATTTAGGTGGCCTTTGTTGTGTATTTAAAGGTTTTTAAATAGGCTAGCTTTATCTTCAATTGAAAACAAAAACAAAAAAAGAAGTAAACACAACGACATTTTTAACAGTAAAAAAGGAAAAAATATTTATAGTAATTTACAGACAACACATGTAGGCGAGCCTACAACACATCATTAATTTAATTTTTTTGCAGCCTTTTCTTTTCTCACATCTGCCCGTCTTTTCTTCTCATTCAACTTGCTTTCCTTTTCCTCGGCCTGCCTTTTCTTCATTCCTATTACCTCATCACTGGTCAACAACCTGTGAGTTGTAATTTTCCGTGATGAGCTTTTTTTTTCCGCCGTTGGCAAGACGGGTTTATCAAAAACGCTTGATAATTCCGCCAACCATTTCTCATGTGTTTCACTTCCACTTGCTTGGTTAACGGCTTCATCCTCTTCGATGCCACTTATGTCCATGGCAAGCTTTAGGATGTCCGAAAAGTTTTCGTTAGCACCCGTAGCACGTATTTCGCCGATAGGCCTACTTTCATTTTGGTCCTCAGGAGGTGACCACCATGGGTCAGTGTTGAGGACATCTGCGTCGACCATTGTTGCTTCAGGAGCAGAGGGAGCATATGCTTCCTCGAACATGGCCATATCCTGAGAGACAGAAGCAATAGGTTGATTTTGATCGCTTGCAACTAGTGTTGAAGGTGCTTGCCGGTCAAATGCCTCACTTGGCAATGTGTCACTTTTTGTGACAACCGTTGGATCAAACGGATAGATTCCGGTGGCCTGAAAAGCTTTTTTGATGGTGCTTGGGCAAAAGGCTTGGCTCCATGCGGCAGTGAACAGTTTAGTCCATGTGACTTTACTGATCACGTTTGCCGGGTGCTCCGAAAGAAATTCAGTGCATTCTGCACCATAATATTTCTTAAACGGCCCAAAGACACATTTGTCCAACGGCTGCAACTTGTGTGTTGTATGGGGTGGCAAGGCGAATATGTGTATATTTTCATTCCTTGCTGTTTCCAGCAGATCCACAACCTCATGGGAGCTGTGTGAATCTAACAGGAGAAGCTGGGGGCGGTCTGGGCCACAATGTTTAAGGAAAACTTGCTTAAACCATTGGACTCCCAAAAGATCTTCCATCCACCCAGACTCCTGATAAGTCTACACAGCTCCCTTTGGCGCATCACAGACGTTGAACGACGAAACTGCTCGCTGGGTTTTGCCCTTCACTATTATCATGGGGGGCATTGACTCGCCAGCGGCATTAATGGTGGCAAATATGGTTATGTTTTCACGAGACCCTGTCACACGTGCTGACACCCCTCTTACTCCCTTCTGGGCAACTACTTTTGTTGGCTTGTGCTGTAACTGTACTCCAGTCTCATCACAATTCCAAATGCATTTAGGCCGCGAAGTAAGCTGCAGATCGTCTAACAGCTTCCCTAGAGCTTCAAAGTAGTTTTTTACAACATTGCTGTTGAGCATTGTCATTCGACACTGTGGTAAGGCTTCTGGATTCCGGATGGTCAGTTCAGGGTGCCTCCCCTTCAATTTCCTCCAGTACCCCTCTCCAGGAACACCATTTTTGAATCTTGTTTTTATTTCCAGACGCCTTGCAATGTTTCCTACCATTGCTAGAAGCCGGCGTTTTGTATATGGAAACCCCGCTTTTGAAGCATCGAGGACTCTCGATACTATCTGTTTTTCTAAAGCAGGGTCAATTTCACAGCTTCGACCAGGCTTAGACCCTGCTTTTATTCGGCCCTTAACATGGTCAATAATAGTTGTTTTGGGCACCCCAAACTGCAATGCTGCCTTGCCATAAGACATGCCCTGTCTTACTGCATCTACAGCCTTTTCTAGGTTTTCCGTTTCATACGAAATATACGACCTTTTTTCTTTTTTATCTTTTGGTCTGTTGATAAAGCATATGTCAGTTGTTTTTAATAAATTTAAATTAAAGGAAAAAAAATAAACTAATATGCCTAATCTAATAGATCTAGTACAATTATAGGCCTACTTTATGCTAGGTTCCTATGTAGATCTACATTTGGTTACATCGGTCGAAGTTAGAACACCGCATTTTTTACATGGTTTTAACTTCGACCGATTTGTTTTTCACTATTTTTTTAAATTTTTACAACCCTAAAAAAAAAAAAAAAAGCACACATATGTAGATTAACCAACATTATAATTTATTTTCAAGTTTAAAAACTGTTAAAAGCAAAATTACTTACGTTTTAGGCATTATGAAAGAAGGCACTAAAAAGCTCACAAAATGCAAATTTGATATTTTCACTCGATAAAACTCACGGACGCTAACTAGCCTAACTTCGTGGATAAAGTGCTCGAAAACGGCTAAAGATAGACCTGTCATTTCAAAAGGAAAACACAACGCAATTCAATTGTGTAAATAAAGATATATTTTTTTAAAGCCAGTAATATTTATTTATTTTTTTATCAAATATTTTTCTGACCCAATACCGAATTCGGTCGAAGTTAGAACCCGGTCGAAGTTAGAGCAGTCTCCCCTACTTCGCATCCTTCGCCGCGGCACAAAATGTCATAAAAAACGAATTCCACAAAAATGTTGCTAACGAAGCTTGTAAAAACCTTGCTCTATTTATCAGTATAAACAAAATCCCCGAACGATGTCTGGTTAGAAAGTTTATGAACGGCGAAGACCGAATATGCATTTTGCGGTACCAATCTGTTTCCTGCCTTAATTTAATCAAGTTGAGTTGAGCCATATAAAATTTAAGTAAATTTATTTAATAAATTGATCACTCCAGTGATAAAGCTAGAAGTAGCAGGTGGTAATCTATACCCAGGTACCATACTAAACTAAATAGAGACCAATCACTAAAAAAAACTGAAAGGTGAAAGTTTTTTTAACTGACATTCTCAGTCTTCAACTGACAACTGACTGAGTCTCACCACCAAGCAAAGTGAGAAAATGTTGAGATAGGATTGGAGAAAAACGGAATATTACACACCACTTGTGATAACTCAGTATGTTAAAGACAGTATCGGTAATAAAGACGTAGGCGGACAACATTAACACATTTACCATTGATGTAGTCTGAAATTTCATGATCAATGTTAGGAAAAACCTTAGTGATAAGCTCTCGACACGGCGACATGTTTCTCAATCAAGGATCAACATAATATCCGGAAGTTTCCACAAACTACCAAAGAAGACCTGTTATTTTTTATAATTATAAATAAAAAGTATTCACTGATTTAACAACTTTAACTATTGACGAACAGCATGTTCTTGTTAAGACATTTATTTGATGTTACTATTTATTAGTTGCTAAAAAATAGTATTATATTCTCGGTGTGCTACCTGTATGAATTAAAGTAGGCCTAGGTGTAAACGTATCATGGAGTCAATTATAGAGATGATTATCGTGAAAGTGAATATAGAATTAGATAGAAGGGACTGGCCTAAGATAATATTAATTTTGTTTCTCTTCGTGTAAATCGAAATCAATTTTCATTGAAAGCCTACGTTGAAAACGAACAATACAACGGTACGGTCAGTTTTAGCTATCGTTGTTACGTTTATAGTTTCATTTGTTTCGGTTTTGACGGTTGCCTCGGATTTCGTTGATTTGTCAGGAAGGAATTAGCAGGAGAATGTAACTCTTTCTGTTAAAATTATGTTTATGGTGTATGTTTTAAAATATTGTAGTGAGTTTTGTGAGTTTGTGCTTTGTAGACCAATTGAAAAATACATAACTTTAAAAATGTTTAATTGTTTAATTCATTAAAAAAGTCCATTTTTCGGACTACTTTGTTTAGTTAAATATTTAATTAGAATATCTTAGTATCATCAATGTTATGTAAATTCACTTTAATTTTGTATACTTAATAATATGTTTTTTTTTAATAAATTAATATTTTAAAAAGTATTGCTTACCGTTTCTAGCACCGAAACCTTGAAAAGCTCGTGAGCGGCATTTGATACAGAAAAAGGCAGCACCCAAGCTACATAAAATGCCGGTCATTGGGGAGGGGGGTGGACACTGGTAACATATATTTTTCTATATGAATTTTATTTCGTTAAGGGGGGAGGGGCGTTTTTCGGGGGGTCCGCCCCCCCCCCCCTCCCCACCAGAAGAGATGACTGGAAGAAGCTCTGCAGGCATGGTTGCTTTGTCAGGCAGGCCAGTGACAGAATTAGAATATAAATAAACGTGAACATTGACTCTTTTGTAAGATTGGCACAATTTTTTTTGTTGCTCTAATTTATCCTTAATCAATATGCCGCAACTAAATGATTTTTGTTTGTCTGTTTGCCTGTCCTTTATGCATTAATACAAAAATTATTCAATCGCCATGATACATTGGGAAGTCGCTTAGAATATTTCAGACAAACCTCAACTGACCGTGAAATTTCCTACCGTGAGAGGAGCAGCTAGTGCCTCTCGCTCGAAGGAAAGCCACAAAGAAATTGTCTTCTTTAAAATTTTCTGCCATTACAATTTTTTATTCGTTCGGAGGGCAGTGCACTGGCAGTAAGGCGGTTCGGTTTGCCACCCAGAGTTTACCAGCGGCTTTCTTAGTTGGTTGGGCGTCCTGTACAAGGGATCAGGGTTATTGCTTGATTCAATGGTCAAACTGCACAGGCGCGCCAGCGGGCGCCCCGGGTTCCCCCGTGAGCACTACGGCACATATACTTGTTTAAGGAGCGCCATGTCCTATGGATACGGAGGGCTACCTGTATCGATGACACAATAAAAATTGTGTTTGGTTAGTGGCGTCGCATGCCTGTGCGTTTAGTGAGTGTCACCGCCACCCCTCAAACAATTTAGCATTTCCGGTGGAGTGTAACCCCCTTTCCTTAATATTTTATTATTTTAACTGGATAAAACATAGTTTTTACTGTAAATTTTACGAGTTTTCGTCATGGTGTCACTCCTAAATTGTGACACCTCCGCCCCCACCTTGTGACGCGACGGTGCTTTGTTACTTAAATGTTAAAGTTACAGGCTTACAGTGAATTTGTAGGGTTTTTTTTTTTTACATAAGAGTAATATAAAATCACCCTTACTGGGTACCATATAATAATAACGTATAAATACACAATTAGGACGTATAAAATACATAATTTATAGATTGACGAAGGGGCCCAATGATTATTTTTGCATAGGGGCCCGAAAATCCTAGCTACGTTACTGTTCACAGGGTAAAAGGAAAGTAAGTAGGCCGAAACAAACTTGGAACAGTTCATCCAGTGAAGTATTAGCTGTCGGAAAGCCATAGACCCAACTTGCAACTTGGAGGAATCGCCCAAAACGAAGATGCGATGGACTGGTGTAGTTGTATTTCAGTGCTTCACAAGTGGTACACAGGATTGATGATGATTGTCCAGCCATTTAACTTGGTTTATTGAAGAACGAAATCATTACAAAATGTCTATTAGAACCTTACAATAGTACAGCGAAAAAAAAATGATGAATTTCAGTCAACATCTAGACTTATAAAATAAAATGTGAAAAAAAAAACGTCCTGCACACGCGTCGTTAATGGGAGTAGAGCCCGCATGGTTCTTGCGTGTATGAATATTCTGAGATTAGAATATTCCTGTTTCAGTTTTAGCTATGTGGTCATCCATAAATGACGTCACGCTTTTTTGACGACCCCCCGCCCCCCCCCCCCACCCAAATGACGTCACATCTCAGCCTACAACCCCGCTAAAAATTGCAGTTGAATTTTTCTTAAAACGCTGATTTTTTCTCTCTAAAGTCCAGAAAAAGCTCGGTCAGCAGAGATTATTTTAATAGATTTCTATTACAATTTATTAAAACCGTTGTCTAAAAACGAAAAATTACGGTTAAAAATTAGTTTTCTAACATTACTTTTTTATTATGTAAAAGTGTGACGTCACACTATCTGACCTCCAGTCTCCCACACAGCCCCTACGAGTGTGACGTCATTTATTCGACCCCGTACTCGTATTGAGTTAATTCAATACTTTCAGTTATCATAATAGTGAGAGAAAAAAATCATTCCCAAGAAACTTATATATTATGTATTTATACAAACGCATTTTTAAATCTAAATGCCAATGCTGGTAAAAGCTGTCTTTTTGTTATATCAGTTAATATAACGCGTAATATAATCAAACACAAAACGATCAAATCATTAGTAGTTCCAGTCCAAGTTTTATTTTTGACAAAGGATCTAAACATTATTTTGGTCATTAAGTTAATTCCTCACAAGATCCACGCATTGCTACAAATATGCAAACGATTTGTCTACATCTTGATAAAAATTCAATCAGACATTTTTCATTCCCCTTCAGACCTGCCTAAGGATAAGATGCTGACCTACCGGTCTAGTGTAATTTTACTCAACGATAGCCAGATTCTCAACACTTATGTTTTAAATACATTACTCAAAAACAACCAGCTTTACTTACTCAATATTTCATGAATAAATACAGGATCATACCCAAGTCTAAATCTGTAGTTCATTTGATCAAAAGAACAAAACATATCTTGTTAGTAAGTTTTAAAATTTTAAAAGTTAACTTCAATAGTAAAAGTAAAGTTCCCTTTCCGAACCTGACAGTCCACGAGGCAAGTAGAGTTTACCTGTTTCTGTGACCTTGGCATATGAAGGGATAGTGTGATCAGCTCTATGCCCAGCACCCTTACTTTCCCTAACGTGAGTTAGGCACCTATCAGAGTGGGTCGACTCAGGGATGTTATTGAACACAGATTTAAACAAGTCTTTCAGGTTAACAGTCTAGCACTCTACAGCTAGGCCACACAAACTGCAAAATTTACAGAGAAAAAAAAAGGGTGGGCGACACCATGAGGTGCCGCACTGGGTGACACCCGACCTACCATATCACTGATTACAGCTATTCATGCCAACAGGGTTGTTTCTTAAAATTTTAAAAATTTCTAAAGCCAGAAAGTTAAAGTTCTTAAAATTTCTATTGAAAATATATGTCCCATTTTTGTTTATACTCCCCCCTCTTAAAAAATCCTGCCACACCACTGCGAACAACAGTTATAAGACACCATACAGCCTCTACACACTGATATAAACAACTCTTCACAAACAATCAGATAAATATTTTAGCGATCAACTTAAATTTATTTTTCAGACATCACATTAATTTTACAAGCAAACACAATGTCATACAGGTTCTAAATCTTTTACATATAATGTTCACTCATCCTGACTTCAGTTTATCTTATACAAAACCTGGATGTATCTAGCAGCATTTAAACAAACAACCTACAACCAATAAAAAAAACAACAAACAAACAACAAAGTACACAAGCACTAAATGATATACTTTTTCATGACAAAATTATTAAGATAAATCTTAACGTATACAACTATACAAAATTGTCAGCATTAGAAAAATGAATGCACATCAGCTTGATTTTTGCTCCTCAAACATGAAAACAACAAACACATTTTTAAAATTCAATGAATGCCCAATCTGTTTGGAAGTTGCAAACATAAAAAACATTTTATCTTGTATTTAACATGATCCAGGTCGCTGCAAAACTTGCCTTAAAAAACATCTGGAATGATCTAATCTAAGCTGGTCTTTTTGTTTCAGTATTGTTTACTGTCTTGAAGAAGTCTGTAACAAAAAAAAAGAAGTTTAAACTTCAATACAATATCAGCTTTTATTAAAAGCTTATTTTACAAATTATTGAATTATTTAATGAGTATACACATCATTTATCATTAATATGTCTGAATGATGTGAAAATATGTTGATTTTAAGATGATAACCCTTAATTATGTAAAAGAGTAGAATGATTTTGATGCTAACAAAAATCTAGTTAGATATTTTTTGTGTTAAATAGTTAAAAATATAGCACTAAGGTTGAATGAAAATAATGGATTAGGATATCACCTGTGAGGGCGAGGTCTGTTTGGAGGGCTTGATTCTTCTGGTGCGGGGTACTCGGGGTTTGTATCTACGCAAGATGCTGGCTGATGCTCGCTGTGTTTCACTTGGCTGTTTTCTAAGGGATCTTGTGGGACTTCCAGAATCAGGAGACAAAAGTAAAGGGCTACCACTGTATAACGTGCGCTTCTTTTTTCTAGTTCTGTGGAAGACAATCAGCATGAACATAGATAAACAACATTAAAAAAAATAGAACAACAATTGCTTAGCCATATCTTCCTAAAGGGAAAATTGTAAAGAATTACTTTTTCTATAATGGAAAAACACACACACATATATAGATTATATTTGCTGGAGTGCAGACAGTGGCATTAAAAAAAATTCACCATTATTTTACATGTAGTAATACAATTTAAAAAGGCTTACTGTCTTTGCTTAGTCTTTTCACTGGGATTACTTTCTTCTTCTGGTGGCTTTTCTTCTGTGGACTTGACCTCTAGCACCTCCTCTTCCTGGTCCACAGCTATGGTAGGCTGAGAGAAAACAAAAGTGTGCTCCTTCACTTCAGGTTCTTCTGGCACTTCACTGGCTGACTTTCTCACATCCTGCTCTTTTACATTGTGCTTGATGGGCAGGGAAAAGGTGAAGGAAGGACTCATCTCTTTTGTGAAGTCTGTTGAATATATTTGTTTCAATTTAAAATAAATAAAATAATTAATTAAATAAAATAATTAATTAATCAAATAAATAAATAAATAAATAAATATATATATATATATATGGATGTACACAGAAAATGTATGATCATTTTTTTCAATGTAACAATGAAGTGTCAATATAATTAAGCTGTATACCCTGTGCAGAGCCCATCTTTTTAGGCGTATGAGCAGCTCCAAGGGGTTTACTTTCACCTGCAATCATAGTCTTCCCCTGGAAAACAAAACATTTTGTGTCTGAAATCTTAAAGCAATCATAAATAAAATACTTAAAAAAAACTTTTTAAAAAACCACGTTTTTCTTGTGGACTAAAAAGTAGAAAATAAATTTTTCTTTTGTGCTTCCTCGAGCTGTGCAGGTTCTTGTGATGACTGACAAAAAACGTGGGTACGTTCACCATCAAATTTCCCGACCCATCTGCCCGACCCACGTTTTTTGTCAGTCATCACAAGAACCTGCACAGCTCGAGGAAGCACAAAAGAAAAATTTATTTTCTACTTTTTAGTCCACAAGAAAAACGTGGTTTTTTAAAAAGTTTTTTTTAAGTATTTTATTTTCTCCTTTTTAGTCCGTTGCTACACATGAAAAACGTGGTTTTTAAAAAAGTTGTTTATATAGTTTATTTTCTACTTTATCTAATGACTTGATTAAGTATGACTTGACTAAGTGTTTATAAATACACGGACTAAAAAAATCTTGAGCGACCAGGATTCGAACCTGGGTTGTCGCGGCCACAACGCGAAGTACTAACCACTATACGATCACGGCCAGCGCGCTCACATCGATTGGGGCCGAAGTAACTGTGTCTATAAGCCTCCAGTCTTGTCGGTATCTTTAGAAATCATGTCCTCAATTTTATGGTCCTTGGGGCGTAATTAAATTAAGCTAATTACGGTCTCTAATTGCTAGTTTTTATGATTGCATCTGAAATTGTTAGGCGAAAGTAGCCTGTATGCCAAATTTCAGATCTGTAGAGCAATCAGAAGTGGGCTACTTTTCGATGTCAATTTTAACAACAAACAAACAAATCCACAAACGCGAAGCTGAGTTAAGAAAAACGTGTTAAAAAAAACAACAACAACAAAAACATGAACAAGGAATTCAAGACTTGAAATGTACACTATATGTAATCACATGGATTTAATTTGAGCAACAGTTGAAAGCGAACTCTACCTGGGTTTTGTCTACAATCTCCACCTCGTCCTCCACTTCAAACCTCAGAGGAGGCATCTCTTCACCCCACACCTCTTCAGCCTCATCGTCCCTGTTATTATTTTTGTTTTCGTTTGCTGCCTCATCACTCTGCTGTGTCCTAGCTGGGGACTTAGACCTTGCTCTGGTTCTAACAGGTAGAGCCTCCTCTTTATCTTCAGGTGGTGCTGACTCTGTAGCCGGTTCTTCTGTTTGAATAAGTTATTTTTGTAATGCATTTGCTACAGTAACAAGATCTTATAGTTGCAGTGTAATAGTGTAGTCGGGTACTAATATAAACCTGAAGGTTCAGTTCTAAGGCTCAATAATGTAAAACTTCCTTGGGTTCAAAGAGCTTTAATGAACACCTCACACCTAGATAAGATGGCTGGCCACACTGATGGCACAGATAATTAAAGGAAACACCCTAATAAACTCAATTATATAAAAAAAGAGAACTGTTCTAACTGTTGTGAAAAAATATCAGTACCATACATACCAACAATTTTTCGATCAGGAGTTTTTTTACTACGTGTTGTGCGTGCTGGTAGTGCTGGCTCAAGAGACTTTGCCTTCCTTGTACTTTTAGTGGTGAGTGTTTCGTCTCCCTCTTCTGTCACTGTCCTTTCAGGGGTTTTCTCCGTTAGTGCCTTCTGCTTCCTTGTAGTTACAGATCTGTTGATATTTTGCAAACAGTGAACTTAAAATTAAAAGCTCTCAAGAACATTTAAATTGTAAATAGAATTGCTTTATTATTTCAGGAATTGGTTTATTATTTCAGGAATATTCAATTTAAAAACATAAATTCCTTTAAACATCTGCAATTTTATTTAAATTTGCCAATATTTTGAGTAGAGGCTCATTAAAAAAAATAGGTATTTTATGCTTTTCTATAATTATTTTTTAATTTAAAATGGAGTTGAAGGAAAAGGTATTTAAAACTTGGAATTCTTTAGCTTTAGTAGCTAGCTTTAATTGTTTCTGACATGCTATGTACTAGAGACTAATATGCTTAATGTGAGATGGAACGAGACATTAATCAATAAAATAAATTCCCCACCTGAATTAATTTTTTAAAAATACTTCATTTTGTGTGTGCTAATGATAAAAACAAACTTTCTTTGCTTTTTTTATTGCAGCGTAAACTAAAATAACAAATAAAAAATAAGTCATAGAAAAACAATGAAATGGCTAAAATAGCTTACCTTTTTGGGGAAACAACTGGTGTAACAATAGATTCAATCTCAACTGTGCTTAACTTTTCAGGAGATTTAGGCTTGCGGGTTGATTTTCTAGATGGACCAGCAACAGACTTTGTGTCTTCCGTATCACTTTTATCAGGCTGTTGGCTCGGAGAGACGTTCACTGCAACTGGTTCAACGTCTGCAGTGTTAGGCTTTTCAGGAGACTTAGCCAGTCTCCTCGACTGTCTTGTAGGAGTAGACGGACAAACAGCTGACAGGGGTGCAACTCTGTCAGGTGTTTTTGATCGATTTCTCAACTTTCTTCCAAAGCTTTCTTCTTGATCTTCTATTTCTTTGTGCTCTTGTGTTTGTAGCTGGGAAGTAGCATCCGTGATAGGACCTTCTGAGTCGTCCCGTTTTCTTTTAGACTTTCGACCAGGTGATGATTTATTGTCTCCTTCTCTGTTCTCCACAAGATCACCTGCAACTCTTGGCGGTGTCATAGCCCTCGGTGGAGTCACTGCCCTTTGAGGAGTCACAGCCCTCTGGGGTGTTACGGCCCGCTGTGGCGTCACAGCCCTCTGGGGTGTTGCACTTCTCAATCCCCTGGTTCTGGACGGTGACACTGGCTCTACACCTGATGCTTCAGTAAGATCTGGTGTTTTAAGTCTGGCAGACTTGCGTCGTTGCGACGCCCTCTCTAGTGAGACGTCTCTAGAAATGTCAGCATCCTCTACTGCAGAAAATGTTTCTGAGCTTGAGCCTTTCAGATCTAACTGTGTCTTTGAAGCGGAAGATTTCTTTTCATGTCTGGGAGCCAATGCTGGGGTAGGTTCCTCCTCAGATAATTTAACACTAGCATCTTGCTCCATTTTTTCTGTCTCAGACACTTTTTTAGACCTTCTGGAAGGTGACCTTCTCTCTGGTGTTCGCCGCAGGGATTTTGGTGGAGTGGAGGGTAAGGCTTCCTCGGGCATGTCCTCTGCTTCTTGGCTGGACAATTCACTTGTAGATTTCTGCACTTGTCTAGACGGTGATTTTCGTTCAGGTGTTTTTCTTCTAAGCGGGGTCTTGGCTTTAGAATCATCAGACTCTTCACTGACTCTACTCTTGGGGGGAGAAGCTTGTGTAGAGAGACCCCTGTCATCACCCCTGCTCTCTGTAAATAAAATGGGGTGCATTAGGATAGGATATTATTAAGATAGGGTATGGGGTGCATTAGGATAGGATATTGTTAAGATAGGGTATGGTGTTGTTGAATGATAGAGCTCACAGCTGTTAACCCAAAAGCCTCAAGTTTGGATCCCAGGCTAGAGTCTGGCACTCACAAAAGAGAAACTAAGGTGACTCAGCATAGTGCTGACCATACTATCTTTTTGTATGCCAAAGTAAATTGAAACAGATGAATTCTACTTCATCTGCCTTATGTGTCTTGGGCACTAACAGGAAAAGATGATGAAGATCAAGTGTCCAATGACTTAGCCTATAGGATAGGAAACTATGTGTTCTTCAACTGATTATAAACAAATTATGTGATATAACTGAAGAAGCAATCATATGATCAGAATTGATGACCCTGAACAGATCAATGATAAAAAATAAACAAAAGTAGTGTCTCACCTTTTTTAGGTTCTTGACTTTCTGTGGTTTCTGAGTACTGTAACATTTTCTTATAAAGTTCCAGGTCAACACGTTTCTTCACCATGAGTTTTGCCCTTTTGCTGAGAGGGGGTGTGGCTGGAGGCGAGTCTTCTCCATGCTGCCTGGCCTCAGGGGACCTCTGGCTAACATCCACAAGCAGCTCTGTACGCCTTGATGAGTGTTGAATGTGGGAAGCCGTGCTATTCTTGTCAACCTCAGCCACAGAGCTCTATCACATAAAAAAGGTGATGTCTTAGCTAATTCACTACTAATTTTGTTAAATAAAATGTAACAGTTTCATCAACACCTTTTTTTCTACTCCTGATAACTGTTCATTTTAAAATACAGTACACAAGGCAAGGTTATATTTATTTATGAGAATAATATACAAAACATATACCACAAATAGTGCCTAAACATTATTTGGACAAACCAGGAAAGGTGCATTTTAAGTAAAAAATAAAATAAATTAATTAAATCATTACATCAATTATAAAAATAAATAAAGCTGGTTTAATTTGTATATTTTTGTAAGTTCCAATGGGAATCTATGATGTAGCCATATACACAGATGTGTAAAAAAAAATATCTATAGACAGTGTATTGTATATTTTTTTTTGTTTACTAGATGAGCTGTGGGGGGGGGGGGGGGGGGGAATTGTTTAAAGAGCTGTGCATTGCCATCCTGGCATATAACAGTTAATAATGTTGGATGAAAAACAAGACTGGACCAGTTTTTACTTGTTTGATTCCCCTCCCCTCTAAAGCTACAATTAAAGAGCCCCAAAAAATCTCTGAAGACAAACCTGCATGCTGCTGGTTCTGTTATCTATCATGTCATCTGAAGACTTGGGCTTGTCACTGGGAGGGGTGTGAAAGGTTGACTCTATGGGGGATGATGTCATTGATGGTGTTAGAGTCGCTTGCTCTGGGAAAAAAAATTTATTTCCTCAGTGAAGTAAATATCGGCTCATGAATAAAAATTGTAATGAACTCATTCCCATAGGATGGGACTAAATGTGTCCTTCTAGGGTTCTGGCTGATATGTCTAAATGCATCCGGCTACTCCCTTCCTACTTATCTTTTCAACCTGATCATGAAATCATGCATGTGGGAGATTATTACTACCACGTAGTAGCGAGAATCCTCAAGATTTCAAGTAAAAAAAAAACAGTTTTTATCTTGTTCGGCTCATTTTCAAAACGTGTTTCACAAGATTTTTGTGTTAATTAAATGTTGCATATACAATTTTTTTTTCAGTTTTCTTTTTTTTTTATGTTGTGACAGTATTGTTATAATTTTTCTTAAGTTGGATGCTTGGGACGGATTGAGTTAAACAATTTTTAAGTGTACAAAAAAAATAAATGATAAATTTAAATTTAAAAAAAAAAAAACAGCACATGATGACAAAGCAATCTTAAACTCCAATGTCTTACCAGGCTTTTTGTTTTCAGCTTGAGGGAATTTAAATGTAACCTCTTCATCTACAATAAACTCTGAATTTTCACCCTCTGCCAGTTGGTGTTTCCATGGTGACTGGAGGTCAGGTCGGATCAGACCATGGATTTGATCTGTATATCTGGAGTAGTTTAGGAATATGTTGACAATCAATGTGTTGGGCAAAGTAAAAATATTTCAACACTATATTCCTATCAGTTACTCTTTTAATCAATTTGTTAAAAAAAAAAACTACAATAAGTCTCTTTCTTGTCTACTAACTGTGGCTGCCTGACATGTTGCCACTTTCAACTTCTCTATAATTATCAAGCAAGACTCACCTGTTATCTGGCCCCTCAGTAAAAGATAGTTGTTCCACTTGAACAGATCCTTGACCATCAAGCAAAGGGGCGTGGTTCTTAGATAGATCTGTTTCATCTTCATTCATGGACTCATCTTCTGATCCTAGAAATTCATGGGAAATACTTATAATGAAGATCATGTAAAATGCTCAACAAGTCAAGACACATTTTGATACTTTTTGAAGAATATTTTTTTGCTACAACTGAACAAAACAACAACAACACTACATAAAGTCTTGCCTTTCATGCATTTTTATAAGACCCCAAAAGTAATTAGCTATCTAACCATTAAGCTAAATATTAAGCCTAGTATCTAAAAAAGAAAAACACCCAGTTGGCTTTACACCAACAAAGTTTTAATACAGAAATGTGAATAACAGATGCCTGAACCTTTTAAAACTTTCAACCAAAAACAGCATTTTTAAAATGAGGAACCACTACTCACTAATAGGGGAGATAATTTTCTCCACATTGTCATCTGTTTCCATCCCTTCTGAATCCTGAACAGGCTCACGATCTGGTGTTACTGAGTCTTCTCTAAGGATGGGTGGTGTCACTGAGCTATCTCTCAGCTTTACACTCTACAGACACATCATAATGCTATTAATAAATACATTTACAATATTTGTAACACCTAATTATTTAACATTTTGAACCCATTGTAATGCTTTTTCAGTCGACTTAAACATCTGTGTCCCAGGCATTCCAATATAACAATCTGAAACAGCTTACCCCGAATTAACACCGTACATAAACATGTGCCAATAAAAAAAGGACATCACTAATACGATGTTAATTATTTGCAGTTTTCTATAAAAAGACATGTTAAATATCCCAACAATTGGCATTCTATCATGTCCATATCAACAAGTCTGAAAGAAGGGTCTAATGCTGGGAGGACTCGCAAACTAAGCGGTAGTATTCGCCATGAACTCACGTACAAATGTTTGTTAGAATAATAAAATTTAGCTTCATTATGAGTTTATTTTGTGTACATTTACCTCAGGAGTTCAAGGACTGGGGTCAGGAGCTAAAGTTTTAAAATAATTTCCTAAGCTTATGTTAATAACAGGAACGGCGTGGACTAGCGGTAGAGAGCTAGACTGCTACAGGTTCAAATCAGAGGAACGTCCCTGAGTCCACCCAGCTCTGATGGGTACCATACTTACAGGCGGCTGGGCATAGTGCTGACCACACTTTCCCTTCATATGCCGATGTCTCTGAGGCAGATGAACTCTACTTCATCTGCCCTATGTGTCTTGGGCACGAACAGGAAATGATGTTAATATCATACTACAAAAATACTTGATTAAATATTTCATAGTAAAAAAATATACATGCCTTTGAATTCTCCAATTCTGATGGCAAGTTTCTAGGAGATGGGGATGGTGATATGCCAACAAAGCGCAAGTGCTTGGGAGTGTGTGTAGGTAACCCAAGACCAGTGGTCTGAGGGCTGGAAACAAAGTCTACATGTGCTTGAGATAAGGGGGCCACAGTGCTGAGGGTAGTGTCTGGCTTGGAGAAACTGAATCTTTTACCTCGAGAACCGGAGGATCTTTTTAAACTAGTCGTCTCTGATGAGGAAAAAAAACAAATTTTGAACTAAAAATAAGATAGTCGAAACAATGTGTGAAGCATTAAGACTCATCCATTCATCAACTTCTGAAAGAGCATATGATGCTCAAAATATAGACATCTGGTGATACCACTTTGAGGCTGACACAACAAAGATGGTCTACACTTGGAATTAAATTGAGAATACGTCCAAAGACTTGGTGGCTCATACTATAGCAGGGGTGAAGGGCAGTGATTGACTTCATAATCATTGAAAAAAAAAACCATTAAAAAAAAATAGAACATTAAACTAACAAATTGCATGCTACATTCTTTAGCCCTATTAAATAATCTTTTATTATTTAGTACTATCTTTAAAAAAAGTATTGTCTGCAGGTACCTCTAGCGCTTGCTGGCTGAGTTTTGCTCAAATTTTTAACTTTGAGGATAGACTGTGGTGTTTTGATCTGTAGCCCTGAGCTTAATGTAGCAGGACTGCCAGTCTTCTTCTGGCTTTTTGTTGGAGTTTGGAGAACTTGAAGGCAATCCAAAGTCAGCTGTCTGAGACTTCTGTAGGGATGACAGTAAAAAATTTCATCGAAATTTTTTGAATTATATATTAAAAAACTGAACACATTTAATTATGAACAATAATTTTTTTAAAAGGGTGAGGTAACTAGAAAAAGGATTGCACAGACTTACGCATTGCCATTTACTGCACTGTTTTCCAGAGCTTTTCTCTTCACAACAGATAGTGCATTAGTGGTTAGTGGTGACAGCTTAGATTCAGGGCATAAGACCTCAAAACTTCTGTTAAAAAAGATTAATAGATCTTTATAAATCAACTACAGTTCTCAAATGATTTTCTTACAGAAATGAATTTTGATATTTAAAAACTAACAGTTGTCATTTTAAGATTTTTCACAAGTAAAAAACAGGAATTTAAGAGATGTAATGATATGCAATCAATATTCAGTTAAATGTAATAATCAGTAATGACAATTTGTTCACCTTAATTGAGATGTAGCTTTCGAGGGTCTTGGTGTCATAAGCAAAGGAAGATCGTCTATTCCTGTGTTTTCACTAAATAATGAAAAGAGTGCTGCTTTATTCCTATGATCAATATCTAAATGTACTTCTAAACAATTTTTTTTTAATCATTCGCCAATGAAAGCATGGGTCTGCGATGATGGCTTGGGTGAACACAAGCTAACCAATAAGTTCTGGCTTGCCCGAGCGTATCCATTTCTGATAGATATCTGACTACACAATCCCTTCATGTGACTAGTTCACAACTGAACTCTCCCTTTATCTGCACTCAAGGATCCTTCATCCTGTTTTTAAAAAAGGCTAAATTTAAGTGACAACAATAAATTAACATACTGGGGCTGATCTTTCTCTGTTTCCATAGAGTCTGCATTTAGCATCTGATTAGCCTCCTTCACTTTCTCTATGACAGCCATTACAAAGTGTGAGCGTGACATTGCTGTCTGGTCAACATTCCTCACCATGGTTGACAAGGGTCTTGGTCTTGCATCTAATTATGCAAATATTATAATCAAGTCGTTAATTTAAAAAGTATGCTTTTCACAACTTATTAATTCAGATTTGATTACAATTAGATGGTTCAATTTTGGTAGGCCTACTTCTATAATTTCCATCAGGGAATAATGAATCTTTTTTTTGGTGGTGAACCACCCAAAGCCATGACACCAATAATGACAGAATTTTTTTTTATAGATACAATACTATATTAGATACAATACTATATTAACTTAGCTGTGAAGAAAGAGGTACCACAAATATCAATGACTATGTTAGATCACAACACTAACACAAACAGCAACACACTAGCAACCCTGTTACAAATGTAATGCTTTCTATTTATAACATATAATATGGTAGGTAGACATACATTCAAATCTTTTGACAGCTGATATTGTAGTGCCTTTTATTTTCTCCATTAACAGCTTTCTTGTGACATCAGGTAAGGCTCGGAGATAAGCCTCCATTAATCTGTTTCTAGTCGCTGCTCTTTCTTGAGCCACAGGGCTGGTCTCTAACTATAAAAGAAATAGTGACAAATGCAAAAACATTAACTTTTTTTTTATTCTTAAAATAATAACCTACTAGTCAGTTTTAAAAGGCACAGAAATTGTAATGTTATAGAGAGAAATAGCTAAAATAGACATCAACGCACTATCAACTTTTCAAATTCAATGTATGAGAAAATTTAAGGACATAATTTTCTAAATTTTATGAGAATCCCTGGTTTTTTTTTCTTTTAAAAATCCTTTTATTTTTTATTTTTGGAGATTTTCAGGACATTTTGAAAGTTTAGGAGGCAGTGGGGGATCCTGGTTGTAATGTAAAATAAAAAAAAACAACATTCAGTTTGACCCACCTTATCCATTCTTTTCATACTTTCGTTGAGCTGAAAAGCTTGCAGGAATCTGGAATGGTGAAGGTAGTACAACAACAGTGGTTCCAGAGCATGGGGCTCTCCTCGCTGTTGCAGGTAATGCTCTAAAAAGTGTTCCTCCTTGTCTGTCAAGGTTTGTTGCAACAACTGGCCTAGCAGTTTGTCTGTGAATAAAGAAAGGTTTCCATTTCAAGTGAATCACCTAGCATTTGTGTAAATAATTCATGTGCACTGGTCGAAACTGTTAATTCTGTAACATGATACAAAAGTTTCATAACATTGGGGTTCAGTTACAAGTTTAAATAAACCTTATTTAATATGAACATGCAAATTTTAACAACTTTAAAATTGCTATAAAACTTACAAGGACTTAAAATGTTAAGGATTGAAAATGATAATTATATAAAGTAACTGAAGCACAATACTTTTAATTTAGACGATATACTTATCATACAGCCACTTCTGGCAAGTGATATTTATTAGTGAGACAAAAGGGAAAGGTCATCCAGGTCATGAAAAAGAAGCCGGACTCATTTTAGAGAAAAAAAAATAATACATACTGTTTTGGCAATCTTTTAAAAGATGACTCATCAACTTTTCAAAATTGCTTTTATTTTGACAGCCTCTTAAATACTCTATAGCTTGGCTTACTTGTCTGAAAAAAAGTGAATAATAGTACAATTAAATAATCTCTTCCTTCTTAAAATATTTCTTTTTAAATGTTTTTTGGTTCCATTTCCAGTTTACTGTAATTAAGCTTAGATAATTTTATAAACATTGAACTAGAGTTATAGATTTCAATTACTTCATTACTATCAACAGTCATTTCTAAATATACTTTCAACATTTCACGAATTATATACTCCAATCTTATTTAAAGTCCTCTCAACATGAAACTAAATAATAATATTGAATGTGATGACCAACCTATTGTTAAGGAGCACAGAAATGTACAGCTGTTGTTCTTGTGGTGTAGCCCCAAGCACACCTTTAGTGTGCAGGTAGCGTGTGGCAGCCTTGCCCTCACCTTGGGCCAGTAGGGTGTTGACCACAGCAGCATGTTTCCAGCTGCCACACCCATCTTCATGGATGTTTGGATTGACCAGGTGCCTCACCCCTTCCTGTCATTTTATACAACATATCACACATCATCTTAGCTTAAAAAATACTTCAAGTTGACAAAATGTCTTGGATGTTAAATTTCAGAAAATGCCTCTCTTTATGTTATTTCAAAAGCTAACTTTAACCTAATTACAGGGCCAAAGAAATTGATGAGCTCTACTTCAACTGCTATGGTACATTATTGTAACTTAAAAACTACTTTGAGTTACCATGCTTAGACACAGCATTCAAAACACATTTCTATAATTCTGCATGTAAAACATCCCTGATCACAATTACTTAGAAAATAAAATTAATAAAATTTTTTACTTAACCTTAATAAGTAAATGCAGATTTATATTTGAGTATTTTGAAACAGAGTGATGAATAAATAATACATGTGCAGCATATTGCGATTTGCCAGTGAGGAATCTACATAATGACAGATAATTTTTCAAAATGGTTTATCAAAACGTACATACCTCAATATCTCTGTGATCAATAAACCATATGCCCTGGACTTCATGCACTAGGCCAGGACTCAGCTGAAAGCGTTGGATAAAGCTGGCTACTTTACTTGCACTGGAGTCTGATCTGTCTAATGCAGCCAGATCTTGCAGCAGGTACAATGTGATGGCATGCTTCAAGTCCGTGCTGATTTCATCTATCAGGTAAATGTTTAGCAGACCCTGACAGAGGAAAAAAACATTTTGGTCATGAGAAGAAGCTGACAGCTTTAAATGAGAATTACAGTTAGAATCAATAACCAAAATAAACTTTTTGGTGGTACTTTGTTGTATATTAGCCTCTAGAGTTCCAAATCAAAATGCATGAAATTATTATTAAGTACATTTTACATATTATAAATGTCAATGTTCTGAATTGTGTTGCAACTTCAAGGCAATTACATGTAAAACAGTAACAACTAAGTTTTATGTTTTTACCTGCATGCTAGGGGGAGGGTAGAGACCATTGCCTCCCAGGTTCTCCCAAATTCTCTTCACAGTTGGTCCCTGACAGGTCACCAGGTCATCAATCAACAGCAGGCTTAGACCATCCACAACACTAGGAACAGAAGTAAATCAAAGTAGACAAACAGCCATCATACATCAGACTTAACATTAAAAAAAAAAAGAAAATTGAGTTAACAAAAATGTTCATTTAAATATATATATATAAATAAATATATATAGATTTATACACACTCACTTACACACATTATACCTTATATGCAACAAAATGTTTGTTGTTGCAATAATACAACTACTTACCCTTTCATAGAGCTGAGCTCAGCACGTCTTTTGTTGTACAAGTCCCCCAGGTCATAGATAGGGTAAGGAAAGACACCGACACTGTGATCACTCATATAGTCGGCCTCTGGGAGCAGTTGACTTGAGATGCACCATCGGACCACCTGATAATGCTGCAGTAAAATGTCCACTGTATCTTTTCTGATCTCTAGCTCCAGCTGACCTAGAAGGCAGGACAATATCAAATATAAATGTGATTTTTAATGACAGAACATTTTGATGGGATATTTTGTTTTATATTTTTTTTGCTATAACAATTTAGCAGTGGGATGAGATTATAGGTTTTGATAAATTTGAATTAATTTGTGTGTAAAGCTAATGAAACAGCATTTTCATAAACAAAATACTATCCAGGTTTTATGCCAAACGAAAGAGTCTTAATGGGAAATCATGGTAAAGCTAATTAAATTTTAGCAAGTATACTTTTAGCATCAACCCTCTTTTTTCAGGGGTTTAAGTCCAAAGAATAAATAAGAAAAAATAGTTTGAAGCAGACAATCACCTCTCTCTGTGGTGGGACTTGACTGAGTACTGAGCAGAGAAAAGACTTGTTTCAGATGTGCCAACAATTCTGTTAGGGACTCCAGTTGCCAGTCTGTCCTGGTGTCTATCTGGTGGCCTGACCAGTCATACAGGACTTCACCTTCAATTAGTTTACAACACTTAGCACTTTTTTTAATACTAATTGATATTTTTTAAAAATTATACATTTTCTTTTAAAGTTTATAAGTACTTACAGACATTATCTAGGGAGCTTTTAATGCTAACAACCCTATCCCATGCCCAGTTGAGTATTAGAGTTAGGCTGCAGCCATGTTCAGCAAACTCCCCATCTGCCCAGTTTTCAATACACGCAGGAATCAGTGTTGATGTAATTCCGTGCTCCAAGGCCATATTCAACAGCATTTTCCTTTGATATTCCTGCACATGATTAAAAAAATATTTTATGAAATAGTAGCACATTTAAAAAGGGATAATTTTCTCAACCAGCACCTGCTACTTCAAAATAATAATAAAGTATGTAAAATTAAATAAACAAAAAGTGAAAAGAAAATTATAATTGAACTTAAAAAAAATATTTAAAAGAGACTCACAGCTTCAATATTCTTGCTTTCTTCATAATTCTGAGGCAAAAGCCTTGCTCTTAAACACTGGTGATAAAAATCTGCAGGCCGGACCAGGAACTGAACACCGTCCTTCACAAACTGACGCAGCAACTGTCCCTGCCAACCATCACATCGTGCTTTGATATAGCTGTTAGAGGTGATCAATTGAACACCTGGAAGAAAAATAAAGAAATTTTCATATTAAATAAAACAATAACAAGCTTTGACGAAGGAGCAATGGTGTAACAAGACATTTTTTAACAATTTACCGGAACAATTCTGCTATTGGCAAGAAGGCAGGCATGTCTGTACAAACCATAACGTGGGTTTTACAGATTAAAAAAAGAAATGAGCACTTACTGGTGAGCTGTAATGCAGTAGAAAAACTATGTTCCTCTGGTGGCAATGGTGAATTCTTTATAAACCTCATCACTTTGTCACCACCGATCTCCACATTCTGTTAATACACAGTACGAGAATTTTTTTTTTATACCAACCAAAACTATTTTTGTGCAAATGTGAGATTAAGTGGTGGCTCATAATTTTTCCCTTTTCTTCATTTTTAACCTCATACTTCAGGAAATAAAAAATATATCATGAAGATGGATACTAGTACTGACAACACAATCACTCGTTAAATGAAAAAAAAAACAATATGTAAAGAATACAGGTAAAGTGTATTAATGAAATAGACATAAATTACTACAACCCATAATATAGTAAGAAAAATGAGTTATGTAAAATATATAAGGAACTTCAACAACTAACCAGAAGAGTATGTAAAGAGGTCTGAGCAAGGATGTCATCCAGACAATACACAGCCCAGTAGGGGCAGACTTGAAGTGAGCCACCATGGCACCTAATAGAAGCGGGCATTTGGGCATGGTACCATCTGTTGAGGTCAAATATACACATCCAATGCTTTGTAGAACGCCCACCTTGTGCACTTTCTGCCCTCCACACAAACACACCAAGACTGAGATCATTGCTATGAAGGCCTAAAGAAAGTGAAGAATGATATATTTTCAAAATAGTAAATTAATAACAATTTAAAGGTAATCTTATGTTAAAAATCTGTGTATAGAATCATACGTAATATACATATAAATATATGCATATATCATCATCTTTTCTTGTTTGTGCACAAGACACATGGGCAGATGAAGTAGAGCTAATCTGTTTCAATGACCACAGCATACAAGGGGATAATGCGGTCGGCACTATGCCCAGCTGCCTTTGTTTCCCTAACAGAGCTATGTGGACTCACAGGCATTTTATTGATTCGAACCTGGATTTGAACTCGACACTTTCGGGTTAGCAGTCTAGCTCTCCACCACTAGGCCACACTGCCCCATATAAACTTTTTGGTTTAAAAAAATGGATACTATTTTAAACAATCATTTGTTTAGGTATCCACTCATTTTTTAAGTGAACCCAGAAAATCAATCCAAATTTTATGTAAACTGAAACCAAAATTACAATTTTCTAAAACCCTGAAACTTAAAGCCACTCCCAATTTTTTTTAACAAAGTTGAAAATTGTTTCATAACATTTTTTTAGACATCTGATTACGCTCAATAAAGGACTGTGCATATATCAAAATTCGTTTGAACTTTTAGACCTAGCTGTACCTTATGTGTTATTCCAGTGTGTAGTCAGCCATCTGTTAAATAGTAAATATTTTGCTAACCTTAAAGTCTTGTGATTTTTATAACATGATGTGGCTTTGGTTATGAGAAAAAAAAGAAACATTGCCAGCTAAGAACCCCCTCAATGGGCTAAATGTCTAGTTTCATTAATATGAGTACCAGTATCAGCTAAGAAAAATGAAAGAAGCGACTGCAATTGATGATGTCATGTCAACGCATAGCAGTATTATTCAAGCAAGTGCAAAAGTTGGAAAGGTCTGTAACTCTAAAAAATGCACAGGAGTCTTGATAATAAAAACAAATACCAAAAGTTTAAATGGTCTCGTTTTTTTTTTAAAAACTGCAAACCTGGAAATTAAAAGAATCGGGCAAGTGAACAAAATAAGTTTCTTGAATCTCTTGGAAAAGTACCCCCTCCCCCTTGCATTTAAGAACTTACTTTCTTCAAATGATTCAGACAACAAGGGAGGAGGTGTGTAGTATGGATTACGAATGGCACTGCAACAGATGAGACTACTTCTCCAGGTGGAGTTCAGGTCACTACTGTAAGGATCTATTGTCAGCTTATGATCCAGTCTGGCTCCAACAGTGTCCAACTCCTGATCAATTAAAATTGTAAGAATTAAAATTCAGTTTCTCGATTCAAACCATCAACACAGCTCTGTGCATCAAACACAGACACAGGGATTCAGAAGCAAGCCCATTAATATAGTAAAGTTTTATGATAGTTTAAGATACAAGTTTCTTATCATTTTAATTCAAGTAAGTATTATAAAAACCTAATCCTAAAAAGTATAATACTTACATCATAATACATGCCAAAGTTGGCATACACAGCTTTTTTGAGAAAGTTAAGCTGATACAAGCAAACTCGAGCCATGCTGTAAAATATATATCATTATCCATTAGTTATTAAAACAATAAAACTAAATATATTTTTTTCCATTTAAAAAAGAATAGTTAAAATACAAGTTCAAATGAGTTATTTAGAGAACGTACTTTATTCCTTGCGTGTCACTATAGACCACCCACAAGTAAACATAGTTACGAGGATCATTTTCAGGTTCTTGAACAATAAAGTTAGACACAACAGAATTATCAGGATGGTAACGAGAGCTGTAACTGAAATAATCAATAAAAACATATTCTCAATAACATATTTAATAAAATATCAGAGGGACGAAGATAATAATTTTAAGTACATTTTTAAAAATGAAAAAAAAAATGCTTACTCTAGAACAGGATTAAACAGTTTCCAAAGCTGAAAAAAGCCATAATTAAAACCAACAGCAAGAATCCCAGCTTGTTCCATGTATTTTAGGCTGGTCACAATCACATTTTCTTTAACAAAAATGTCAAATACAGTGATAATCAATAAACCAAACACATGAAAATAGAGAATTTTAAACACTGTCTTACAAAAGAATTTTTTTGGGTCCTATATTGCTATGTACCGAATCATTAAAATATAATTGCAAGTAAAATATAAAATACTATTAAACAAAGAGGCATACATCCATTTATGACATGAGCTAAATACTCTTTAAATGTAGCCTCCAATACGCCTATGAAGTGCATAACAAGCTGACATATAATACTTAAGTGTGATGGAGGAAATCCCAAAATTACAATGAAGAACAAAGAAGAAGAAGCCTTCATTTGTGACATGGAAAAATTCTTTTTCAAATACAGTTACAGGGACATTTGATATGAGTTCGGTTTGCTAGGTGCGAATGACTTTTTTGTGCGAAAGAGATAATGGATGCATGGATTGATGTCGCTGATGAAAGATATTAACGTTTTATGATAGAAACTGGTTACTGTGGAATGCAAGTTTGGGCTAGGAAATGAAAGTGAGAGGCACTCCATATGATGTCAGCAATAATTCTAATTGTATACTGAATTTGTGAACCTAGTAGTTGAATAAAAACCTGGAGGGGAAAATAATTGACATTTTGTCAAATCATTATCGTTAATCCTGATGTGAAGTGGAGTGATTAATTCTGTTAGTGGAACCCTCACAGAGAAACTCATACGAGCTTGGTAGTGGAGCTTAAGGTCAACCCTCACACACAGTCCCAACAACATGCATAAAATTATGACAGGATGGAAGCGCAATGGAAAATTGCATTTTGTTTTCTTAAACCGAGCATTTATAGACATTAGCAAACAATGACATGCACACTGTAGCATTATAAAACACTTCCACGAAATATGACAAAATGAAAGTGTATTGGTGTAATTAATTTGTATTTGCATATTTGTCTGTTTGCTCAGTTTTCCATTTGCAAATTATTCTGGGAACAGATTAAAATATGTACCTTCGTCAAACACCTTGTCAACTGTATTATCCTGTCTTATATTATAAAAGCATCCATCTTTGTGACTCAGATCTATAAAAAATTTATTTGATGTTAATAATTTTAAACAAGATAAAACTGAAATTAAGTACTTTTCAAATAAAACACAGATTTTCGTGAATAAAATTTACATTATTACTTGCAACATAGTAAAATCTATAGCAAAATTTATAATATAAATGTCCACACTGTTTCAGGTACTGTGGCTTTGTAGGCTTCATGCCGAAGGGAGACAGGCATTCCTAGGTCTAAATGCCAGGGAAACATTTTTGCCAACAGTTCAAATTGCACTATGGGGACGGGGATGAGAATCTGGTTGGACATTTGTTACAGCAGCAGACTGCTGGTATGCAGCTTTTGACTACATATTTTATTACAAGAATACCATTACACCTATAATAGACGAAAGATGGGAAAAGTATATTACTGAACAACTTACTATTTAAAAACAAAGCAGTAATCTTGTTACAGTTACTTGCTTTCTCTCGTGTTGCCTTAGGATCTAACATTTGAGGACTGGCGAAGAACAGCTGTTTAGGTCCTGCCTCTGTCGACTGCTTTTTAGCAAGTTCATCTAAGCACAAATCTGGAAACAATTTTTAAAGAATACACTTAGAATTTGTATACCTAGGCAAGCGTACCCCTGGCAACTAAAAGTAGGAACAGGCATACATAAAAAGAGGAATATGAAGTAAAAAAACAGAACATACGATCTCATGCTGCTAAATATAAAAAAAAAAAATTAAGATAAAGAAAAACGTAACATTATACACAATAGTAGGCCTAATAGATATGAGTATTATGTATAGATATGTACTGTATAGTTAATATCTAGCCATCTAGATCTATATATTGCTTGATTTGAAGTTCAATATTAAAAAAAAAAGTGTAACCCCCCCCACCCCACTAAAATAAAACCATAACTTCAGCTGTTATAACAATATTGTTTTGATTTAACACTAGTCGATGCTATAAGAATCTTAAGCTCTTTTTACTCTACATATTTGCTTATCTTCCCGATTTAGCGGAACAAAATCAACAAAACAGGAACTGTGGAACAAGACATGATGTTTTGTAATTTAGCAGAACAGTTTGGTTTTTAGCGGGCCTGTAGGAATGTCTGGTATATCCAAAGAAAGAGTATCTCAAATCAAATTTCTCAAAAAAAAAAAATGTGATGAAGCTGATAACGATAGAATATTTTACAGAACCAAAACACTTACCAACTAAATAGATGTAACCCGCCTCAGTTCCAACAGCAGCAAGTCCAGAAAAAAACTGAAGATGTTGGCTTAACACCCATCTAGGAACATCTTCAGTTGTATTTGTAAACAAAACCTCAATAGCAGTAATCTGTAAATGACATTGTAAATATATAAACCACTAAAAAATTTAACTATTAAAAAAAAAAAACCCAGCTTCTTATCAAATTAAATTTTAAAAATATACCTTTCGAGGAAACTCAAGGGCCTGAATAACTTTACGAGACCCAACACTGAAGATACAGAGTGTCCCTTTGTCTGTGTAGTTTGATGTGGCCACAAGCAGGAGATACCCCGCCTGGCACTTCAGATCCGTCACACATGTGATGGTTGTGTTTACATCTTTCAGAACTTTACCAAACCTCCAAGTGGCTAGAACTTCATTGGTCTGGGTTAAATTTACTTCTAGCAATCCTTCACTATAAACCCACCTAATCTGGCCATCTAATAAGGGATGGATAAATACATTATTTTAAATGCATGCAATAATTATTTAAAACCTTAGATAATAAAAAAAAAAGGAAAATAATTATTAGCTGCAAGGCGAGTAGGCCTATTAAAAACATAAAAAAGAAAATTAAACAAATACTTATACAATTAATTGAACACTAGTCAATATTTATGTGAAAAAGGTGTAGCAATAATATAATTACCTTTAGATATCCCTGCATTGTTTGCACTAAACCCAGTTCTTTTATATACACCAGTACATTCCGGCGTCAGTTCAAGCTTCATGGTTTACAATGATGCTAAACAAAACACTGCAATGGGAAACTCAATTTATTCAACACTGTACAGATTTTTTAATAAAAAGAATATTAGGACCTAAGTTTTAAAATGATTTTAATCTACTGTTATGCTGTTTAGTTAATGACACAACTTAAAATCATAAATGTGATAACACTAACTAAAAATACAAAAACAATTAGACCTACTTTCAAACTATTAAAAACCAGAAAACTATTAAACTATTATTATTGCTATAAATTTAGGGTAAAACCTTAGTTTAGCGTAGGAAATTATATGGTAATGTTTGTTGAGTTTCGTATAAGTTGCAGTAAACAGTGATTTATTTGGCCATTGAAATATAAATAATAAATAAAGTCGATTGTAGTAAATTAATAATTAAATTTTTAAATTTTAATTGACACAGTGAAACAGGAATAAATAAAATATAATAGTAGATTTAAATTAGAAGATCTAAAAATATATAAATAAATAAAATGTAGGCTTAGTTATTTGTTTAATGTTTTTAACTTGCAGAGGATTTGCGACAATCAATTAATTAGATCTATCTAGCTGCTAGGCCTAGTAAAAAATAATTACGAAAATAGTAAAAATGACTAGCACAATGTTTAGTAGCAGAAATATTTAGCAGAAACTGGAAACACTTAAAATAAATTAGCAACATGAAATGATTAGTAAAGCAGTATTTAACATGCAATTAAAATCAATCTAGCAATTTTAAACGTTCTGTATTAAAAATAAAAGATGGCGCCAAATAAAGTATGGTTTACAGTACTTCTGGTAGATTCCGGAACTGCGAGACAGACTTTGCCATTGTTTTACTGTTTTTTACTGCTATAATCCTACCATTTCAGAACAATTAATTACAGACGCTAAACTAAGGTTTTACCAAATTTTGCACTAAACTAGTAAAGAATAACAAACTCCAACTGCATAATAGTATAGGAAGTCCCTTAGTCCACCCACTCATCACCCAGTTATGATAAGTTTAAAAGTAGGCCTACTTCACTTAGAAATCTAGTGCTAGCTTGATTTTTAACCCAGTGAAATGTGAAGCCCTGTCTTTTTTTGTGTGTCTAGATTCTATTTGCTCAAATCCCCATTTCCACATGCACCAGAGAAAGAAAAAATAACTGTTCAACAGGGTTACAGATTACAGAAACACTAACAGTCACAGAAAATAAAAGACACCACATACATTACACATTACACAGTTACACAATAATGACAATATTGAGCTCAATTTCTTTCATTTGAAATAGTAATAGAGGTCAAGATCTAGATTAGAAGTCTCGATCTAGAGTCTAGTCTTTCTTTTTGTAATGCAGTAGTAGATCTAGATCTAGATTAATTAAGATAAGTTTTAGTTACATTTTAGAAAAGGACTGGTTCGGTCGTTAGTCGCTAACCGAAACCGTTTCTAAATTAAATATAAGTGTGAATAAAATCCGCATTACAATATTTATTATTTAATAATACGAAGTGGGCTATTGTAACGCATTACATTATTTATCTATACCGAGCATTGGACGTAGACTATTTAATTTTGTTAAAACTTGGGTTTACCGGCTACTCAAGTTAGCATTGCCGCCTGTGGGAATCCATTATGACTTTTGTAATATGAGTAACTCTATTTACCGAGATGTAATAAAAACAAAAGAAAAAAAGCTCTTAGTTTTTAAAGCTTGAATAAAATAATAAAATTGTACCATAACTAAGCATGATAATGATAGATCTAGTAGGCCTACAATATATATGTAAATGTGCTGTTTCTAAAAATATGCTTTGCTGCGTGGTCATTTTTCAGGCATCTCTTGGGGGTGTATGGGGGAGGGGGGGCATCCGTAGGAGTACGTCTACCCCCCCCCCCCCCCCTTAACGAAGTAGAATTTATATAGAAAATATATACATTTACGTGTGTACGCCCTACCCCCGCAAGTTTCAAGCGGCTCCCGGAGAAAAAAAAGAAATACTTGGGGTGGGGTGGCGACAGTTCCTCCCCGGAGCAATTCTACAGACTTTTTCCGGACGTAAAGATAAAATTATTTATTTTAACCAGCATTAACCCTCGCTAAGAATAATGTAGGCAAGAAACCTTGCCTCCTCCCTGTCCACACGCGTCCAACTTTGGACTATTACCTGCCTCCCCGGAGTAGACGTCCACAAAAATGTAGTGGACGTTTCAAAACTTTCTCCCAATATAATATTTAAACATGCATTGTGCAACGTGATGCTATTAATTAATAATTTAGGCAATTGCTGATTTACTATCACTGTCTCTTGTTAAATACCGATATTTAATTTTGTGTCTAGAATAAATAAATAAAAATGTTACAACTGTATTATGAACGCTTGTTTTATTTTAATTGATTTCTTTCACACAAATGAATCAAATACAGTGGTGTAGATAGGAAAGGGCGGATGGTGCGACCGCTTCAGGCGCCGACGTTAAGGGGGTGCTAAAAGGGGTAGAAAAAAATAATTGAAAAGCTAATTTTAAGTTGAAGTATTGAATTATATAAGTCAAAATTACGAAAATAAACTACAAGGCTTTACACACTGATTTATTCGTTTTCTATATCAATTGCGGCACCGAGATAGAAAATCTTACGGGATAGTAACTGGTAAGAAGCGCCACAAACCTTTCCAACTGGAGGGGAGGGGGACGCTTTTCCACAGACAAGAATAACTATAAATAGAATTTACGAGGTAGGGGGCGCAAAATTGATAGTACGCCCTAGGCGCCGGAATAGGTATCTAAGCTCTGAATAAATATGATATTATTCTTTTTTAAATTTTTATTTTTTTATTTTTACATAAAATCAAACAGAAACAACTTTTTAAAACGATTGCTCACCTGTTTCTCTGTCTTTGAAATGACGTCACGCTTGTAAATAGCCTTCATTCTTCCCGTCGCCACTCCTCCGTATCGCACAAAATTAAAAAACAAAAAGACAAAACATCGACAGCTATATTATATTTCTAATAATATCTGAACTGGGTTAACATAATTTTTTAGTCAATTTTTTTATTACAATTCATAAAGTAATATATATATTTAAATGTGTATGTTTGATCAGTTTATTTGTTCGTCTGACTGTTTGTCTTATATCCAATACTATACTATTCAACAGAGCGCTAACATTGGAAAATGGACGAGTAAACTCCAACGAAATGTTTTTGCCGAATACATATTAAAATTTATCGCACCCCTCCCCCTCCCCCCACCACACACACTCCAATTGCCGGGCCGTAAAAGAACAAATTGAACAGATAAGGGATATAACCATCCTTGAACGATTTCGCAAAAAATATTAATCGAGTTGTTTCCCTTTCTCCGCAACTCATTCACGCTAACTAAAAGTTTCCGTGCATAAACATTTTGGGAATAGCGTTTTAGTTTTAGAGGGCGTTTTTTTTTTTTAGTTTAAATCATTCTTACCATTGGGACGATCTCGAATGTAGTAGAACTATATTTTTTAGTTGGAATAAAAACACAAAAAAAACAACAACCCAGCAGCAGTCGTCGTTTAGTTGTGTGGCCGAAAGTTGCACCTCTTTTAGAATAGGCTTTAACTATATGTGACATTGACAGCTTGTGTTAAGGGAGTGTGATATCAACTAAACAATCAAGTACCCATCCCTTTCAGTGCTCTTTGACTGTGATCTGTCTTAAACCGGTGCATTAACTGAGGGTGTTACCCCTATCTCCCTCCAATAATTTTTGCAGTTTCAGTTTCGTGTCACTCCTCTCCCACTAACAATTAATTATTTTTCTAAATGACACATTTTCTGTCAGTAAATTTTACGATTTGGTGTCACTCCAAAATTATTATCACCCGATGCGGACAGCACCCCCGCCCCCGCTTTGTGACGGTACCACTACAGTGTTTCTTCCAGACTTTTTTCATCGGGAGGGCACTTGAAATTTTCCGGGGGGGGGGGGGCTAAAATTTCAGGGGAGGGGGAGGGGGCGTTATACTTTCTTCGAGGGTGGGGGGCGGAGTCCCCCCGAAGAGATACTTGGAAGAAACTCTGGATGCTACCGTGTCAGATGACCTATTCAAACTGCATGCTATAATATAATGGATGGAAAATACAAATATAAAAATATCTACAGCAATCAAGCAATAATCTTTCATTTGAATCGAAAAAAACAACATGCTTTTTTAATTACTAGTTACTTATTCTTTTATATGTTAACACATTCTATATTTGATTATTTGTGCAATCGATTTATATATTACGTGTGAAAAAAACAAAAAAACCCACACCTGATTAAATGGCGTCACCTCAGACTTTCTGGTGACACTTCTAAATTTTATATAGGCCTACATATTTTAAGAATGTAGGCCTAGATCTATATAAAAAAATGTGTAGTACAAAATTAGCCTATGGAACTTTTACAGTATCCTCTTGCCTTGCTGCCCTTAACATTTGGTTATTTCGGCCTTGTTTATTGACACCCCATAAGAAACATATGCCTAAATTTTATTAAAATATGTTAAGAAAAATTCGATTTTGCTATCGCCCCTTTTGTAAATTTTATTTTGACTTTTTGATCCTTTTTTTTTTATCCTTTTAATTAATAATTTTGCTTTAGTTGTCTATAACTAGCAGGGGTAAATAATTTAAATTTAAAACACGAAAGGTATAAGTTAAGTTTGGCCAATGAAAATACGGAGGGATGTTCAAAGTTATACTTCCGCTTTCGAATTAGAAACGTTTTCTGTGTGTTTCATATGGAACGTTTGTAAATACTGCATTGAGATTTTAGATTTGATATTACTACAAGATCTACACGACTTAGATCTAAATCAAATGATGCATTTATTCATTATAAAGAGCCTGTTTTTGTTTACCTTGCTTTTAAACTTAAATGAATCAGATGCTGTTCTTGAGTGGCTTTTTGGTGACGGGACGGATCAAGCAAATCAAGATCATTCAACAGAAAATCAAAATGAAAATCCCATTCGTTTTGAAGTATTGTCAGCTGATGAGAAGTTTTTGGATTATGCTCGCACGCTAAGTGACATGTCTCCACTCGATGCTTGTTACAATATTGTAAGTTAATAAATACGTAGGGCCTAAATATTACTAAATAATATAAAAATAATCTGACATCCTTGGAAAAAAATCCGAAAATTGGCTAGGTCTTGCTTAGTTTTTTAACTTTTTAGTTTTAGTAGTAACTTTTTAGGGTAATCTATCGCTTTAGGTACGTAAAATCGCCCGCTGCTAGTAATGTACGAAAAAGTTACCTTATTGTCAATGCTTTAATAGAAGTATAGTAAGTATAGTATATTGTGATATATTTGTGTCAAATATTATAGATAAATGAATAATAAACTGAAATCAATGGCAAAATATATCAATATAGGCGAGAAATTAACTTTAAACAGCATTGTTTGCGAGCAGGATTTGCTATATATATGTAAGTTAGAGTGGCTTCCCCTGAATCTTGGGCCATAAGTTTACAATAAAAAAAAATAAACAAGATGGCTTGCATCTGTTGGAAACATCGCTAGTCTTCATTTATTACTGAAATGTTTTAATTCAGATTTTTAAAAACAGGTACATAAATGAAACAAGGAAATATTTTTGTATTTTTCAAAACATAAATCCTCCTGAAAATGTAAAATAATTATTAAAATCTAAGGAATCACCTGTTTTTCACATGACTAGTCGCGGACGATTTTACGTACCTAAAACGATAGATTACCCTTTTTAGATTTGGCTGATTCTAGCCTGAAGAAGTTGCCGCTACAATTGTAACTAGATTTACCTGTTTTTTTTTCTTAATCGAAGTGACTACTCGGAAGATTTTTCTCCCCAACATCTCCACTTAGTTGGCAAAAGATAGCTCTGTGCATGCGCAGTGACCTATGGGTAGGGTTAGGGCTAGAATGAGGATCAGGGGTAGGATTAGGGATAGGGTTAGGGATATGATTAGGGCTAGGGTTAGGGATAGGATTAGAGCTAGGGTTAGGGATAGGATTAGGGTTGGTGTTAGGGTTCTGCGGTTGTAAACACACGCATGCGCAGTGCCATCGAAAACATCGCCGCAAAGGCAAGTCGTAGTTTCTCTCCATTGCGCATGCGTATCGCATGCGTATCTTATTCCGACTAGCATCGGCCTTAATTAATACGACAAATACTTACAATTAAATAGCTTATTAAAATAGATTTTACTAGATCTCTTTATTAGATATACTTAAACTATACTTTGAACCCTCAACCCACCCAAAGCGCAGTGCTCTAATACACTGTTCAGATAGTTTTGTCTAAGGCTAAAAGCCGTAAAAGGGTATTTTGATCCCATTTGCACAGCTATAAAAAAGGATATGTTGAGCCCATTGCGCAGCTATTAATAGTATTTAATTTGAGTCATTGTGCAGTTATTAAGGTCATTGCGTTTTGCATTGCCTGCCTGACTAGCGCTGGGGAAAAGAATCTTAGTAGTTATTTAGCTACTAACTAAATCTAGTGTAGCTACGAGCTGGACTCCAGCAGCCTAGCTAGTAGCTGGACTTAGCAATAGCTAGAGGAGATTCTGTAACTCTAGTAGAAATTTGAGAAAATATAACAATCATTCATAACCCTCATAAGACAGTCTATAACACTAATAACAGATTACTGATTACTCAGGAGTTGAGTCAGTAGGCGAGTAGAGCCTCAGAATATACCAACACACCACACATATACTTACTACACTACACACATAGTTACAGTACATATACTACATAGATTCTAGTATTATTATGCTTACAATACACTAGTCATTACAATAACAAAGGCATGCTTCATTATTTATTTATTATTGAAGGACTATTGTTCTTTGATTAAATTATTTTATAAAAATGCAACAGTCCCAAGGGCTTGTAAAAACATACTTGGGCTTATTTCATGAATAGTCAATTTTTTTTCTTAAAAATGTAGATTTAAAAAAAATTGAGGCTTAAATGATTATTTATTGTAAAATTTTTTACAGGTGATATATCATTTGAAAAAAAAATGTGGTGAACTAACAGAAGAAGAATTGGGGAAGCTCTCAGTACAACTACTAAATTGTCAGTCAGAGGCAGAAAATAGGCCAGTATATCCTTGCACCACATCTATGGTAAGAAGAAAATCTTAAACTAAACATGAAACTTAGCAGTATTAATTAGTTAATAACTTGTTGATGTAATCAGTATGTACAATTCTTTGTGTCTCACACAGAATATATTGGAAACTGAAGTATGGTGGTGATTTAAGCATACACTGTTGTTTAAATTAATTTTTACTAGCTACTTTAAATAACCATATAGCATATAGCTAAATTGCATTAATCTTGACAAAAAAAATTATGCTACTAGCACTATAAATGTAAATAGTTTTCAATTTTAAAAAAGTGCATAATTTTATTTGAATTATTAATTGCTTTTAAAATTACTGTATTTGTTATTTTTGTTTGTGACAAGAGTCTAGCAGACTGCACAAAAAAAATGGATGGAACCACATGGAACAGTTATCAAATTGTTGGGAACAGGGCTCGGGCAATGTGCTACGCTACGCAGCAGCTGCAGTTCCGCAGGCTGACAGAGATCACAGTGAACCAGCTGGTCTCTGCAGCCACAGATCAAATCCAGTCTCTAAATGATCTTAAGGTTTGTGGTTTATACTACATGATTTTATTTATGGGCAATACATACATTTGTATTGTTGCATAAATATATTGAAAGTAAAAAAATATAGTATATGTAAATTTGCAATTGCTTGTATTAGTGTTGATTTTAAATTAAAATTATAAAAATTATGTTTATTTACTTTTATTCTTCCACTTTTTGTATTTTTTTTTTGTTGATTCTTATTTTTAAAATTTGTTTTTTTCCAGACCGGTCAAGAGCAGTTACAATCCTTGACCTCTGAGACTGTGAGGAAACTGTATGAGAGCCAGCAAGACCTCCTGTCCACCCAGCATGCCTTAAGAGAGGCACACGATGATGTGTTCAAACACATAGCTGTCAACGTGAAGGAAATTTTACATGAAAAAGCTCTCATTGCCTCAGGGAACAAGGAACTTGCAACTTTAACAGAAAATATAAAGCAAAAACTAGGTACTTGACACTGCTGTTGATATATTTCTTTCAAATTTTAAGTGATTCAAATTGATTTGATTAATTAAGTTATTGTAGCATTATTTTATTGCAGTTTTAAAAAAAGGCAAATTGAATAAAATGTACTCAATTTTTCACTTTTTTTTTTGTAGATATTACATCACAGCAAATTCAAGAGAGAGAAAGCATTGAGCATAAAAAACATGAAAGGATTTTAAAAGATTTAAAAGATATTCAAGACAAGACAGAGATTTCCATCAAACAATTTGGTAAATAGTTTTTTTTTTACACATACATATTAGTTATATGTTTGTTAGACTTAACGTCATATGTTGTTTTATTTTTTTTTCATATTATTATTCATTTATATATTAATTTCATAGGTTTCTTACACTAATGATGTAAATTGAATTTGGTGAATTCTTTCAGAGCTAAGTCTTGAAAAGCTGTTGAACAAATATGAAGAGTTAGATGGCCAGTATTCTGGGATGTCTGTGAACCTGAACAAAATGAACGTGACCATTCATGAACTCATGTCTTCTGTGTTGACAATGAGTCAACACCTTGGGGATAAGATCCAGTGGATAACTAAACTATTGGACGGAGCTGGTAAATATTTTTTTTCAAGTTTTTTTTTTCATTTTTAATAAAAAATTAATGAAGAAATACATGACAACACTATCTATGTAGTATCTAAGTAAAATAAAGAAAAGTATGAAAAATTAATATGAAATTTATTGTAAATTAACAACACTAATGTTTTTATAATATAACTTAGTAAATAACATAATATAATTAAATAAAAGAAATAAAAAATGTGAATATTTTTTAAATAAAATTAATAGTTTTTTGATTCTGGTAACTAGATTAATTGTTAGTTGTGTTGATTTAAATGATGTGTACATTGTCACTGTTCCAGACTTTAAACTGTCCAGCATTTCCTGCTGCCTACTACACATGGCCTACTTTTTCCTACTGGCGGTGACTGCATCATTCCTTCAGTTTTCTGTGCCAGTCCGTCTCATTATGATGGTCGTCATTGTGGGTAATGTTGCAGCTGAACTCAGTTATGGACAGAGCATGGATTTTGCGGGTTTAACTGTATTTTTGTTTACTGTGTATTTTGGTGAGTGTTTTTAAATCTTGTCTTGAAATGTTTTAGTCTGCAAAATATTTGCGGAAAATAATTTAACATACTGTACTTTTACATTTACAAAGCATAAAGCTAAATTATGTCAACTAAATTAAAAATTATTTGTTACATTGACGGTTTCTCAGAGTAGTAACATTTCACTAATGGTAATGTATTTCTTTGCAGGATTCAGATTAACAATTTACTGCGGACAGAGATTTAATGTCAAAACCCATGCGTTAAACCCTTTTAAGGCGCTCTCACCCATTAGACCTACTCAGCTGAAACCTCTCTCACGGCATGAAGTTAATACATTGATGGAACTTCTGCAAAGATTTTCAGCAACTGGTATAGTTACTGTGCTACCTTCCTTTACACTAGAATATGCTCATCTTAGCTGTAGTTGAAACTGTTTAGTATGTTAGTCTTTATCTAAACAGCAAAATGCTCTTTTATTTTAGCTGAGATATTTTTCATTGATATCTGGTTGTTTTTAGCATTGGAGCAAGAGTTTAATCGTCTAAGCATTTTATGATGTAAATATGTAAAAAGTTAAAGTACTGTGCCATGTTTTAGGCTGGAAATTTTTCTTTGTGACTTTTGTTGATTAAAAAGTTTTATTGTCTCATTGTTCTAAGTTTTAGAGTAACATTTTGATATCTTTGTTAAGTAACTCATGATTAAAACAAAAAGCTTTATAAAGTAATATATTATTTAAAAAAAAAGCATTGATAAAAGAACTTATTTTAACATAATATAACAAAAACATGCTGCTTATTTTAGGTTGATAATTTTTTCATTGATTAATGCCTACTTTTAATAATATAGTTACAATATTTTTGTTTGTTTTAAATTAGTTATAACCCTCTGATTTATGTCGAAGTCAACTGTTTTTGTCAATATTTCAAGTCTCGGAGCAACAAAACTATTCACCTTCGCCACCAGTCACACAGAATGGAACAGTTATCCATGATACCAGTTTTCGCCCTAGCACCCCACCTCGTGGAATAAATGTATCCAGAAATATTCAAGAGACAACCATACCAGAAGCCTTAGATATAAGTGTATTTGAGGTACATTTAAAAATCTCCAACGATTTTTGCTTGTTTAGTTTACACAATGCTTAAGTAATTTAGGGGGCACATAGTTGGTAGAACATATGACTGCTAAGTCAAAAGTATCGAGTTTGAAAGGCAGAGGGCACTGAAACAGGTAAACTCTACTTGACCTACCCACGGGCAGTCAGTGTCTCATTATTTGGTATTCAGAAAGAATTGTATTATCTAGATAATAGGAAGACCAGATAAAGAAATCTACGGTACTTTAAATAATATAGTTTAATCTCCCCATTGCAATATTTAAAAATTATTTTCTAATCGTATTATACAAATAAACAATAGAATGAAGAAATAAAGTTGAAAGTTATCGAGATAATTTAATTTAGTATATTAACCAGTTTCCTGTTGTAATTGTTTCAGAACAGAGACCAGTTTCGGAGGTCATTAATTAATCAGCTAGGACCAGTCTCAAGAGCTTCCTCAAGGTCATCAACTCCTCTAGGCAATGATTCCAGGTATTTGGGTTCACTAAAGACTAAAAGTTAAATGTTTTACTTGATTACTATAAACAAACAGTTCTAAAATTTTTTCGCGATTCCTGCAGAATTATTTTCTAACAAAAATAATTGTGTTTCTTGAAGCAATAAAATCTTGTATTACCAATATTTTCAGAGTGCATGTTGCTTATTTTTCCATAAATTGATGACTTGAAATATTCATCTACCACTTATTTTTCTCTTATTAGATGAGAGGCCTACTCTTTTACTGTTAAGTTAAATAAATTGCTAATTAAATCCTTAGGTCATATGTTAAATAAAAAAATAAATTATCATTAAATCCTAAGTCATTAACTCAAAACATTAAAATGATAATAAAATGATAATTATCTCTAGGTCATTTGTTACGTTAGAAAAATAAATTGATAATTAAATCCTGAGACCATTTGTTAAGTCAAAAAAATAAAATGATAATTAAATCTTTAGGTCATCGACCCCATCAGTGTCATCTCGATGCCTGGGGACAACAGTTGCAGGCACTCAGTGCAGACTTCCTGCAAACGCTGGCTCAGATTATTGTCGCAGACATGCACAAAGATAGCACGGGTCTATTGCTTATGTTTGAATGTTAAATCTCGGTTGCTTCAACTGCAGCATTAAAAAAAAATGCAATTTTATTTAAATTGAATTGATATTTCTATAAGAAAGCTGTTATTATTTACATAGTTTGGACTAAACCACTCAGTATAGAACTACAGTAGGCACATCTCTTACTCTATGATATTATGTATTGTAAGTGTACAGTGATTTACATTTGAGTAAAAAAATTCACAATTTTTTTCTAATTATCTCAACAATTCTATAAAATAACTCACTGTTTTTTTTTTATTTACCTATTTATTTTTTTAAAAATTCTTTTTACTATTCTTGTAAAAATATTTCCCATTTCTGTACACAAAACTTTTATATTGAGGAATTTTTTTTACATCTACCACCTTTTGTTCTACCACCTTTTTAAAAAAATTAATTTTTGTATTGAACTTTTGAAGTTGGATTTTAACAATGCTCTCATACAAATCGCATCTAAATTTGTTAAAAAAGTAGTGCTGTAAATTACCTTGTGTTCTTAATTACCTTGTGTTTCTGTTCTATTTTGCATGAGGAATTTGGGTGATTATACTTTAGTGTGATGGATGTTACAATTGTAAATAAAAACTAAACCTGTGTTGTTTATGGAAAGATTTTATTGTTTTAAAATTGTATATAATTAATTTATCATAAAATTCATATAATTTCTAATCTTATATTTAATTTACTGTTTTATGTCACTTAATATTTTTTTTATAATTGTATATATGCTTTGGAGAGTTTGGAGAGTTGAAGGTATGCTAACTGCAAAATGTTTTTGATTATACGAAGATTCTGGTTAAAGTAAATTAGCATGGAAATCTGATCAAGATCTTGGAATATTGCATTATTATAATTATAATTTAATACTGATAGTTTCAGAAGTTCACAGTAGTCTTTCTATATCATGGCATTATTTTAAAACAACTTATTTATAAGATTTACACCTATATGTCTTTCTTTCTACATTATGTTATCCCATGCTTGTAGTAGCATTGTTCATGAAATAATTTTGTTTTCACTCGCAGGCCTGTTTATAAGGTAGATTTAAATTGAGTTTTATTTTAGTAGATTTAAGAAGCAAGAATAGTAGCTGCCTTAGTGAACAAATTGCAATTAGTGTGTTTGCTTTGATTTGTTGGCTAGTTTTGTCTATATTGTTGAATGAAATTACGGTACTATCATAATTTTTGAAACTGGATTATCATTTAGTTTGTCCAGTAACTTGATAGACAGGTCACACATGTATTTTTTAAAAGAATTGTAAGATCATTTTTTTTGCTCTATATAAAGAGAACTTTGTGAGGCAATATGTTATTTCTCCAGAACCCAAGTATCAAAGATTGCTGACTGTGCCAATAATTGTGGTCACTATTGGGTGAACAGAGGCTGTGTAACATACATTATAGCCACTTCCACTCTAAATACTAAATTGTTTATATTATTATAAACAATGTCACATGATTTGTGCTAATAATAAACACCTAACCCTTTTGTGGTTGTTGATACCTAGTTTGTGTGAATACAATTTTTTTAATTCCATCTAATGAATTGTGTCAAAATTGATACAAAGAATTTTGATTTGTTTGAAAACGTTTTATCAAATAAAATAAATATTCAAGAACAAAATTGTTAGTTTGTGGGTGATAAAACAATTTTTATTTATTTATCTAGCTCTTCATTATCATGGGATCTTGTGGTATACTACACAATAACAGTGTCCCTAACATATTCTGTAGGCTTTTTATCTAAGTACACTAAGCTATTCAAGAATCTGATAAGTCAGCACAATACATACATACATATTTACAGTGGGGTGTTGGGGGCTGTTGAAACCCCACCCACACACATGAACCCCCAAAATGAGAGCTGTCTCACATTATGTTGGGGACATTGGGTTGTGTTGCTTTCAATGCTTACTGTACTATTATAAAATAATTATTATACGGACATTAAAAAAAAAACCCTTGTCCCTTGACCAAAACCTACAAACGATACTACATAAATCTAGGCTATATAATATAAATAAAAATATAAATAAATATACATATTTATATATAGCCCTATATATATATAAATATATATATACGCCTATATATAAATAAATAAATTAATTAAAAAAAAAATATATCATGCTGTTAAAGTTTTATGTGCAACATTGAATGTCAGCTCTATACAACAAACTTCTACTTTTTAATGTAACCACAAACATGAAAGCTTTTAGCTCTTACTTTTTAATTTACCGATTTTCCCACAGTTACGTCTGCACGCACACAGAACCATCACTACTTACTGACTTTCAGTGACTCTAACCTATCCACATTTCTCCTGGCTACATGTATACACATTATGATCTCCCGAAATAAAGTTTTGATCGCCATTTGTTGATAGGTATTTAACTTCGCTGATGTTCATGTGATTGCAGTGGTAGGAAATAAGGCTTTTGAATCTGAAAAAGAAAATAACTTTTTTTTTGTAGATTCTAGATCTATATCCCATGTATGTAATATATAGATCTACAGTTTTTGTCCCCCTCCCCCCATATTCACATTTCTTTAGCTTTGTTTGGAGAAACTATCAATTTTCCCGCCATTCCAAACATTTACAAAGACCAATTAATGTCACCTGGAGTTAGTTGCCGTTACTAGCCAAGGGGGTCGTCCATAAATGACGTCACACTCGTAGGGGGGATTTGGGGCCCGTAATTTTGTGACGGTGTGTGATGAGGGGGAGGGGGGAGTGTTCAGATGGTGTGACGTCACACATTTGCATTATAAAACTCAATGTTAGAAAACGAATTTTAGCCGTTATTTAGCGTTTTAGAAAACTGTTTTTAAAAATTGTAATGGGAATTGATTAAAAAACTATATGTTGACAGAGTTCAGACAAGATTTTTGAAAAAAAAAATCGTATTTTAAGAAAAATTCAACTGCAATTTGGAGGGGGAATTGTAGGCTGAAGTGTGACGTCATTTTAGGGGGGGGGGGGAGTCTGGTTTTTTGTGACGATGTGTGACGTAGGGGAGGTAAAAATCTTCCAAAAAGCGTGACCCCCCCCCCAACCCCCATAGCGTCATAAGCCTCTATATTTGGTAAATTAGTGACCTTCAACTAAAATTCAGACATTATTTTTACGTCAAAAATTCAAGCTAGATATCAAATAAAAAAAAATTCCGATTAAAAAAAAAATCGGAAAAATTGGCTAGATAGTTTAAAGAATTCAACGTACATAGTTCTTTTGTTTCTTTTCTTCTTTTTCTTGACAAAACTCTTAGTAAACTTGTCTTGTTTGAACATCATACTGTCTTGTTTATCTAAAGGGAAATGTTTTTTTAAAAACAAAGCTAAGTATGAGCCTGCATCCAGTAAGAAAAAGATATGTTCAGGCCGAATTCTTAAGCTAGAGATAGTTTGAGATTAAGAGCAAGTCTACCAGAGTTTCTTTCAGGCACCTCTTCGCCCTTTCCCCAAACAAAATATAATAAAATTTACATAGAAAATATAAACCTTTACCCACACCCCCCCAAAAAAATTAGCCCCCCCCCTCCGAAAATTTTGAGTGCCCCCCCCCCCCCAAGAGAAAAAAGTCTGAAAGAAACACTGAAGTCTACCCTACCGTTGGTTTGACTTTGTCCAGGTTTATTTTCTTGACCACCGTCTAAGTCGTCCAGCATCTCCTGATGTTTTTCAAAGAATGTCTGAAGATTCTCCCCAAACATTTCGAGATTTGTCTGTGTGAATTTTTCTTGAAGGCGTGGTGGAATGGAAAAACCTGGTGGGTTTTTCAGACAGCGTGGATTGAATTCAGGTGATGTTGTCGTCATTTTTGTATGTTTTCGATGCTGAGGTGGTCGGTGTCTTTTTGTTTTCAAGGTTGTCTTACGTGGTTTTTCATTTTGTCTAACATTTAGATAGTTGGTAGATCTAGGGTTTGTTGATGTCTTAGTAGTTTTAGCATTAAGTGTTGTAGGTGGTCTATCAGTACTTGGGGTAGTACATACACCTGCAACAGTTGTCTCTGTTGTACTAGCTATTGGTGTACCAGCAGTTGATGTTGCATCAGCAGTTAGTACGGTAAGTGTTGTATTATCATTAGATGCTGTATTTGCAGTTGGTGTTGTATTTCCTAGCGCTGCTGTTCCCATTTGTTTTGTACTAGTATTATTTGCTTTTAGCCTTTTAGTATTGTAAACCTCCTGTTGTCTATAGCCCGTAATATGCGGAGTTACAGTAGCTGTATTGTGGTTTACTGCAAATACTTTAGGAGAAGCAGCCGTTAAGACATTCACATCTGGTAAGAAAATATTGGTATCGGTTGTATTTTCTGTACCGGCTTCAAATATAGCATCGATACTTGTTATATTTGATACTATAGTCTCGCCTTGGTTTAAACCAGTTGTCATCATATCGATACTTGCTGTCGTAATCGAGCTAGTTATAACATTGTTGCCGTATAGAGGATTAGTATCATTATGGTCCGCTTTATCCATATCGATACTGAATTGTGTGGGCACTGTAATGTGGTCAGTGTCGTGTGCTGGCTTTTCTCTCGTATCTTCTTGCTTGGTAACTTTATACGCTGAATTATCTGAAACAGTAATTTCTAAATTTACGTCTTGGTTTTCTGTAAGTTGTGTGGTTGTGATATGTTTTTGTATCGTCTTACACTCTTATACAGGTATTTGGGGGGAAGTGGTGGTGGTGGTGGGGGTGGAACAGACACACACAAAAACGCAAACACAAAAACACACTTACACACACGCACGCACACACATAAACAAAACAGCATACAAAATCCCAACAACAAACAACCATTGTGACATAAATAATAGCTTGTGATAAAAAGCCATCACAAAAACTCACCAATGCTAGCCGTAACTCCATGGGATCTCAAACGTAGCCATATTGCATTGAATAAGTTAAAATTGTCTTTCATTGGCATCGCGCCGTTTCGTTTTAGAATTGCAACAGCGTCATCGTTTGATTTCCGAGTGGCCACGTCCAATGCCGTCTGACCGGAACTGTCAGCGATGTCAAGGTTAGCGCCATTTTGGATGAGCACTCTCATGACGTCAGCAGTGTTCGCTTCAGCGCTGTAGTGCAATGGGGTTTTACCGTACCTATCCTTGACGTCAACGCCAGCTCCGGCTTCCAGTAACGCCTTCACGACTTTCGCGTGACCCCTCTGGGAGCTGTAGTGTAAAGCTGTTTTGTCGTAGTTATCTCCCGTGTCTATGAAATCTGTAACTTTCACAAGCGTTAAAACTGACTCATTATGCCCGTAATAGGCAGCATTGTGTAAAGCTGTTTTACCGTCGCTGTCTCTAATGTTAGCTGAAGCTTTGGTTTTAAGCAGACGATTTATGATGATATTATTTCCTGTTTCTGTGCAGTAATGTAAAGCTGTTTTCCCGTAAATATCCTTCACATTAATCTCCGCACCTCTTTCTAAAAGCGATTGGACGAGTTTCTCACCCCCACGGCAAACAGCAATATGTAAAGCTGTCCTGCCTTCCCCGTCAGTCAGATTTACATCTGCGCCTGCAGCCAACAAATCATTAGCAATCTCTTCATGAACATTTTCAACACACAAGTGTAAAGCTGTTTTTCTTGAAATACCCGCTTTTTCATTTACATTTGCTTTCCATTGCAGTAGAAGATCAACAAAATCTTTGTGACCTTTTTCGGCGCTGATATGTAAAGCTGTTTTCCCGAACCGGAAATAACCGGTTCTGATATGTAGGCAAGCTCCTCCTTTTAAAATTGCTTCTCCAAATTCTAGATTGTTATTTTCTACCGCAACATGTAGGGGTGTTTTTCCAAGATAATCCTTGCTATCTTTATCTTTCAGAACCCGTTGAACGGTTTCTTTGTAGAAAGTGTGGCTGTCCATCTTTGCTAATTCATGAATAGGCGATCTTTGAAACAAAATTATTGAAACAAAACTCTGTTTGAAAGAATCATAACACGGTATATTGAACATAGATTGTTGCTGAAATAATTCAATTACAGTCATAACAATGAATGTTATATGAATTAATAGAATGTTCAGATCCATTAGGTAATCGCTCGATGTAATATTTTTCAAGAATGGCACAGCTATTTCAATAAGTTCTTTGACTGAAAATGGAAAGATAAGTTCTTGACTGTTGAACAGCATCTTCCTTCGTTGGTTTCTTCAAATGACACTATTTCACGTTTAATAGACAAAAAAAAAAGAAAAAAAATATTTTAAGTAAACTATACAAATAATCTTTTGCACGCTAGGGGCTAATCAAACTTAGACTTGAGTTTAGGAAAAGCAAAAAGAAAGTTTGCAATAGTTTACATTAAGAAAGCCGAGAGACCTCATAATATTTTGGACCCGTTTTTTTTTTAAATTTTCCACTAATAAAGTAATAGTATACACCCAGGAAATCAACACGACTAAATAAAACAGACATTATAAATAACCGCTATTCACCCAATAGGCAGCCATTCAAAATAATTTTAAAATCAATTCGGCTTCAATCGAACATTCATTGTATGTAACTTGGATCCCTTCCAACTGGCAAAGAATTTACAGTAACACCTATTTATTCAAACCTGTACATTAAAAGCGATATTTATGGCATAGCTTGATAAAAAAAAATGGTCGGGAAGGGCAGATTAAATCGTTTCTTGTATCATAGAAAAATAGCGACCAAAATTCTTGCATCAGGAAATCGAAACTGAATACGTTGTTTTTCTTTTCCGGCCTTGCAAAGCGGAATCACAATCAATGTTTGTTTATTCTGCAGCTAGCAATGTTAGGTTTAAGATTAGGTTTTGGATAAGGACTATGTTTATACTTAGGGTCAGGATTTGGGTTGGGAAAGATATAGTAGAAAATTGACTTTCATTTTGTCTAGGTTATCTTTCAGACATTTTGCCCCGGAGGGTCCTTAGAAAATTTCCCCCTCTCCCCCGTGAAAGGAGGGGGAGGGTGAGTGTGTGTGTGTGCTATTATAAGAATGGTTAAAGTATATATTTTTATTGAAATGTAATCTTTTCAATTCCGTAGGGGGGGGGGGGGGGTTAAAACACAATAAAAAGAATTTTTTTTTTTACCTTTTTTGTTGTTGATTTATTTCTACACACCCAATTTTTATGACAGTTCTATCCAGATCTTGACAAGACAAGCTTCCACAAAAATAGATAGGGCTACTCCAGACAGCGTATTCCTATGTTGGCATAACATTTGACGCCAACCAATGAAAGCACGGCACGCTGTACTGTAAGGTGTTGGCCTTGGCATTAAATGCCTCCTTATGGCCGCGGTAAATTTGGGAAGTCCCGAAGTTTAGTAATGCCTTAAAAATACAACAGGGAGATTCTAACCTACAACAATCAATATTTCTGTCAGAGATTTTTTCTCCTGGGGGAAGGGGGGGGGGGGGGGGGGAAGGGGGCTTTTGAGACTTCTTGGGGGCGGAGTTAAATTTCCAGGGCAGGGGCGAGTGGGGCAAAAACTAGTTGAAGTATATGTTTTGTATATCAATTTTATTTCTTTCGGTAGGGGGAGGGAGGGCAAGGAGTTGCCAGAAAGAAACGCTGCCCAAAATCTACTATGATGTTTGTATAATAATGGGTGTACTACATAGAAAGGCTGTCACTTTTACTATCTTGTAACAGTAACCTCAGGCTACCAACTTGTAATCGGGTTGTTCCTACAGTTGAATATTTTGTAGTCGGGTTGTCCCTACAGCTTAGTATATTGTAGTCGGGTTGTCCCTACAGTTGAATATTTTGTAGTCGGGTTGTCCCTACAGTTGAATATTTTGTAGTCGGGTTGTCCCTACAGCTTAGTATATTGTAGTCGGGTTGTCCCTACAGTTGAATATTTTGTAGTCGGGTTGTCCCTACAGCTTAACATTTTGTAATCGGGTTGTCCCTAAAGTTTAATATGTTGTAGTCGGGTTGTCCCTACAGTTGAATATTTTGTAGTCGGGTTGTCCCTACAGCTTAGTATATTGTAGTCGGGTTGACCAGCAGTTTAAAGAAGCAGACGAGGGTCGCTAGCACACAGAAGAGGTAATTAGCAAGAACATGTCGATGTGTTAGGAGAGTTTCGATTGTTTGAGAAATGGAGCAGGGTTTCTTTGAAGCATCCAGATCTAGAAAAAAAACAAGCTACAGCAAAAATGCAAAGGCTGCAGAAGGCAACTTATACCTGTGTTGGCAAAACTTTTGACCACAAGCAATGAAAGTTCGGCACGCTCTAATGTTTTGTCTTCTCCGGACGAAATAAAAAAAAATAGGCCTATAATTTATATATTAAATATATGCTTTAACCAATGTCCGCCCCCATGAAATTTTATGCATCACCGCCACGAAAGTTTCAAAGAAAGAAACACTAAAATTAACTGTACAAATATCTGCCAAGAGATCGCAGCGTTTTTCTCCTTCTTGGTTGTTCTTAATTGTTATGTTGGAAGAAATTTCCTCCAACACAATTAAGTATTACGTGTCAACTTGTAATTCGCCATATAGGCAGTAGATTCCGATTTCAGCTCGCTTTCTGGATTTGCATTCTCTGCGTTCTGAATGAACACATCTAACTCCCATTAAATTGCTGTAATTTTCTGATACTCTCGTACTGATTTAATCTATGTTCATCTCTGCACCGACTATGTGTACATTAAGGACTACTAAAGCACACAAAAAATCACACACACCAAGAATGTGTTTTAAAAGCTTTAGACACGTCATGTTTACAATTTTTTAAAATTAGAATCATATTGAAATTGAATTAATTTATATCAATTTAGAAAACAGAAGATACATTAATATCATAACACTTAGTGAAATTTGGTCTGTTCTACTTAAACATCATAATCTGAGTTTGAGCACTTTTAAATGGGTTTCTGGAAATAGTATGCTAAATCTATACAAACTATATAAACTATTGACAAAAACAGACATTAGTCTTTAAGAAATAGTGATTTAAAGTGTACTGCCAAGAAAGAAAGAAATAAATAAATTTTATTTTAGCAGTTAACATATATTAAAATTTAAACATTTTCTAAATCAGATTACAATAGAAGGCGACGGATATATATATATATATATATATATATATATATATATATATATATATATATATATATATATATATATATAGAGAGAGAGAGAGAGAGAGAGAGAGAGAGAGAGAGAAAGAGAGTACCCAAACTGAATCAATGGAAAGCAATTTTATTGCTATAAACATGAAAACCACCGACAAAAATGGCTATTGGCTTTAAATGTAGTGCTTTAAAAAGTATTGACATATGCGTTTTAAATTAACTTTTACCTTTTATTAAAGGCAAATTAGTTTAACACATATTAAAAAAAATGATTAAAACAAATAAAATACAACTTAATCAAAATCTGATTTAAGCACACGAGTGCCCTGTCACACGCCGCTACAATTTTGTCCAATGAAGATGTTCCTCTGTTACCTGTCTTGACCACCAATTTTGTCCAATGAAGATGTTCCTCTGTTACCTGTCTTGACCACCAATTTTGTCCAATGAAGATGTTCCTCTGTTACCTGTCTTGACCACCAATTTTGTCCAATGAAGATGTTCCTCTGTTACCCGTCTTGACCACCAATTTTGTCCAATGAAGATGTTTCTCTGTTACTCGTCTTGACCACCAAATTTGACCAATGAATATGTTCCTCTGTTACCCATCTTGACCGCCAATTTTGCCGTCTATGGCCAAGTACTTCACCTTCTCTATATTTACCTCGTTGCAGTCTCGTATATTTGCAGTGTAATTTATATTCACATTTCTGAAACAAAGATAATATGTACATCATCTAAAAATGTTACATTTCAATAAATAAATAAATAAATAAATAAATTTATTTATATTAACTATTGGTATGCTACTTTAAGTGAATATTTATGTATAGACCTACATGTGCAATCTAGTATGTCTATAAAATATTGAATTGTTATAACTTACACAATCGTGTTTACTGTATTTCCACAACTTCTTGTCATTTCAGTACTTAGCGCATACTGAACCGTATTCAACACAGTTTGTACTGGAAAAAAAACTTCATTCTGTGTTAGAATTTGTGTTTTGGTTTGTTTTGTTTCGTTGACATAATCCATGTCGCTCCCTTCCCATGTGTTTGGCTTTGTAGAATTTTTTAAATCAAGGCTCGTAGATTTTTCATTTGGTTTTTTCACTCTTTTGCTTTCATATGTTTTATATTTCCAGAAATATTTTCTTCTGTAACTATTGGCCCTCATATGTCTTTGATGCCTCCGTTTTCTAGAATATTTTGAGCTACATTCTTGATAATCAGCTGAACCACCTCGTAATGTGTTATACTCGCCTTTTCTAGGTCCTAGGACCTTTGACCACAGGTGCTTTGACCATAGGGGGTTTGACCATAGGGGGTTTGACCACAGCGGAGCTTTGACCATAGGGGCTTTGGCCATAGGGGGTTTGACCACAGCGGGCCTTTGACCATAGCGGTGCTTTGACCATAGGGGGTTTGATCATAGGGGGTTTGACCATAGGGGGTTTGACCACAGGTGTTTTCTCAGCAGAGGGTCTTTGATCACAGGTGGTCTATCAACTGGTGTTTGATCACAAGCGCTGTGTCCGGCTTTGATCATAGGTGTTTTGTCCACATAGGGTCTTTGATCTCAGGTGTTTTGTCCACATAGAGTCTTTGATCTCAGGTGGTTTGTCCATTGCTGTCCATATATGGTAAGGATTTATTTTAAAAGTTGCTAAATTATATTTTAAATTTCGACATGATGTAATAATATGGTCAAACAGATGTACTGACATATTTGCGTGCTATAGCACATCTGTCATTTAGTTAACCATTTTATGTATTACCTCTTTGACTATATTGTTGGCAAGTTTTGTATCATTTTTTATCCTTTATATATGCTATGTATTTTCAAGTACTTCTACATTATTTATTTGTGAAACTTGTTATATGTCGCATTATTTGTGTTTCATTTATATTTAAAATAAATCTATGAGGTCTAGCACCAGCCTTTATGTGGAGACTAAAATATAGTTCTTGGCTTTTTTGAAATACATGTTAATTTCTATTAACGTACTCTAAAGACACATGTATACAATCGTTTTAATTGTATCACACCTAAGATCAAAGCCGGACACAGCGCTTGTGATCAAACACCAGTTGATAGACCACCTGTGATCAAAGACCCTCTGCTGAGAAAACACATGTGGTCAAACCCCCTATGGTCAAACCCCCTATGATCAAACCACCTATGGTCAAAGCACCGCTATGGTCAAAGGCCCGCTGTGGTCAAACCCCCTATGGTCAAAGCCCCTATGGTCAAAGCTCCGCTGTGGTCAAACCCCCTATGGTCAAACCCCCTATGGTCAAAGCACCTGTGGTCAAAGGTCCGCGCACCCTTTTCTAGACTTCTTAACGGACAAACTGTTTCTCATACTCTTTGTGAGATATCTTATACCGTGGTGTCTCAACAATTTGTCAAAGCTGAAATTAACGTGAAAGGTAGCGTTGTATATGTTTAAAGTTAAAATATGACAAACATTTATTAAGGTAAATTGTGTAATGGGCTTAAGTAAGTCTTTGTAATCTTGGTTTCACATTTCAAAAGCAGTTAAATAAATGTTTATGTAATGATCTAGCAATAATTAAAATACTGGTTAAAACTAAGCTGGTTATAAAAAAAACACAACTAAAATGATGTAACAATTGAAAGTCAAAATGCAATTCAAAAATAGGTTCAAACTATTCAAAATTAAACATACATAATTTTCTTTCTTTGATCCGTATTTCTCATAACTGTTTTGTTTTTGACGATGGTTTCGAGTCTAGTCTTTTCTTGTTTGACCATCATATTTTGTGTATCTGAATACAAATGAAACAGTTATATTATTCCAATGATTAACAAATTATAGTATTACGAGAATAAATTATTATAAATTAAAAAAATAAGAATGCTGAAATTACCTCTTGTTTGACCTAGTCGAGATAAATTTTCTTGACTACTGCGTGAGTAGTCCAACGTCTTATGTTTTTCCAAGCATGGCTGACCATTCTCTCCCAATGTTTCAAGATTTGTCTGTGTTATGTTGTGGTTTTCGTGTCTTGTATATATTTTATGTGTTGACTTACGTGGGTGTTTAAGTTGTGAAGTTTTGATGGCGTTCGTTGATGTAGTTGTGGAGCTGGTAATTTGCTTTGTGGAGTTTGTACTTGTAGCTGGTCTAGTCGCTATTGATATTGTGGCTGCAGTTTTTATAAAATCAGTGCTTGTGGTAGTATCATTAGTTGCATCAGCTATTATTGTACAAGCTATAGATGTTGCATTTGTAGTTGATGCAGCACCCATATTTGGAGTTGAATCCGCTGATTTTTTGACAGAACCTGGTGTACCTGGTATGCAATCAGTATTTGGACCAACTGCAACACTTGAACATGGAGTCGTTGTGGCGCAATCTTTAGGTGTTGTATCTGCAATAGTTAGGTAAAGTAAGTCTCATCTATGGCTGAAAAAAACATGTGTAACACCAACACTACTGGAATGGTTTTTATATTACATGTATAAATATATATATAATCTTCACCTTTGCTTTTTATGTATTATTTTATTTAAACGACACTTAAATCTGCATGCTTTTACTATTTTTTTTTCTTATTTTTTTTTCTCTGTATCTCATGGCATAGTTTTTTCCAGTTTAATTTAATGTAAATTTTCAAATGATAAAATTCTAATTAAAGAGCTATATTCTTAAATATCATTCACGTCAGCTGTCACATCATAGCTACAATTATGCTCTATTTACAATCTTATATTTTAGTATTACAATTTAAATTTTTGAATCGGGAAATAGTATAATTTCTAATAAATGTAATTATTGATTAAACTCATAAAATGCACTATCGATCAAAACTCACCAATAATTTGTTTAAGTTTAGGAAATATTTTACGGTTAAGCATTGCTTTAATTTTCTCTTTGTTTTCATTTGATGACTTAGCGCCGTGTTGTATTAGAACTTTAATGACGCGATAGTGATTTTTCAGAGTAGCCACATCCAAGGCTGTCTGACCGTCATTGTCTTCAATGTCAAGGTTAGCACCATACTGTTTGAACACGTCGATTATTTCAGATGCGTTTCTGTCATTGATGTTGTGCAATGGGGTTTTCCCGTGCTTATCCCTGACGTCAAAGCTAGCTCCAGCTTCCAGTAAACTCCTCACGACTTCCGTGTGACCGTTCCAAGAACTGTGTGTAAAGCTGTTCTGTTGGAGTTGTCTACCGTGGCAATAACTTCTCTATATTTCAACAGTGTTAATACTGTATCATTGCGCCCTTGTATAGCAGCGTAGTGTAAAACTGTTCTGCCTTCTTTGTCTCTGATGCTCGCTTTAGCCTTCGCTTTAAGCAGAGTTTCAGTCAACACGACGCTATTATGGTATAATGGATCTCTATATAATGGTGTTAGTACGCTGTAGTGCAAAGCTGTTTTACCATCGTTGTCTTCTGTATCGATTTCTGTAAACTTTACCAGCTTTAAAATAGCTTCGGAATGTTCGTATTCGACAGCGTTGTGTAACGCTAGTTTTCCTTCGTTATCTTTTATATTTGCTGAGGCTCCAGCTTCCAATAATAGATCTACAATGTCGTCTCTTCCATTGTGTGCGCAGTAGTGTAAGGCAGTTTGCTTATTTTCATCAACACTATTTATTTCCGCGCCTCTTTGTATAAGCAATTTGACGAGTTTCATACTTCCATGATAAGCAGCAAGATGTAAAGCTGTTTTACCTTCTCTGTTAGCCAGATTTACATCAGCACCTTCATCTAGCAGAATAACGGCTATATCATTATATTCATACTCAAAGCCAACACACGCATGTAAAGCTGTATTCTGATCAATACCATTAGTTTCATTAACATTTGGTTTCCATTTCATCAGAAGTTCAACAAACTCTTTGTGACCCTTTTCAGCGCTGATGTATAAAGAAGTGTATCCTGGACAGTATCCTATACCATTATTAAATTTTGTTTTGACATTAACGTCTGCTCCTCCGTGTAATGACAGTGCCCCCAACAATAGATTGTTCGTCTCCGCATAAAGATGTAAAGGAGCCGTTCCATCTAAACTCATACTGTTTATGTCAATGCCTAAACTTAAAACAAATTCTTTTAACATAAAGTTACTGCCAATCTCTTCAGATTGTTTTTGCGAAGAAGTTGGTTTTTGACTCTTGATTGACAACATCTCGGGCTTATTTTGTTTCAGTGTTGTCCTGACTTGATCTATTGTTAAATAATAAAATAAACAAGCTTCTCATATGTACAGTAGCTAACATAAATCGCCCCCCCCCCCCTAAAAAGAAAGATACCTGTTTAACTGAGGCGTAGAGATCCATACTGGCGCCCCGGCAAACTAACAAGTTTGCACCCCCTCCCATTTCAACATTGTTATTCAATGTCCCTAAATAATATTATATTTTGTCGACGACAGTTTACGAAGTCTACAAAGCCAAGAAGCAGTCTATGTTCTGAACTTGGACTGTATAATACTTAATGCAGCTGAGAATAAGCTTTTAATTTTTTGTTCGACCCCTTTTGGCGTCACCCACCATCCTTCTCCTAGCTACGCCTATGATGTTTAGATTGTCATATTACAAGTGCAAATAAACAGTTGAAGCTGCAGCAGACGTAAACTAGCACCAAGGTTTGTGGTTGTGCCTCCGAGTAAGCTTATTCAATTCATAGCTACTGGTTTTGGACAAATATTCCGGGCTATTTATTGCTACGTGGTTTCAGAAGTAATATCGACTTTCTTCACATTAAATAAAGTAAAGATTAGTCACTGAATTTTTTTGAGACACACAGGATATGTTTTTAAAAATACTACATTTGACTTTGTTATTAGAGTACGCGTTCAATTTAAATTTCAGGAACAAATATTTCTAGCAAACTACACAATGATAAGAGTTTTTGACAAAACCGAATAACTTTTCTAATATTTTATACCAGCCTAGCCTGTGACTATTTTTGGACTTCCAGTTTAATTCTATTTTCGGTCTTTAAAAAAGTATTTCTTGTTTGATAGAGACTTGTAGATCTCAAATAAATTAATGATTACAACACAATTAGCTGTTACAAATAAAACATAACATAATTTACAGAACATATAGGCAAAATATAAATACAATATATTTAAGATACATAAGTCACACACAATCTACCTTTATGACGTACGTAGAATGCAGATCTCTAGCTGAACTACACACTAGTTGTTCAATGACACATCGATCCGTAAAATATATCTCAAAATATTGCTGGGGATTCCCCATTTATGTATTGGATAAACCCGATAAATGTGTTAAGCAGATGTCTGCACAATATGTCAGTCGAGATATTTTATCATGTACCTAAACTCTATATGTGGGCCCTTTATAATTTGAAAAGAAATTCTGATTTAAGATATTCGACATTTTGATGCTAATTACAGTGATATGGTAAGATGTAGATCTATAATTTGGGACACACATTCTGAAATTGAAATTATTTTGATTATTTCATTTTAACAAGCCATAGTGTGTTGAACATATTCCAAAATTATTTAACTAATTACTTACAAGTCAGTTTGAAGACAATCTTGCAGCTTCAGAATTTTTTTTAGTTCAAGTCAATCTAATCTACAAAATGAGAACACACTTTTGGCTCGCCATTTTGTATCCCTTCTATACAGGACTTTTAGGATGGAAAAGCATGCACAATTTGGCCAACATTTGTAAAAAAAAATGAGTCACCTGTGTTATCGGATCACAGCATTATTGTTATAAATGACATTCGCTTCAAATTCCTCATTAAGTATTTGTTTTTACAATCTTTTCTTAAGTCTAAATGCCTAACTATCCAGATGTCTCTTAGAGATATAGTTTTGTTAATTTATTTTGATCGAATTATTATCGAACGATATCTTTTTATCGATAAAAATGAATTCAAAGATTGTTATAGTACAACAGAAAGGGAGTTCAAATTATTTTAGACGAGAAGATTGTGGTCTTAATTAACAGCAATTAAAACGTTAAGAATAAAATTGATATCTCAGTTTTAATATCGATTAGCTATTCCATTTTTACATTTTCAATATAGAATTGTCAAATTTTCTTAGCTTAGCTGTATTTCTGGTAACAAATATCTTTGTGTTAATACTTTGTGTAGTATCGACATTTGCTGCTGGTGTTGTTGTGGTATTGAAAGTGGGGTGTAAATATATAGTTGGTGGTGTATTTGGTGTTGTCTTGTTTTCAATTAGTTTATTATCGTTCAGTTAGGTATTTACTAAGGTTTACCGTCTTGTAGTTTACTTTTTTGTTGAGGGGTTCCAAGGCTGATGTTTTAGACTTATTTTGTTGCGCATATTTTTTAGTCTGGTTTGTTGGTGTGCTCTATTGGTATTTGGGTTTAAGGGAGTGCAGTCAAATTATGACACTGAGTATATAATTTGAACAAAGACAATACATCCATAGTGTTTTTCAAAATGCTAAGGCGAGGGCTTGGTTTATTTATAATACAAGGAGAATTATATTTGCTGTCAACAAAATTCGAATTGTCATCCTAGGCAGACAGTTTCCTCTCTTACATGCAGCTTACATCGCTCCCACTTCGATGTTTACGTTTATGACTTCTAAAACAGTAAAACAATAACACAGTAGGAGCATGTATTTAAAGTTTGAGACACGTTATGTTTACATTTAGTTTATTAGCTTTATATAGTATACAATTTTAAATAGAGTTACAACTGTGTAGATATATAAAAATATGTGTTTACAAATAATGTTTATAAGATTGTTTTCTATATTATCTATTTTTTAAATTTAGATATGGAAGCGCAGGCAGCTAGTTGAGAGTCCTTTACAAGTTTTACTGTAATAGGATGTTTATTAAGTGCACATACACATATTGGAAAAAAGCCCACTGTATTTAGGACGTAATAATAAGAAAACATTGACAAAAATTATGAAAATTTTAGTACTAAAATGTAACAAGATAAAATAGAATGAATAACAGTAACAATAACGAGTATTACACGTGTGCTGAAAAAATACTTATTGACTCGTGTCTGTATGGCTAAACACTTTTTGTAAGAAAAAGTGAAAAACAGTTACTAATTTAATAACTAAGGTTGACTTTTAACATTATTTCAATTTCCATAATATATTCAGATGCTGAGAGATGTCTCATGTCTAAGTCAAGTCAAATAACACTTTTAGCAAATCTACACAGGTCTACATAATTAATATTGTCTACTTATTGTCTATACGTAGTCTACATTTGATCTGTCTTACACAAACACAGTCTGCCATGTACCCAGCCAGTAGATCAGTCTTGTGCCCCACTAGAGGAGACATTCGTTGGCTAGATCAAACCTATGGAGACTCCTCTCTCACAGATTTCTCTAAACTTGTCGAATGAAGTTGTCCATCCGTTAAACAATGCTCTAGGATTTCCCGACAAATAGATTTAGTTTGCTGTCGATGGCTACGTACTTTGGTTTCAAAACGCAATATATAGACAGTAAGTTGCGAACAGCCTGCTGTTCCCATGTTGCCCCTCTCTCCACACAGCTGATGGGCCATAGGCAGAAGATTTACCAATAAACAGCTAGCGTCTATTAATTTTAACATCCAAAATAACCGCGGGCACTGCTTGTATTATCTAACATCTCCCTAGCAAAGAACAAACATGGTCTAAACATCCTCTATAAACTTTAACCACCACATACACTGTGGGGGTCGTCCATATATGACGGCACACGCCGTAGGGGGGGGGGGCGTAGGGAGGGTCCGTAATTTTGCGACGGTGTCTAGCGAGGGGAAGGGGGGGGGGATGTTCAGATGATGTGACGTCACAATTTTGCTTTAATTAAAAATGCTAGAAAATGTATTTTAGCTATTATTTCGCGTTTTAGAAAGCTGGTTTAATAAGTTATAATAGAAATTGATAAAAATGCTCTACGTTGACAAAGATCAGACAAGATTTTGGAAAAAATATCGATGTTTTAAGAAAAATTCAACTGCAATTTTGAGGGGAGTTGTAGCCTGGGGTGTGACGTCAGTTTAGGGGAGGGGGAGTCTGGCCTTTTGTGACGATGTGTGACGGAGGGGAGGGGGAGGCACCAAAAAAGCGTGACGACATTTATGGAGGACCCCTGTTCCCAACCACACCGCCATTGAAGCATGGTTCACGTAATGGCAGAAGAGTCTATAGCTGCTCTGTCACAAGCTCCTCTAGACTTGCCAATGAAGATGTTTTGATTGCTGTCCATGGCGAGGTACTTTACATTCTCCACATTTAACTCGTTGCAATGATGTACTATCTTTGGCTTGTAATGGATACTGACATTCCTGAAAATAGTTATTTCAATTCACATGATTTTAAAATTATTTTTAAACAATATTATTGATATTTTTTATACGTTAATATTTATAATGTTGGAATGTCAAATCGAATTACTAATAATATGGTATGAATTCTCTTAAAACCTTTTAAACTACAATTTGTTTTGATAGAATGTAGTTTCATAGACTTATACGACATAAAAGGCAGCTAGTTGGCCTTTATATTTTTAAAATTTAATGTTTAAAACACAACCTCTATATTCTAATTCAATATGGAATTTGTTCAAACTTACATTACTGTCTTTCCGCTGCCTCTTTTTTTTTCATTTTCGGACATTTTCGCCATTTCTTTCTCAATAACATTTTTAACATCAAGTAATGGAAAATAGTCATCCAATTGAGTCACAGATTTTGTTTGTGTTTGTTTAGTATCTTCAACATTCTCGATGTAGCTCTCCTCCAATATGTCGACACTATTGACATTAATCTCTTCTTGTGTTTTTATAGTTAGTGCAATGTCAGTATGTTGGGTAGTTTCAACACTTGCATCTGGTGTAGTGGTAGAAGCTGTTAGTGTAGTATTTATAGATGGTGAAGTATCGGTACTTTGGGTAGTATCATCACCTGTATCTGATATAACGGTAGCAGCTGTAGGTGTTGTATCCATAGTTGTTGTATTGTAATTACTTGGGGCAGTATCATCACTTTCATTTGAAGTAGCTGTAGAAGCCGTTGGTGTTCTTTTTATATATGGTGCATTATCATTACTTGGGGTAGTATCATCAGGTGCTTTTGGAGCAGCTGTGGAAGCTGTTGGTGTTACGTCCATAGATAGTGCATTATCATTACTTGGATTAGTATCATCACTTGTAACTACAGTAGTTGTAGAAACTGTTGGTGTTATAACTAAAGATGGTGCATTATCAGAATTTGGGGTAGTATCATTACTTTCATTTGGAGCATCGGAAGAAGATGATGGTGTTGCATCCATAGATGGTGTAGTGTCATTACTTGGGGTAGTATCATCTCTTAAAATTGGAGCATAAGCAGAAGGTGGTGGCGTTGTAATACTTGGTGATGAAGTTGTTTCTGAATTACAATATAAATTATGAAATACTTTTCAAAGGTCTTAAAATAACAATAGGATGTGTGATGGGACTGTATGCTGATTTAATATCTAGACAAAAAATGTTGATTTGATAATCAGCATAACAGACGTTGATGTATGATTACGCTTTAACATTTAATATACATGAGAAAAATTTATATATAGTGCAACATATTTATAGCTGTTAAACTCAATATAGATTAACTTTTCTAATAAAGGTGAATTTATAGATATAATAAAATGATAAACTTTGTCATGCAAAAAAATTGTAATTAGAAGTGAGTTGTCCTTATTTTATGCAACTGTAATAAAACATATCAAATAAATTCAAACAAGCTCACCTGTCATTGATTTTACTTCTATAAACTTTGAACAGTCCAAAACAGCGTTAGCGTTTATCATTTTAATCTTCGCTGATGACTTAGCTCCGTGTTGTCTTAGAACAGCAACTGCTTCATCGTTTGAAAACATAGTGGCCATATACAAAGGTGTCCAACCTAAGTTGTCTGCAATGTCAAGAGTAGCGCCTCGTTGGATTAGTAGTCTGATGGTCTCAACCTTCTTCCCTGTTACACTGTAATGCAATGGGGTCCTCCAGAGCTGGTCTCTGCGGTCAACATCAGCTCCAGCTTCCAGTAACGCCTCCACAACTTCTTTAAGGTCGTTTTGACAGCTGTAGTGTAAAGCTGTTTTGTCATTACTGTCTGCGATGTCAAAAAGATGTGTTCTTTTTAAGAGTGTTAAGGCTGTTTTAGAATTAACCCCTACCTGAACAGCACAGTGTAAAGCAGTTTGACCACGGTTGTCTATGATATCTGATGAGGCTCCAGCTTGAAGTAAAAAATCGACAATTTCATTTGAACCGTTTTGTGATGCGTAATGTAAAGCTGTTTTCCCTGAATCGTCAATGCTATTAACATCCGCGCCTTTATCTAAAAGCAACTGGATGAGTCTCTTACTATCTTTAACAGCAGCAGTATATAAAGCTGTCCAATGCGTCAAGTCAGCAGTTTTTCCACTAAAGCTGGTTCGATCGATAATCTCACGTTTTTCTTTAAGCAATTTGGCGAGTTTCGAACTTTCACACCTAGCAGCATAATGTAAAGCTGTCTCACCTTTCCCGTCAGCCAGATTAACATCAGCGCCTGCATCCAACAGAATATCCGCAATTTCTTTGCATCCTGATTGAAAACACATATGTAAAGCTGATTGTTTATAAGAGCCATTCAGTTCATTGATATTGGCGTTCCATTTCACAAGAAGTTGAACAAAATCTTTTTGACGCTTTACAGCGCTTATATACAATGGGCTATCTCCGTACCTTGTTTTGACATTAACATCCGCTCCATCCTTTAATAAAAGGTCCCCAGAATATAAATTGTTCTTTTCTGCAGCAAGATGTAAAGGCGCTTTGCCATCAGAATCCTTACTGTTTATGTACATGTTTGATCTTGAAACTGTATCTTGTAGAATTGAGTTACTTTCTTTATCGGATAAATCAGAAATAATTCTCTTTTTTAAAAGAGAAAGAATTATACCACTTATTATTTGTATTCCTTGTATTCCCCAATATATTGGTTTAATTAAAATAACTAAACATCCCAAAAAGATAAAACTATAATATGGATAACAGTAGTTCAACACTACCCAAATTACGTTTTTTAAAAACGTATAGACGCTAATGTTTTCTTCTCTGATTTCATCCTCGAAGTTTATATATTGATTGCTGGATGACATCTTCGTTTGTTTATTTTGATTCAGTAGCAATTTGACGTGACCTATTTTAACGAATGAAATAATCAGGCTGAAACCATGTATTACAATTTACATGAAATGTATTCACTATAATAAAGAAAACCCAACGAGATATTTGACATTGGTAAACTAACATTTCTAATAGCTAGGAAAGTGCAAAATAGGTACAGATAGTGTATCACTTATTGTGATTGTTGTATATATAAAGCGTATCACAACGGGATAATGAATTGTATGTATGAATAACTGTTTTTGTTTTAAGTTGTGGCAAAGCGTTTTATTATCGCTCAATCAATGTAGTGAAAATAATCACCGTTAGAAGCATGAATTGTTTTTTACTTAATCACCAAAGATTTCATTTAGATAATGAGTGTCCAAAATTATATATATATATATATATATATATATATATATATATATATATATATATATATATATATATATATATATATATATATATATATTAAGTATGCTATTTGGCTGCCAGTCCGAAAGTCTCGAGTTCGAATCTCGGTCCAGACTCACAAAACATACGTGGTTGTTCTCTTCATAAAGATGTAAAGGAGACTTTCCTTCTGAATCCGTGCGGTTTAAGTCAATGTCTAGCAAACTGCATTCAAGCGGTTTTAGTTGCCTACACTACAGGAGCTTCGACAATTGTGGCTTTGACCATAGCTGGTTTGACCATAGGTTTGGTTTGACCGTAGGTGGTTTGACCAAAGATGGGGTTTGTGCACAGGGACTTTGTCTACAGGTTGGTCGTCCACATATAGTTTATATAATAACAACTGTAATAATCATTGTTTAGGGGGGGGGGTCGTCCATTAATGAAGTCACACTCGTAAAGGGAGAGGGGGGTTCAGATGGTGTGACGTCACGCTTTTGCATTATAAAAAAATCAATGTTAGAAAACGAATTCTAGCCTTTATTTCGCAGATTAGACAACTGTTTTAATAATTTTGATATGAATTGATTAAAATACTTTCAGAGTTCAGACAAGATTTAAAAAAAAATCGTATTTTAAGAAAAATTCAACTGCAATTTTTAGTGGGGTTGTAGGCTGAAGTGTGACGTCACTTAGCGACGATGTGTGGCGGAGGGGAGGTAAAAATCGTCAAAAAAAAAGGCGTGACGACATTTATGGATGACCCCTAGTTTGAATTTATGATATTATTAATACAGTTTTATATGTCAAGGTTCCTTTCAGTTGACATTAATACAAAATTACTTGTACAAAAAATGTCAATAATAGTTCTTTTAGTCTGGTGTTAGGCCTACTAGATTTATTAATAAAATTTAATTGAATACAAGTTAGTTTACATACTTATGTCCAGTTTAATGTTAACACGTATATTAATATATGGCTAAGTAAAATAATGTCTTAAGAAAACACGCATTGTATTGTACACTTATTTGATATCAACATCTTTTTAAAGACGCTTTTGTTTATTGAACTACCGCGCCATTATTGGAGTGACTATTATAACCTCTCGCTAAGGTAAATCGATGTAAACAAATCCATAACCAGTCTATTAGCGACGCGTATCTGATCAATAAAACACATACATAGAAAATGATTGATGTATGTGTGGGGATTAACGAAAAAAAATATTCATTATTTTAAATGTTTTGAAACTATCACCGAAACTATAAAAATCAGAATTTTAAATGTCATTTTTATAGTTAATTGATTTTCGATAGCAAAGTTGATAGCCTGTTTGATTTTATTTGTGAGGTTGAAATAATTTGAACGTTTGAAGTAGAAATATTTCATTTGAAAAAAAAATGTCCCAAATTCTAAAGCCGGACTATTAATTCAAAGGTCATTTAAGCATAATGTAGACTACACAATACTTAACAAAAATGAATTGCATAAATCTTGTACTCTACCTGTTTTAAGTGGAACCAGCAGCCAGACGACCAGCCTATGGAAGTGATACAATCCAGCTTTCTCTGGTACTATATATAGCACACATCGACCAGGTAATAAAAAATCAATTTAGCATCCGTGGGGATTCCCCTTATCGTTTATTTGACGTTTTCTTAAGGTTTTTATTTAGGTTGCTCAGTATTTTTGCTTGTGTGCGCGTGTGTGTGTGTTTGTGTGAGAGACAGACTGTTAATCTTTCTGACTGTCTGTCTTTCCATCAATCCGTCCGTCCCTTCTTCAGCTGTCCGTCTGTCAGTTGTTCCATGTGTTTGTCTGTCTGTTTGTGTGTCTGTCTGTCTGGTCGGTATGTTTCTCTCAGACTATCTGTCTTTCTGTATATTTGTCTGCTTGTATGCATGTCTTTTTTCTGTTTGTTTTTCTGTCTGTTTGTCTCTATTTTTCTCTATCTCTCCGTTTGTTTTTCAATATTAAGCTGATCGACTTAGGATCTAATTTAAAATTTAATTTCAGTTCTTCACTTAATCTCTTGGATATAATTGGGTTTAAAAAATGATTTTAGAAAGCTTTTACAGTAGTAATTTTTCCAAAGACCTTGGTCATTTTAAACACAATATATAGTTGACAAACTAAAGATTCGATTGCGCAGGGGAGCTAAGTACGGTTAACCTTTCCTTCTGGTGCTTAATGCTTCTTTTTAATAAAGCATTAATTTAGCGCGAAATTGTGTTTAGTATATAGCCTCAATTCATAACTCTTATTCACTAACCCCATGGACCGTCAGGTTCTAATGGAACCTAAAACAAATATCATCTATGCTTTATTTAAGTAAACACAAACAACTGTACACTCAGTCTATCACATTTACTTTTATTTTAATTGTAACAAGTGAGTGCAATAAATATAAACACTACAATCAGATCTTTACTTCAGAGTGTAGCATGGGGTGGGTGGGTGGGGGAGGCGAAAAACTATATTGGGACAATGATAAGTAAAAGGCGTCCCCACCCTTTACAAACAGACATACATACATACATACATACATACATACATACATACATACATACATACATACATACATACATACATACATACATACATACATACATACATACATACATACATACATACATACATACATACATACATACATACATACATACATACATACATACATACATACATACATACATACATACATACATACATACATACATACATACATACATACATACATACATACATACATACATACATACATACATACATACATACATACATACATACATACATACATACATACATACATACATACATACATACATACATACATACATACATACATACATACATACATACATACATACATACATACATACATACATACATACATACATACATACATACATACATACATACATACATACATACATACATACATACATACATACATACATACATACATACATACATACATACATACATACATACATACATACATACATACATACATACATACATACATACATACATACATACATACATACATACATACATACATACATACATACATACATACATACATACATACATACATACATACATACATACATACATACATTCATACAGGCAGGCAGACAGACAGACAGACAGACAGACAGGCAGACAGACAGACAGACAGACAGACAGACAGACAGACAGACAGACAGACAGACAGACAGACAGACAGACGGACAGACGGACAGACGGACAGACAGACAGACGGACGGACGGACGGACGGACGGACGGACGGACGGACGGACGGACGGACGGACGGACGGACGGACGGACGGACGGACGGACGGACGGACGGACGGACGGACGGACGGACAGACAGACAGACAGACAGACAGACAGACAGACAGACAGACAGACAGACAGACAGACAGGCAGGCAGGCAGGCAGGCAGTCAGGCAGGCAGGCAGGCAGGCAGGCAGGCAGGCAGGCAGGCAGGCAGGCAGGCAGGCAGGCAGGCAGGCAGGCAGACAGACAGACAGACAGACAGACAGACAGACAGACAGACAGACAGACAGACAGACAGACAGACAGACAGACAGACAGACAGACAGACAGACAGACAGACAGACAGACAGACAGACAGACAGACAGACAGACAGACAGACAGACAGACAGACAGACAGACAGACCATTTAGTGGGGTGACACCCATGCAAAAAAAAAACAAGAGCAAAATATATAGAGAAAAATGATACTTCCACTTAACTAAGTGACTAATAAGAGGTGCAAATCGAAAGTTTGAGGGGTGGGGTGCAAATTGAAAGTTGTAGGGGGGGGGGGAATGCAAATCGAAAGTTTTAGGGGGGAGGGTGTGCAAATCGAAAATTGAAAGTTTGTTCCCGAGAAGGATCAATACGCCTCTGGGGGTTGTCACCATTAAGTGCCGCACCGGGTGTCACCCGACCTCGCTACACCACTGCTGCTATAGTAGAAGAGGGCAATAAATGTGACACCGACCAACTTGAATTTAACACGCCTGCTGTAATAGTTCTTTACTTCAGTTAAAATAGTCTTAAACTTAATTTTAATACCTTCCCCCTGTTTCCTTCTATACTCTTAGTAAGTTTGGTAGTGCATTATTTTAGTTGCCTTTACAGGTACTAAACAAAGAAAAATGTAAGATCCACTAATTTTGTTGTCGCCTCAGAAACAGTTAGTACAGAGAGTTTGCTCACTCTCCTAGTCTGTCACCACAGCTATTATAAATAGCAGGCGAGTAGGAGGAGTATCAAATAATAAAACTTTATCAAATCACTATTGGTCGGTGGGGGGGGGGG